CGCTGGACATAGGCAACAACCTAAAACGTTTCTACACGGCCTCTGTCTGAAGGCAGAACTTGACAACTAAAAAAGAGCACAGTAAATGTTATACAAATCGGGTTTCGGGGACAAGCCAACTACCACATATCAATATGTGTATATTTCTTAAATATTTTTTGGTTATATTCATTACGGTAAATGCTACCTAGACCTATATAAAAAATAGTGCCGAGAAGCGCTACAAGAAGAAACGTCTCAAACGCGGTTCTATCGTTTTCATTCGAAAAATCTCGACATGAAAGTGCTCCTGTAGATCGATAAATAATAAAAAAGTTCATTAACTACTGTGAATGTGGAGCAAGACCGACACGTGAGCGGCCATGATGTCGCTAAAGTACCAAGCATTAACCACCAAACAGTTGTGAACCATTTGAAGGAAACTAGCCACAAAAAGAGGCGCGATGTTTGAGTGCCATACGAACTGACAAAAAAAATACTCGTATTTCTATCCGCAAGGCTCTGTAAAAACACCGCGAAACCTAGTCATTTCTAAAGCTATTGATTACAAGCTATGAAAAGTAGATCATATACGGAAATATAAAAAAAAAAATGTACTCCACGATGTGTAGCAAAGTCCAAATTGATGACTGGAAAGGAATCATACATTTTTGCTATGGCTAATGCTGCTTGGCAAACGATTTACTCGGACCTTTACTGTAGACAACTAACTGAAGATTACAACAAGCCATTAAAAAGTCGATCGGAACAAACGTATTGCGTCATGACGGCGCCAGACCACACATATCCTTAGTTACCCGACAAACATGGATTACAACGGCGAACATTTAATACAGTATGTTGTTTCTGAAAAAAAATTCTTTTAATTTTGGCTTAAAAACCGTTTGTACTTTTTTGATCATTCAGTATTATTTGTCTGTCTATGCGTAGGTATTAAAGTTTTGAAAAAAAAAACCCAAAACGCTCTCGTAGGATCGAGATAGCCGGCGAGTGATTAGGCTAATTTTTGATAGCACCACACCACTGTTTACAGACATTAGGGCAGTTATCAGTACCGTTCGCGTGTATTTAATAGCTAAACCAGTGCGGGCTAAGGCTCCCGGCTGGCGCTCTAATGTGTCTACATGACTAAAGCTATGTCTGTTGGTACTTGACTTATGTAAATTCGGCTGGTTCTTACTTAAACTTTAATCCTGAGAAAAGTTGCGTGTATATATATAATATGGGATTTTTGGTTCCATATTATATATGTAAGCTAGGGTTATTCGACAACTGTCAAGAATTCGTGAGAAATTTCCACTGAAAACTCGTTTGTTCCTTACTAAACAGAATGGGTTCTCGGTTTGATTTTGGCGATGACAATGCTAACTTTTTACATCCTTGTAAGTCAGCGTTAAGACTGTATTCTTATTAACTGCTTGAAATTCAGGAAATCTGAACACCTTAATTGACTGTGCAAGTGCTATATTTCGCGAATTTTTTCTTATATGGGGGTACGATGCTAACTTGGTCTTTGTACTATGGTTGATAAAGTATGACTCATCTCAACATGTGGTTCATATTTCTCAAATGGATAATTATTTTTTTAGGTAAAAGGTGTAGTTGAAATAGAAACGCAGCATTTATGCCACAAGGTATTAAGATTACAAAAACACTCCACCGCGGGACTGAAAATAACTGAAGCAGGGTACACGAAGTCTGGGTTCTCGTGCTGGCATCGTTTATTTTAGTTTCTATTTATAGTCAAACCTAGTTATTGCTTTAAGGTAGGGGGGTACACGGAGTACGCTAACCGATTAATTGGAGCATAATAGCGAGGTTACTGGGACAGGGTTGTTATCAATTAGTAGTATAATAGGATAAAAAGACATGATTAACTGTGACTGAATGCTTGTCGGGGGAATAATAGATTATGCAGTAAGGTCAATCATAACCGAACGCCTATATCAATGTTGGCGTGTCAGAGCAATACGTTGAGTTGGGCGCAGCATAAGCCACATGAGAAGAGACTGATGAAATAATCACGGTGTGCCAGCCGCGCTGCTGGAACACTCAAATGGACGACTGAAACCTGATAAGTATTGCCTGAACTAAATTTTCTAGGTCTGCTGAACTATTGTCTTTCTTTAGTCGTGCACAACGCGAGTCGAAGTTTCTCTGTCTTAAAGCAGAGTGATAGAATAACTGCAAAAGGGCAAAGCGTTGGGTGGAGCAGGGTAATTGCAACGGGATGGCTGTTAATGTATAAATAGTTCAGATAAAAGTAGATGTAGCATCAGTGAATCACGTAAATTAACGTGAAAAGAGACGCAGGGCGAAGTCCGCGGGCCCACCCAGTGTATTCATCAAAAGAGGAAATGCTTCTTATTTTTTAAAGCTAGAAATCATATGAAGATAGATGTTTTAAGTAAAGCATCGTATAAATCGAACTCTAGTAAAATCGTAAATCTTTACTAGGTCTCAAAAGCACAGTACTATTGAGACTTGACACTGACTTTTTTCAATAAATGACTCGCCATATTATCTCCTATTTCTTGTTAATTATTGAGTTCAATAAATCTTATTTTCCAAGTACGTCAAACGCAGGCAATGAGTTGCTCTGGCATACTAAAGATTAGACTGGCAATAGAGTAACGCTTATTAGAACACTGCCTGTAACTAAGATAAATGTTATCCAAAAACAACGGCTATGTGTGAGAGTTGTCCGAAGATGCTTTTTGACCTTTTCTTACTTCACAAGGTGTTAAAACGATTATTTAATCAGCATTAGTAATCAAGCTATTTCGTTAACATATGTAAAGTTTATTTCCTAGCAAAATTGTACGTAGGTCCAACAATCGAAGTGGCCTTTATGCTATCATTTAATTTTTCATTAACACTGATGCTTCTCCCACAAAAATTGGCAAGCATGTCGTTTTATCTTAAACTCTTGTCGTAGTAATTGACTTCGGTTCACGACAGTACCCTTAGCTACATATATTGCATACTCGTGGGGTTTCGTAGCGAGGGATAAATGAATATCGGGAAATGCGCGATAAATTCACATACGATACATGGAATGAGCACAGCTAGTGAAGGCCAAGCTCATTGTGCTGAACTAAAGCAAATTGAGGAAGCCCTGTCATGAAATCATTGATAATAGTAAGTATTTTAAGTGTAGGATGAGAAACAAAACTTAAGTAACCCTCAGGCCTACAATAGGCCAAAAAATACGCGATTTTATATGGTAGAATGACTTTTCGAAGACGCCCAAAACATAATGCAACTTCGTGATATTCCCTTTTAGGTGTTTTACATGCTATTCCTAAAACAAGTTGCATAACCTGTTTGAATACCACAGAATTGTTAATATAACTATGTTTCCTTTAGCAAAACATTCCGTAGAACTTTTTCACACGTGTCATAATGATTGTCAGCTGCCCTGGTGATACGAAAAATTTTAAACATAGGGTGTCAAACCGGATCGTAAGCTTTTTTTTTTTATTACTATTCGTATAAATAGGTTGTAGACTGACACAAACTGAAATTTACAATTTTTGATAATTTTCATATGCCAAAATATTATGACACTCCAGTTCGAATGAATTTTTATTGAGCCTATGCTTTTTAACAATCAGGAAAGTCACCCAAGCTACACTGGCGCTGCTTTTTACAGGGTAAAGTTTTTTCAAAATGACCAGCGACCTTAGCAACTCAGCCCAGTAGCTCTACTGCAGCCGAACACAAGATAGTTCACTGAGAAAAGCCAATGATCGAATCTGCTGTTTTAGAAATAAGCTTTTTCGTAATACTACACCCTGTTACCTCGTTTTATTATGCTCTGCTGTAGCCATGCTTTACAATTCAGCAAAGCAACCGAGATCTAGTGCCTTTAGTGCCAATTTAGCTGACATATTCGTCCTCTATGACCAGAAAGATGCGTACCCGTGTTACAATAGGTCGCACACACGGCACCGTTAACATAGGGTTTTAGGCGCGCTCAGCAAGACGACGTGTCGGTGTATATTTCATCGGTACTAGCTCCAATCTAAACCTTTTTTTGTCATATCCTCGTATGTTGTGTCATTTTGTAAAACAATTTCTTGTTTAGCCTAAAGATACTTTGCCAATCTAAACACTAATGTAACAACACAAAACCGATACGATTCAGCAACACTTTTTTGGTAACATGTACATTCGTGTACTTGTTTAATTTCCCTGTGTTTTATTATGCTACAATTAATAATATAAACAATTAATAATAAACAATTAATAATATAAATTTTAAAATATAAATATAAAGTTACTTCTGATAACCCACGCCTTTCAAAGCCCTGCTAATAGTTGATATGTATGCATACAGTATATAACATATGGCATGCCATTTGTCAACGAAAACAAATCTGAGAGAGAAAAACGACAAATTGTTTTCTATTTCTGAGTGGATCGTGGCTTAAAAGCCACGATTTGATCCCTGACATTCTTATTACTACTGCTTTATTGACTGCTCAGATTTATATTAGCTTATACGTATGAAAGTATAAGCAATATAAAGTTATTCAAATATAGGAAACCATGCGTTAGACTATGTGGCCTTGGAATTAGGTTAAAGATATGACACGCATGTACGACGCCTGTTCCACTTAGGTTCAAATCATTATTCAGGTTAAAGCATGTATAAAATATAGAAAGCATTACCAATATGGCCTTAAAATTACTGCAAACATCAAACCAACAATAGATATCTGCGTATAAAACAACGTTATAGGTCTATTGATAAAACCATTGCTAACAAATCGTTTGTCCGTCGGCAATAGCACGGTCACTTGGCAGACTAGCGGGGAAGTTACAGACCGCTCACGTGCTGCCTTTCCGCCTATTCTATTACTGGTGATACTGATTTTTGGTTTCCATTCGATGACACACGCGCAATAATGCCCATAGTCACACTAATTTATATATTATAATTGACGTAAATGCCTTGTTTGGATACATAAGCATGTTCTCAAATAAAAACTCACCTGTTCGTTGTGGCGACAAATGAAATCCATCGATGATAGTTTAAGTACCAGGTAGGCTCGTATAAGTTCTCCTGTAGTTTTCGATTTGTAAGCTTCCTGTCCATCTTCAAATTTTAAGTCTACTTCAATCTTCTTATCACCTTGTGTGAGTGTGCGACTACTATATAGGTGGGTACAGTTTGACAGTGAAGTTCCAACAGCTCGCCACAAAGGAGCCGCGCGTAGCATTTTTAAAAAGGTGCAAATACTACACACACGTTGTCACATACGGCAAGCAGTACTTCTCGCACACTACGCAGCACGATCGCTGCGTATGGGAGACAGATAGTACTGCACTAGTCAATCTGCTTCTATGCAGCCAACACTAACTAATACCGCTGTAACACCAACCAACGAATTCACTGAAACATTTCATATTCGTAGGCGTGTTAACGTGCGGAACAACGAAGGTGTGGAAAAATCACGCGCGGTCATAGAGTGGACACTGCTCCGTTTTTTTTTTTTACTGCTTCAACATCGACTCTTGTAAACATCGGCTTGTAAGGCTAAGATTTTTTCCAACCTGATCAATATCTATCATAAAGTAAGTAAAAAAATAAATAAATAAAAATAAAAACGGACAGAGAAATTGTCAACTGTATGAAAACTTTTACAGGTCTACCAACACGCTCAACCGCTGGATGCAATAATCGTTCAAGTTAAGAAACATAATTTTTATCTATCGTCATTGGACAAATTTGCAATTTTGTAGTTCGCTATTTACACTGCAGTTCCGTGCGTCCCTGATTCCATTGCGATGGACGTCTTATGAAATGTTGGAATTCTTTTGAGAACTATTACATACTACGGAGCCAAACAATATTCACAAGATATTGTTATGGCTAAGATTTTTTAATTGACTTTAGTTCGGCGAAAATGAAGGTCGTCATGCAGTACCAAGCCTACTAGGAGGCTTAGGGAGAAGGATTCGACTCGAATTATTGGAAGCATATGTTTTCAACTTCATTGAATGACACACATTACCCCAACGATTATACAAAAGAGAACTAATGACAATATTCAAAGAGCTCAACAGCGTGTAGAGGCGCGTGACATTCTAATACGCGGCTATGGGTCGATGGAAATAGATACTACGGGCAAAAAATATAGGTGTACGTGCTACATTAAATGCTACAGTCAGTAAGCAGCGAGATCTTTTTGTACTTGCGTCCACCTAACATCAGATACTTGTTAGTAGATATAATAGCAACAACATAAAGGACGACAGTATAATCTATTTCGACGTCCTATGGCTGGCATCTACAATACAGTTGATAGCAGTTATCATCCAATGATCTTGACCGTCGTTTGTTCATTCTTCAAGGTGCTTCGTAGTAGTCCATCGTTTGCTAGTGGTTAAAGTGGTTCTTTTTTTATATACAAAAGCTTTTCTGCATGCTGTTGGTATGATCCTAGGTAGTTGCTGACAAAATTACTTTTCGTTTGTCTTTGTGCGATACACCTAAAAACGTTATTCACAGTTGTAGTTGCAATCTAGTGAATTTTTAGATTATAGAATGTAGCATGCTTTTCAGGATCTAATTCGAAAAGTCCTCAATTAGTCTGCACAGGTTAAATATGAAAAAAAAAGCTGCAGAGTACCGATGAATATCAAATTCTATAAAAATAATTATTATAAAGTGCATTACTTCGATCATAATTTTAATCGTAGATAAAGAGACAAAACTCGAAGTAGCGTTTAGGCGCACACAGTTCAGAGCGGTGCTAACAGAACGTTATAAAAAAAACATCAGCTACATTTAATAGAATTATAATTGAAACAGCGTTATATTAACTAGTTGCCATTTCAAATAGAAAGTCGTTAATATTTGGAACGATCTGACGGTTGTATTAGAACACAATTCCCCGGAAGGTATTTTCCAACTATGGACGTAACATGTATGACTGTTAATAAATTAGTTTATTGTATAAAGTGTAACTGAGGTGATATGTGTTTGTTTATGTGTACGTAATTATCTTAGATATATAAGCTTTGCTATTGACCTTCTGCATGAAAAATGTCAGTGAATTTGTTATAACATTTAAAAGTTTGGTTTTAACACGGAGTACAGTCTTTCAGAAAGATCGCCATTAATCCTCATTATTAATACTACGCGTGAGAATAAGTTAAGGAGAAAAATCGCTAGTTTTAGGACAACGATACATTACGCGCCTATCTGAACATCCTAATGGAAAAAAGCAATTAGGGTTAATCTTATTAAATTAGGGATAATCTTTCAGCTTTTTTCATTATGAACATCTCGTGGCACCTGACGGCAAAATCGTCAGAATAAAAAAAAGGTTATCAAATATGTAAGACTATGAAAAGGTATCTCCAACCGTCACAATTTAGGCTGCTTAAAACACACAACGTTGTCTGCACACTGCACAAATATAATGAGCTTCTATTAGAATAACTATATTGAATGAAGATAACTTCAATACTAAAAGATGGTCTAGCACTTTAATACAAAAAATAAATAACCATATTCGTAGTTTTGACAGAAGTTTGTAAGCTATCAGGAAAAATCGGTTCTGGGTTGCCTGAGTGCACCTGCTAAGAGCCTAGGTTCAGCTCGTATAAAGTCCTATCTGCACTATTCAGTCGTAATCTGTGACTCCGATCAGGCAAGCGTTGTTTCAAGCTTTGCACGATAGAACTGTTAGATGGATGCAGCTGGGGGCTGCTTTAAGCACAGTAACACAGATGTAAGATGTTTGCAGACTGACACAGCTGAACTTGATAAAATACAGGGAAGATAATTAGCTTTTCTATATTCATATATCACCTGATATATCATATTGGGCGAATTTTTTTTAATCTGTTTCGAGACAGGTAAAGGTTACAAAAAAAAACGCGGTCGCGTTTTACACCTCGATATAGGCTAGTTTTTGCTTTCAGAACTCCATCCTGGTCTATTAATTTTAAGTAGAAACGTACTAGTACTCTTTTCACTATGATGGGGTTTGCTGAATCGTCGTCGTTTGTTCGATGCAATAGGCTAGAATTGAGTGTTCACTATATTTAATCAAAGCCGATGGCAAAACATATAAAAAAAAATCCTGCCATGATTTATTTACTTCGAAGTGGTTAAAAAAGTGAACACATTTTAGCCATTATTCCCGTGCTAAGTCACCAAGCCACAATGATTCATAAAGAAAGGCCTCTGCTATTGACGTAAAAGCGTAAGTGCATAGTCTTTATCTTTTAAGGAATATATATATGTAGGAAGCCATGGTCGGAGTAAATCTTTAGACCCTGAAAATGAGACTGTAGGAACGTAGGATCTTGATTACCACTTAAGAGCACGGAAAATGCCATAATATATTTTTTATATGCTTTCAATCGGTAACAGTGTGTATGTTAAGGAAGAAAACGTAGTAAAGTTTTGTTGTTTGTTAACCTCTTGTTTCAAACCGGTTTCTTTTCCGATAACGAATGAACGGATTGCTATGGAATTGATGGCATTGTCCTGTGTTGGGCGCGAGTTACTCCTCTCCCATTCGATAACTCTTGTTTTGTTAACACAGCAGACGATGTATCAACAGCTCGCGTTTCAAGGCTTTATTTCTCAGAGTAAATCGTCCTCATGATTGTAATGTAATGGAAACGTAGAGATCTAAGTTTAAAATCGGTCGAAGACATACTTCGTTACGTGCTGGTAGCTAGTTCGGTGGTATTGGACCTCGAAACAGTCTGAAATCGTAAACAATGACATTTCTATTGCTGCTACAGAACAAATCTCTGTAAAACTCATGTTGACAATCAGCCAACTTTTACGCAGTGAATAAATTTATAAACTGAGCTACTGCAAGAAAATGTGAGTTAGATATATGTAAATGCTCCCGAGGCTTACATACGTATATATGCATATAAGATAATATGAACGACGCTTTTTATGGAATTTTTCCTGATAGGCGATTAATGTGATGAGGTAAGGCACTATCAGGCCCGTCTACGGCATTGGCCTAAGATCCGTTTGTGAAATTACTAACTAACAGGTAAATTGCGTATTCTTAGCTACGTCTGGATAGAAAAATAAGCGATGGCTGTCATTGAAGATTATGACTATGACATCCTTCGCACTGTTCCATGTCACGCGTTGGGATCAAAAAGTTTAGCCAAACTGTCCTCTGGCTTAAACGTTGAACAGGTCCTGCCAGGTAGGTGAGCATCTGTTTTTTTGATAGTAACGAATACTGTGTCATTAGAATTCCCATTCGGTATTAGTGTGTCCAACTTGCATGAAATCACCTTTTTTTTATAGCTTGGATTTTTTAAATACTTGTTTTATAATGTAAGACATTTGACGGCGATCTTTCGATGTAGTAGTCGACTGCTTCGCTCTACCTCATGTGCGGCGTTCTGTTTCTCGGCAGTTTATTCGTTGATTTTACACTTAACCTAATACAGTTTGTAGCACAGGTGCAGACTTGCTGCTATCCAATTGCAATTATCTTGTTGTACTGTGGCCGTCATTCCGTCACTCTATCAGAGTTATTATCTTCTCCTATTGGGATATTCCAGTAATCCTATTAGCTTATTGCTGATATCTTATTATACCCAAATTGTTAAGCGGAGCCATTGACCGGTCACCCAATTGATACCATAGTTCGAGTCCAAATTTACGAATTTATATCGTGGAAGTTTTTGTAATTCATTTCATACAAATATGATTTCTATTCTCCAAGTATAGTCGTACCGTCATTTTGTTTCACCTAGCCTATTTCGTTATTCCAGTTACTCTATCCTCTGTCGTTGGCCTTATTCCTTGCTGCAAGAATCCTGTTTCTCTATTTAAAAATTCAGTGCTCCCATAGCGATCAGTCATCCTTGTATTTACAGATATAATATCAGTTGTGGCTGCGCAAATACCAGTGTTGCGTCTATAACGTTATTCAGCGACAGGTCACAAAACGAATCCGCTTTCGTACAATATTCAATCAATCATTAAAAATTAACGTCGTTGCGCATTTCGCCACAAAACATCAGATTATTTATGTAGACTTTTTTGATAACAAATAGACTCTTTAGTGTTAGATTATAGGGTTTACAACGACAGATTAGGTGATGAACAAGTTGTTATTATGGTTTGTACGTTGTGACAAGGTGCTCCGTCTGAGTCCGGTTAAACTTTGACGGGCTGTTTACCGTAGGGGAGATGCGTTCATCCGTTATCTTTGGCACCAGAAAAATGCCAGTTATTTCTAGAATAAAACAACAAATTCAAGCGAAGATTCAAGCTATTGTCCAGTTTTTTCGCACTGTCAATGAAATTGACTTTTTTTTTTTGAGAAATTGATGATTTATTGCTAGCTCTTATGCGGCTTTTAGAAAATACGAAAAATATTTCTATAAGAGAAACCAGGAGATCGTCAATAAAGTTGATATCAATAAAAACGAAAAGTTAAGTAGCTCAAAAAATAATTTTTAATATATCTGAAGTTATGATACGAAAAAGGAAAATATCAGTTGCCGATTGAGTCTCCCGGATGAGCGCTAACGGTTAGACTTTTCGAGACTTTTTGCGCTATGAACTCGTTTTTGGAGCTTTCAGCCTACGGTTAACTTAGATTCTTTTGTGCGTACCGTATGTGAGGGATCACATCTACTAATATTACTTAGCACACTATAATTATTAGAAAGTTATTTGCGGATTACAAAAGGTATACTTTGAAAATGACTAATGAATAGTTCAGGTACCAAATTGACAGTGTTATCGCTGCGGATACCATTTACATTAAATGACCGTGACCGTCAAGATAACAGTCAAAAAATATATCTTAGCATAGGTACACTCTTAGAAACATTTGGTAGATAAAATTATGGCTTTAGACGGAACCCCTCGTACATACATACTTGAAAAAGTATTATTCTGGTATAAAGCGCAATAAAACATAGGTTCATTGGGTTCAGCTAGAATAAATCAAGCTTCCTTTCATAGAATTTCTATAGGCAGCGTTAAATAGCATCAATTAATTTTATCAGAAAGCTGTATTAAAATTATATACACTGTACAAAATTGCGTTTGCACCAATCCTGTATCACATTGTCAGTGCCTTAAACATCAGGTCGTTAGGAACTGATAATGACTTTTCTGTAGACTAAAGACACTCTCATGCTGCTTTTATAGGAAGAGGCGGCCATTGCCGCGACTGGCGCGTTCTAGCTGAATTAGTTTTACATCACGATAGGCTTATGCAGCTGCGAGGAAACCCGGCCGCTCTGGAAGAAACACTTAAGGCCTGGCCGCGTGAAGCTACAATCGGTACGTTGTTGTTAACACGTAGACCAGCTGTTTTTGTGTCCTAATGTCAAAGCAATGGGATATGTATGTTGACCTGAATGAATCTTGTTCCTACTCCTAGAGATCTCAGCTGTTATAGGCATCATTTGTAAAAAGGACAGCCAACTACAAATTCGTATAGAGAACTAACGGGATGTAACATGTGTTACAAATGTGCACATTCAAGTTAACAGCTAACATCCCGGCAGGCGTAAAAGTTATGCTTGCCTATACGCTCATCTATGGTCTTTTAATAAGAAAGTTTTTTTTTGCAATCTGGGCAGATTACACTAGTGAGTCTAGACTTAGCTTGGTAAAAAAAAAAAAAAAATGTTGATTCTTTGACTTGAGATTTGTGCTTATTATAGTAAAAAGAGAATTCACAAATATCGTTTTGGCATTTTCAAATACGCCACTGGCATGTATAGGCTTCGCAGTGTTTTATCCTGTGAGTTCGATATCTAACTAAAGATTTTCTGTGTTCTTATTTTATTTTGATTCCCGAAGATCTAATAATTACAACTCTAGAAGCAGTAGAGCGATTTGACGTAATAGATGACTGCATTGAATCGTTCCTGGAGGACTGCCGAAACTATGAGAGCAGACGAACTATTTGGGGCGAACCGTCATTCTTGCATGCTTCGAGCTTTCGGGCGTTTGTGGTTCATTCACCGGAAGCAAAGGACACCAGTAAGCAGTATGAACGTTTTAGGACATCAAAAATAATTCTTAATTTACTTATTTAATAAATTTCGTTGCGGAATTTCGGTTGACAAATATAAAGATTATTAATGGAGAAGACTTCTTCAAATGCTGGTGTGTATAACTAAAAGAACGACTCGTTTCCACATATTTAAATCTTGCCCATTTTTCATATTTGTTTTATACATGTAAGCACCCTTATTCCCACTTAAGCACCACCGATGTTCGCCATAACATTTAATTTGCAATTGATATAGGTTCATCCATTTATGTCAAATAAAAACAACTACGGAGTTTTTATGCGGTATGATCAGTCGATAACATAAAATTATAACAATTTATTTCAATTGTTTGTTGTCATAGATTTTGTGATGCAGTTGGTGAAGCAAGTGGAAACTAATCACGTTCGTCTTTTTATTCCTGCACGAGACTTTCCAGCAGCGATGTCGAACTATCTGCATAGACTCAAACAGGTATATGTCTCGTCCAGCGTTGCGAATCATCAATAATGCTTTTGACTCTCGTTTGGCTAAGATTTTGTAGACAGATAGAATCGACACGAGTATCCATGTGCTACAGTGCCGCATTAAATCATACACATAAGGCCGTTATGTATGAACAGTGACCTCAACCTTTCAAACTTTTTTTTGACTAGCTTAGCTTTTTTATTTTCAGTAAAGGTATGCACCATCATATGATCTTTTACCTATCCGATGATAACTTATTTATTATTTCTCTGGCGACAAAATTTGAGTTGTGAAAATCTATAAAATTTTGAGTTGATACTTGAATAATTCTTCTATAAAGAAGCTCCAAAGATTTTGGAAAAAAAAGATCATCTGGTTATATAATGAATGTATATATGAGCAGTATATAATGAATCACGAAGAGCTTCCAAGTGTAACTCCTGCATTTTTATCACCATAATTATTGTCCTGTGAGGTTAAACGTTTTCCTGCAAAAGTATTTTTCTATCTTTGCTCATTAAACTTCGTACGGACTTTTTTCATATTCATAATAGTTTACAATGCATTTCAGTCGCAATAGGATTATGAAGTTTTACTGAACAAGACGTGACACCGTAGACTTATCTTTGGAGTGATGTCGAAGTTGCGTACTCAGAGGATCGATCTTTCCCCAGACGTTGCAATTCCCTATGAAAGTCAGGCACTGTCATAACGTGAAAGCAAAAAGTAGGAAACGTTCGTTATCTTATTTTCATAAAGGGCCTTCCACGAGACTTGAAAATAAGTCTCGTGGAGGGAGTTCGCAGTTTTCTTCTTCGAATTTTTCGAGTAGTGGTAGAATCTTTACCGAGCACAAGGTTCATACGACAGCTGTAGCTCCCAGGTGGAACATCATTAAAATTTTTGATAATGTAAATGTGAAAAGGTATGGGTGCATCTTAAATACAAAATAAAAGTATCGCCGAATGTCGCACCGTTATGAAATAGCGCCAACTTACATTATGAGATTAAAGTCTATCACGTTCCATATTAAACGACCAAATACATTTACTTTAACAATACGAAAACAGCATTTTAGATTTCATGTACTATTATGTATTTCTTATATATGATAATACATCGGCCATATTTTTTTATTTTTTTTAGCGGCCATTTTTTCATATACCCTTATATAATTAGATCTAGGTATATAAGTTGAGCATGTCAAGTGGATGTATAGCGAAGGATTTCTTTTTTGTTATCTTACTAATACTGAGTTCTTACGGATACGATTTATATAGATATTAACAGTATTGCCTTATGATAGTTCCTAGTTGGATGTATATAGATTCATCTCAGGAAAAAGTATAACTCTCTGGCATAATATATCTAAGTCGTCGTTGCGAAATCCCTTTGTTGGCTCTCTTTATGTATTCGATATTTTTTGAATTTGTGAGAATCACCCTTACATGAACCTGATCAAAGAATTAAGCAATTTTTATTGTGACTCATTATTATGTTTTCGCTTAGTTGGTAGGCCTGTTAGGAATAAACTTATTAGCCATTACTTTTAGGCCTGAAAATTAATTCTAATTTCTATGTGGGGTCATTAGTTTGTATAATTTATAGCAAAGTAGTCCTCAACGTTCAACGTGTAATTGCGGAGAGAGTGCTTCTTATCTTTAATTTTTCTCATGTCCCTTCAGTAGCTCTTCCGTCATCAAGAAGGGAATACCCAAATGGTGTTTTAAGTTCTCATTCTTCCTTTCGACGTTGGAAAATGACGAGGGATATTTGTTTTTCGTTATGCTTTTGTAACAGCTGCGTGTTGTGTCATTCTCTTTTTACAATAATTTCTAAATATCAAATGTAGGCTTTAGTGGATTTAGGTAGAAGACTTCCACGACTAACATTAAATATGGGGTAACTTTTCAACTCCGTTTCTCAGTAGCTGTTTGGACAATGCGTCTACGTTCTCACTATCCAATACGAACCATTATTGTATATAAGAGGTTAATTCAGACGTAACGTCGTACGTATGGCAGGTAATTCTGAAAGCGCTCTTTTCGTTGTAAAGGCTGAAAAAAGTGACTTATTGTTTATGCATAATAGTGGATCTTCATTTACGGGAAAGGTTTTCATTAGTTACTGAACCAATTTTTCAATATACGAATAATACGAATGTGGACCAACGCTCACATATCATGAATCCTCGGACCGATGATCAGCTCGTCTTTATAGCCCTCTAGCACTCTGAAGCACAATCGAAATACGCGATAAGTAATCTTGTATAGAGTAGCATCTTCGTGCGTGTGAATATTACCTGATATTTTTTTTTTCAACGGAAAGAAACATGAAGACTTGCTGATTTAGTCCAGCTCTGTAGATAGCATAAAGGAGCACGATATTGTTTAAGCTTTTGCTCACTCATTCATGTGTCGTTCGATTTGCCTAATTTCATACACATATAGGACTTGTCTAGAGTATGCGCGAAAGTGTGCATACCTTGCGAATGAGTTAAGCAATCTGCCGATTCTAAGCAAGGTGGATTTTTTGTAATTTCAAAATTAGTAGTTGGCTCCCTGCTTAAGTTTTCACTTGCTATCTCCACTGACGATTGGATCGCTCCGTATTGGTTCAAGCTGTGTGTGAGAAGAATGGGGATCCAGAAATCCACACAACTCTATAGGGGCAAGTCGTGTTCAGAAACAGCTTCCATCTTGTAATAGCATGGCCTTTCTTTGCAACATTTCAAACTCGATTTCAACCTTAGAATAGGTATCTCTAAGCAAAGTGTTCTGGTTTGTGCTGCAATAGCAGTTTTGCTGTGATCGTTAATTGAATATGACATATTGAATACCGTCGTTGTTTCTGATTACTCTCTGATAGAGTTTCCATATGTCCTGTCTAACTAGATCCCCTTCTAGTTCAATGGCAGTTGCATCAAATCGGGTTCTTAGATAATCGTAGTTCATATGCAGCACCTGAGTTAGCTTATTGATTAATAGTATGTCTTGAAAGCTGATCTTTGTGAATGGTCATTTTATGTTTGCCAAGTCTTCGTCGCCGATTAAAGACCCTTAATTGTTTTTCATAGGTTTATTGTCGTGGCTAAAGTAGTCTAATACGTACTAGTTATTGGAGCATAGGGATTCAAACCATAGTAGTATTGTTGTAGAAGATACTGTCTCATTTTGCCACACATGTAATAACAAGATTTTCATAGCAATCTTTTGAACATTTCACGGCACGCTTTCTTAGACAACGGGTTCAATTAATTTCCGTACATACTTAAATTTCAGATAATGGAACATCGTTGCAGCAAGATCATTATTGTGATATCGCGGGCGTTAGGAGCGGACGAAGACTCGATGTCACTCGTCATGAAAGCTGAAGAGATACGCGCCATGCAAAGCGGCATCACGAACTCAAAAGTCATACCTGTGATTCTCGAACAATGTCCTAAAGTGGGCTCTTCGTTAATTAGTATCAGTCCTGTCAATTTTAGAAGTCATAATGACTGGGGGTGGCTTCAGCTAAAGCGAGCGCTCGATAGTTAAGGTGATTAGCTAATATATGTAGCTGTCCCCAGCTCTTTAACCCGAGTTTAAATAAACCTCTATTTTAAATTTATGACTTGTTTGTCTTTTTCAAATAAATAAATACTTACTTCACTTGAAAGATCAAACACTTCAACTAAATAATGAAGTTCTAAGGCCACCAAATTCGTCCCTGGCCTTGTTGTGGCCTTTAAGTTAGCATGAGCTACTACTTCTCTATAATAGACAGCAATGTGAACATGGTAGGTCAAATTATTACTGAAACAATGTGTGACAGGTAACGTCGAGTGACTGACCCAATCTCGGTTTTCTTGTTCTTTAACATCCTCGAAAATGTGAATTATATGAACTGCTTCATGGTGCAATTAATACAGCAAACTTGACTTAATAAAATCATTTTTTAGTTTCATACCCCGGTTTCAGTTCGCTTAATTTGATTTAATTTCTATTTATGTATTTGTTACATTTAAAAAATAAAAGCTTTCTTCAATCTGTGTATGTAAAAAATGCTTTTCCCAGGATTTCCCTTAGCATATCTGCAGACAACGCCTTAATAGAAGTCTTCGACGATGCAAGATTGCTTCTTTGAAATCTACTGAACCGTTGTTAATTCATGCTGCGCAAAAACTACTCCAGTAAATCTGAGCTGTGAGAAAGAAAACAATTGTTTACTTCCAGAATGCCAATATAACAAAAACAGAGGTAGGGTCTAAAGATTTTGGTTTCCATGGACGATGTGATGTTCAAGAGATGCTGATCTCCAAAGTAGTCTCTAATTTGAGCTTTGTCTACAGGTCTGGAGTTGTTTAGTGATTCGTGTAGCCTTAGCCTTTTGAATCAGCGTGCGCAAGCTTTCTTTTGTCCTTACAAAAGATATGTAACTACCCTCTGTATGGCCGTATGGGTGGTCGCCGGCAGGTGCTATCGAATCTAATTAGTCGGGTTTCTAACAAATGCAAATCCGATTGCCAAATAATCGTACCCTGTGGATTTTAGATATCTGACTGATTCTTACGAGCAGTCATTCAGAAAACCCAATTGAACTCTAATAGAGACCGAAAAAATAGTACTTCAGCTGTATTGCTTGTGTAAACTGTTTTAATAATTGCAACTATAATATTAGAAGGTCGATAGCTATATACACACACGAAAGAAAGCTAAGCACATAGAAATTATCTTAGATCTGAGAATGAAGTATCGTCGATATCTATTTCATTGTCAGCTTTTGTTGAGTAGCTTAACCGCGATATGTCGTCAAAACAGGACAAGCGAAATTCAGGACTAGCGCTATACAACAGTGACCTAAAACGAAAGGTTATTCCAGCTAAACAGAGTCAGTTGATCTCGTCAAACATTTCTAGTTCCAATACTATATATGTAAAAAATCTGCAGTAATTCGACCATATCTCTAAAATTAAATTCCGAGCATTTTTTATATGTATCTCTTTGTTTTGTTACGATATCATATTAAAAGAGCACAAAATCATATAAGTATGTATTTTGGATAATACTATATTAAATGTTGGCGAAATGTGCTATTTTTAATACCACGTAGACTATATTAAGTAAATATAGGATGTCCAATTGCAAACAATGAAAAAAAATCAATTTTGAAGCTATTCCGCGGTCAGATAAATTCGTTATAATATGCACCAATATTAGTATAACGTGTATCATCAGCTCGACGATATCGAACAGCTGCCTCCAGTGAAGATCTAAATAAACAAAGTTATTACATTACGAAATAATAAAGTAATTCAATTATTGAACGTCTGTTTGCATATCCGTTGCGCGAGAACGATTGTTATTAGCTTGCTTCGCGTATTGCCAAAGTTATTTTTTTGAATCAGATGCATTTGTATTGTCTGTAAAAAAGGACACTGTACAGGCACTCGGTAAATGTAATAGGAAGGCGAACATGAGTATTTGGATTGCCTTCTGCAGACACTGTAAATTGTCCACCACGTCAACTCATTGAAATTTCAATTGGCACCTGACCATTATTATCTGAATTAAAAAATATAGAGCTATTACACAAAACACCTTTGCATATGCTGTAGGTACCCAGGAAATATTATACTGACTCTTATACTCTTACCACTTCTACGAGATTTATGCATCTCTTTATAAATCTCTGTGAAAGGAGAATAACCGTTACAGACGATGGTTGGTTTTGCAAGGGGAGCGAAAACGAAACATTCCTTACCAAAGAGCTAGTTCGTCTGACATGGTGGACAACCAGACCGACCTGGCATCGGCCTAACTAGCCAGTGGCTTCCCTCTAAGCCAACTGTAGTACTATTCTTGGGAACAAAAACCGGATTGTTAGAGTGACATAAGAGAAAATTTGAAATTTAGTGGGTAACGGTTTCGACAGAACTAACTTTCACAGGATCAAGCCCCATACTCACCTGCTCATATTAAATAAATTCTGCTCCGTTTATGCACAGCCGTTACTCAAAAGATGTTTCAATATGATCCAAAATAGATGTTTTCGCCTATATACACAAATTAACCTAGGAAGGTCAAGTGAGTTTTACTGCTTCCACTATTTATATGGAACGTTTAATAGATGTTCGTGGCAAACATCGGGTGTGTTTTGTTAGAAATAATGCTACAGTTATCTGCGAGCAAATCACACACACACTTGTCATCACGTAACGAAAATTTACGAACAGAATACTTGCACAAATGTATGCTCCCCTCCCCCCCCCCCCACCCCCAAAACAGCTTTGAAAGGCGCATTTGTGACTGTTTTAAAAGTAGTGCGATCAAGAGCTCTTAAAAACACATCCGCCATTCTGGGAATGCTTGAAAACTTTGTGGATACTCATGCTAGACTACAATACTGTCCTATGTAATGAACATTTCTAACAGGCCAAATCTTTGACTTATACCTAATATTGCATTTAGCCACTCTTCAAACAATTCCTGCTGATGGGTGTGCTTGTAGGGGTAAGGGATAAGTATAATACCGTACGATCCAATGAAAACACCATTATTTTACATAGTTCAAATTTTGCATCTATTGGATGATCTCGCGTTTTAGTGAACACATGGATGGTTGGTGATGTGTACAGAGCTTGATGAGATTAAAGGTAAACATGTCATGTTTTAAATATTGACCTAAGTAGATCATTCATTGACTCCCTCGAGTTCAAGGTAGTTCCATTGAATAAATAGCTTTATTTAACAGCACATTCTAGCAACACCTCAGGGTTTGAAGAATCGCAGAGCCTTCATCATTTTTGGGAATGCAGATTGCGGTAAACTGTAATTAGCCAATAATAAAGTGAATTCGATCAGATGAAATCATTGGACGGTATATATTTTAGACACAATGACCTATATATAACGTAGTGTGCATAAGTCTCAAACGGGTTAACTCAGGATAAGTATAGCAAATGTACAGTATATTGTAAAATTATCTCATTTCATGGCACCAAATTAACTCTAACCAAATTACACGGCGTTCACGTTGTTGCAAGTAACGCAATGCATTTGTGAGTATTTAAACAAGTGCCTACCTCGTCAATGGTGTCGGGTTTTTGCAGAATACCGTGTGATTAGGGTCAATTCCGTCGAAGTATCGGTCGAGACTAATTGAACCGATCTGAGCTGCCGGCGAGCGTTTAACATATACGTGCTGACGCGGCGTTTCAACTTCCGCAACCGGAGTGATCCATCTGGATCGGCAGCGTGACAAGAAAAGTACAATGTAGAATGGCATATTTTAATTCTGAGTAAACGAATGCCCAGTACACCGAGTACTTACACACCTGTTAAAACTGAGAAAGGCACCTCGAACGTCTTTTATCGAAACTCAGGGCTACCTTTCAATTAAGCCTCACCCTAAGTGGGAATACTACGTAGTGTAAACCTTGTAGAAACCACGAAAAGATTGCAATGTCACTTCTACACTTCTGTTGTAGCAGAATGGGCATTCATGCACCAAAAGTTCAATATGAACTGCTCATTTCTGAACGGTTCATATGTAGATTTCGTTAGAAATATGCAACGACGATGCAACGGCTCTATAGAGTTTAGCTATACATGTATGAGCCGTCATAAAAGAGTTAGGTGAGAAGCTTTCCATTACAGTGCTAAATTAATTGAATTGACAGTGTCGTTTATGTTCCGAGCTGCAGTCGATCGATAGGGTACATCTTTCACAGGAAATCCTAAACTCTATATCCTATATTGTTAACGGGAAAGATAAACGTACTAGGAAGAAATAAATCCAGTATAATACAATTCGTTGTGTTTTCATAACAGGTCGTACGTTTGTGTAAAGCAGTCGAGTGTACATAAGCAGTTTAAGTAGTAATTAGCAAGTAGAATTTGAATATAACAAGAAAAATGTACCTGTGTACTAGAACTGTTTTACTTTTTGCCTGGCCGGCGCCCGTGACAACACTACCGGCGGACATCGTCGCGGGCTGCATAGCTGCACTTGCAATGTGGGAGGAGTGAAGTGATCTAGTGTATCTTTACCCTTTGCTGCCGCTACTGGGGTGCAATACTTCTCACGGGCGGTCACCACCGGAAAATAAATGTTGGCAGATCGCACGGCTGCCAGACATCTGGTTACTTTAAGAGGCGTCAGGAGGAAAGGGCGAGGATCGCGCCACAGTGGTTCGTTCGAATGCTCTTTCCGAACCGCCGTCGCCCGAGTCTCAGCGGACCAATCGGGCGTCGCCGTCAACCGTTCGGTTAGCCAGCGCTAACCGACAATAGGACAGTACAGTTTAAAAAGAGAATCACTCTACCAGGCTTATGCTTATCGTCGTATGATTACATGGGAGTCCTTTATGTGGTGTAGGGCAAAGGACTTACATTTGATATAATACGATGAAAGTAAACGGGTTTATGGAACAAAAGAGCGGATGGCCAGTGCGTGTACACACTTAGCGTCGATTTTGACAGGTTGCACGAATTCTTCATTCGGTAGACCTTTGTTTGAATGCTTGGCCTCACAGTAATCGACGCTGTTCCAAGTTTTCGTTGTGGATGTTCCAACTTTATAAAGAATCAATCAACCGCTAACAGCGCGAGCAAACAGACTCGCTTAATTGCTTTTAGATACCCACTGCAGAATTGCGTTAAATCACCCCTTATTATATAACTAGAACGGTGATGGAGAGGGTCATTCAGTTCTTGCTGACTACCGACACGTGGTAATAGGATAGGTTAGGCTGTCATCCTGAGCAGTTGGAGGTAGAGGAAGAACGGGTGAACAACAAAGAATAACTGCCGCCGCTACCAATGACGTCGGAGTAGAGATAAAGGGTTTTGGAGAAGGATAAATCAATAATAGGACAGCTAAAAATAGACTGCAGTGTTGCAGAAGCGCCTGTCAATGGCCATCAATGGCACCTTTTTGATCCTTAACGAATAACGGCGAACATGGTAACCGTCCATAGATGATGTATGACGTAATGTTATATCATCTACAATGGTTTGTTCCGTGAATATTAACCAGTACACTTAAGAAAAACTAAAACAACGAAAACTTCATATCGATTATCTAATTGAGCTCTAAGGCGTGATCCCTTCTTCTCAATGGCCATAAACCAATGTTGGGGCTATCGTGATCTTCTAAAAAAGTCATGTCCAGAAAATATGAAAAAAATATAGTTCTAGTTGTTGCACTAGCTAGTCTAAAGTAAGCCTTGAACGAACTAATCCAATGAGAATATTGTCTTGTAGGAGTTTTTTCCTGTTTTTTTTCCTGTTAGATCGTGTTACATCTGTGCCCACTGGAGTATTTGATTCTGTATGCGTTGTGTAATCTAAGTATGCTTTATAAACAGATGCTGATTATGATAATAAAATAATAATTATAAGAATGTGCACATTCGTGTAGTTCTACACCTTATATATAACAGTACATTGTCATGACGCCTCGGAGATTTGAGCAGGTCTACAACAATGGGAAGAAACAAAGACCGTGTGAATACTGATAGGAAAACTGAAGAAAACAAGACAACAGCATACGATGGGAATGGAAGAGTAATCGATTGTGCAGTTGGCGAGTACGAGCAATCAGCCGTATACAGATTGATAAATTTCATAGACTAAATTAACTTCGTAATAATAATGTTCTTGGGAAGCTTGATAAATTTCATAGACTAAATTAACTTCGTAATAATAATGTTCTTGGGAAGCTATTAGTTAATTGAAAAGTATATTACCTGTATTTAAGACAAGGCCATACAGCTCCTATACAAATAATATCCTTCGACCTTTACAGATTAATTCACAGCTGACACAAGCAAGATATTTATAGATTTAGGCCAACTGCAGGTTACAACTAATCTGCAATTTAAGTTCTGGATGTTGCTACAATAAATACGAACCAGTCTCGACGTCAGTCACAATAACGAACAATCGAGACAAAATCCATTTGGTGCTATCTTTATAAAAAAATAAGACGGTGATATCCTGTTTATTGTCAATAGCCTATAACTGCATAGATCTGGCCAACAAGCGTTGAAGACAATGGAAGGCGCGTATAGTGTAAAATAAATTTAGATTGTATCATCATTAGTTAATCAAGCACATCTGGGTAGTAGTTATTATCTCTGCTAAATTATCATAGGTTCCTTGACGTCGTTCAGTGATTTGGTTACTTCGAGGTGAATCATTTTGAAGTCTGTGATTGACGGCGTCTCGTCTTTTTGCGCGGTATTCTTAAATATCCCAGTTACGCACAACAAAAATAATGACGTGTGCTGTATTTACATTTAGCGCCTAGAGCAGAACAGCTGTGAAAGAACTTGAAGGGCATCTGTCCTTGTTCGGCAGTTTCTAGTGGGAAAATAAAAGAAACTTGCAAAATGACCGATTATAAAAAAGTCCCTCACTCCTATACGGGCGGTGTCAAACCGATGAACGTTGAGGTTAGTATTACCAATGTAACTGAAGTTTAAAAAAGGCCCGGTGTCTTGTAAATAGAAAACCTTTGTTCTTCCAAACCTCTTTACCCTCTTTGCTGCTAAATTCTGAGCAGCTGAGACTCTGAGCTTTGCTGTTAAATATTTAATTTTTTTCTGTTAGAGCTATATTAGATTATCACCAGTTCTAACAGGAGTTTCTTACGCTTAGGGGTTACTGAAAATCACAGTAGAAAATTAGATGAAAAATGAAACTACTTTTTTTTTGGTACTGGATAATTCATAAATACTTTTTTTTTTGTAAATAAGAAAACATCTGTGTGACATGATTAGGCTACTTCATTGAAACTTTATTCTCTCATTGCAGGGTCGTTTCGGTAATGAACGCTCTCGTCTATCTGGTGAATTTACGGATGCTGATCGTGCGTGGAGGAAGCAGTGGCTGAAAGATCAGGTTAGTGCAAATACATGTGTGCGTCTATCAAAACTTGCTATGACAAATGAGAAACATCCTTAAAAGTCTTGGCTTCAGTAATTCTTTAGTTCGGATAATGGCAAATATTTTTTAATGATATAGCAGCTATTTAACGTGGCAACTGGCTATCTGTAAGTAATCGCATATTTCTGTTTGTGCTCTCTAGTACGACTACCGTTGTACCAAACAGTTTTAGCAGTGCAAAATCGTATTTGCATAGGTAATAAGACATAGTTACCTTTTTTTAGGTCATTGCTCCTGATGAGCCACGACATGTACCAGAACTGGTAAGAAGTTATAAAAACATAATCCGGCGTTTTTACCAGTACCCCTTTGACAAGCTCGAAGCAACCCTTGAACCTTATGTTGGCTTAATTAACGCAGCGAAAATTCGCTATGTCATCCCAAAATTTATTACGGGCTATGGGCTCGTACTTTACTTTCAGTACTGGAGATTGTACAACCAGGTACGTATTTTAAGTTTTAATTAGGTAGTTCATTTGCGTATATTGTTTAATTTAACAAGTTTTAGTAAAGTGAATTGTTTTACTAGTAATGCTGTGCAGCCCTTTTATTACTTGGATTAGCAAATTTGTTCAGCAAACCATGTAAAGTGTTGAACATAAATTATGCCGACATATATCTTTTTGGTACGATATGTGCGTGTTGTTTGACCATAAGAAAACTGTCTCTGCAAAAGTCCTTAAATTACCACTCTTTTTAAAAGATAATACCACTCCTAGCCGAAATATTATTTTATGAATTACTAGGAACGATCGAATAAATTCTATTAGAAATTCATTAGAACTTTAACAAGCAGTGCTGTCAGACCAACAGATAGCTACTAATGAGCAACGTAAACATTTAGGAGGTTTTTTAAACTATTTTCATTAGTAAAATTTTGGTCAAAATTTAAAGGCTCAGAATACAATGAGAGTATAAGCATTTGCAAGGCATACATAGAGATTATCTTAAAAGTAATGTTAAAATATTTTAGTATCTTTGGAGATGAGATTTGTGATATCATTTAAAGTCTAATCAATCCTAAAGCAGTATTTGCCGAGAACATACTATACCACAATGAGTACTAAAATACTTTAGAAACACAGAAATAAATTCTGAGGGATTTAAGTCGATTGTAATCTACAGTGCAGCAGTAGTGGTGTTCTATATACGATGCTATGACTTCCCTGTCTTTAACAGCGAGTTCTTAGCCATCAGAGTCTGTTAGAGGAACAAAAATCACCAGCCGTCTTTGATTTTATCAGAAGTCAAAAGCATAAGGTAAAACGGTCACAAAACTGTTTGGGCTGTGCAAGTATCAAGCATAAAGATCTTAGAAGCTTCCAGCTAACATGTACCTTCTCTTTACAATCATGTGCATTTTCCTCATCGTTTAACGGCGTATGATCCTAGAAGAACTGCTTTAACCTTAATCTAATCACTTTGAAGTGTTTTACGGTTAAACTGTTAAATTACGCGACGTAATTGGTGCTTTCTGTTTATCGTTAATATATTGTACGTACCGTTGCCAATGCATCATGATGTCTGGTATGAAAAGTTGATAGTCGCTGTTGATAGAAAGGGATACAAGAGGCGGCTATACAGAATTGATGACTATTAGAAGGATGATAATGCTACAAGGTGATTGCTTTACTTAGAGATACCAGTACAGATAAGCGGTGCGTCGCATAGCAACGAGTGCGACTGCTGCTACAGCTCCCGTATTCTCGCGTCTACACGTTGTCGGGGAGCGAGTCCTCTTTACGTTAGAGGTAAAAATAGACAATAGGTCAGTGAGCGTGCAGCGGTACTGTTGCAGCAACCAGGCCCCACGTGGAATACAAAAAAAAAGATAAAGATATGATAAAGCGGTCCTTTTCTATTTTTGTAACGAATTTTATTAGATATTGTTTGCCAATCATATCCAAGTAGGGACGCATTCAAACCTGCTTAGTTACAGGTTTCACGTATGTGGGTTTTCGGTCAAGTCTTATGGGTTAATACATTTTGATTTTAGGGTTGGTTTCACTTTCAATTTAGTCAGTTTTGTACCCTTTTATTTGAAATTACATCATGTTCTTATGAGTAGGTGCTCGATAGACACTAATTAATTCTGGTGGCTAGATAAGACCAATCATGGTAGTCTATAGAGAGATCTTTCGATTCTTTGCGCACCTGCTGTTGTATTATTACTAGGTAGCGGCTACAGGTGGAGCATGCGTACTGCATGTGACGCTCTCGCGGAACTTTGCGGAGCTGAATGGAAACTAGCTATTTTCGTCCAATCAAGAGCAAAAGATTACAGCTGAAACAGGATTGGCACAAGAAAAACAAGGGGCAAATCGTGTGCAACGCTGTTTACGCGGTACCCGTTTTCTCTATTTTGAATATCAGGATATTGATCCGCAGTGAATTTTTTTGATTATCCACTAGAGACGACAGACAGACAAACGGGAAGAGAGAAAGAGGGAGAGAGAGATAGTTTCTGGTATTGTCTGTCTCTATGTTTCGAGTTATACGTCCGGTATCGCCGTTAGGCACTGTGTCCCGATGGCTGGCTCCCAGAATGAAATGCCCGAGTTTTGACTTAAACCATAATGTGTTTCCAAGATTAGCAGACAGATACATTACCTACTAAGCAACCACGAAAACTTCTGTTATTGGCTAATGATATCAACTACCCAACACTATGTTATAAGAAAATCTTAAATACTTAAAAAATAAAGAATGCTTTTTCGAGTGTTTGTCATAGCTAACGGCAGGTGAGGTGCGCGAGTTGGATTCTACAACTGAGTGGGGTTAGGATGTGAAATGTGAACTGAAAGTAATGCCTACTTTTGACTGTCATGTGATTATCGTCGGCGATAACAAGATCAGTAACACCACTAGTACTACTAAACACGATAACATGAAACTGCACATGTTATCTGACAAAATAGATAACTGATTATAGCTCAAATAGGTTATTAGCCGTGAATTGGCATGTCCGGTTTTCTAATCACCTAAAATCTTTAGATAATTGTTTTGAAACCTAGCTGGCAACTTATATAGACTCGAAATACATGGTCACTAGTTAGTTTTAACGTAAAACGTGACGGTCGCTACCGTCCAGTGCAGGTTCCACACTATCAACGCGTGCCTGGTATAATAGTGTGTAGTATAACAGTACCCTTATTAAATGTAGGAGTAAGAATATCATAGTGATTTAATACAATGCTACTAACATCCAAAGGCTCAAGACATTTTTTCAAATCTAAACCTGTTTCAGCTCTGTCAGTATCGTTCACTTTTAAAATCATAGCAGATGTTTAGCTCCTTATATGAGCACGTATGACAAAGTTGTTTTTAATAATATGACGAAAAATCAAGGTCTTCCCGTTGCGTGGCGGCTTCCGCTATTGAAGTCTAATCCTGTTGCCGCTGTTCCTGTTTGGCTACAGGCCGATAGCGTGACCTTTTAGATATCCTTTCCATTTTCTCGTGGATTTAAAATGACGGCATAGATGACAAACTAAAAACCATCTAGCGGAAAACATGTCTTTAGTAAAGATTTAGCTCTCGATCGGTACCATCGACAGATCGGATGAAAGTAGCCTATATTGGGCTATAATTGGCTGGACAAGCCGTTAAATGGGTCATTAGAAAATGGGGCAACAATTTACGCGTACTAGTAAAATGAGCTCAGATATATTTGAATAATTTTGAGTCCATCGATGACATGCGAAAATCTCTGCGAAAAAGCTAAATGTAAATAATAATTTTATTATTCCAAATTTAACATGTAAAATACTTGCCGATCTCAGCCTCATCTTGTCTCAAGCAGTAATCAAAAGTTTAACCATATTTTTTAATTTGGTATTCTTTGTTTTCCAAGTAGTCAGAAGCCTATATTTATCTGAATTTAAGTTCCTCGTCTATTAATAGATTAGAAACCTGCACCGAGCTTAGCACTTTTCAAAATGGCTGTGAGAATGTAATACATCACAGCCTAGGCAAATCTCGGTCTTTTGATAAGCGAATTGAGCAGAAAAAACTAGTAAAACCATTAAAATTGGGTACCGCTTTAAATGGCGTAACGAATGCTAAATTTTCCCAAAAAAAAGTGATACTATTTTATACCCTTTAATAAGTGAAGTTCGCGGGATATGATCGGCATGGCTTAGTAATAAGCCATTCGCTATTTTTCGTGAAAAAAGATTTGAAGATTCTTGAATACGATTCGGTTGGTATTTTCCTGAGGATAACGCGAAATATACGATAATCTTTTTCAAAATTAAATTAAAATATATTTAATTCCTTTTTGATAACTTTTTATTATGTCAACCTCACTTAGTCGGTGAAAACATATTCTGCCAATTAAATATCTGTCGTATGCTGTATTTTATTTAATATAAATCATAGGCATGCCCATGAGATTGGACAGATTGCACATTGATTACCAGATCTCGATAATAAGATGAACTATGTATATGTGCGTTTTACATATAATAGGTAGTATATTCGTTTTCTACATTCTCTACAAGTTTGTCTTTATCGTTATAGTGTTAAAACATATATACTATAGACTAAAGCCTAGGAATTTTAGAGGAAAAGGATTGCCATGAAGTCAAAAACAAAGATAAGGTGCTTACGCATCTCACTAGTTTATTAGCTATACTTGGTATTGAGTATAATATCTAATACATTACCTCTAACGTCATCAGATAAAAACTGTTAGCGTATATTTAAAACAGACAGTATCTAACAGTCTATTTTTTTAAGTAAATGTTGCATCTTCTACCATTTACGACAACTATTTATGCTCACCTTACAGTCAGTATATACTAATATTATTAGTACTGAGTTGATATTGGGTCCCTGATCATAACTGTTGAAAAGCCTCTTGTTAAATATAAAGCTTGTTCCGAGTATCACAATTGTCATACTCAGACATTATACTCTGCTCGCGCTTGAAATGGTATATTTGTATTTGACTCCGCTTGCAGTAACTGAAAGCTGCAGTGTTGTCCAGCATTAATAGTAGGCTGAAATCTCATACTTTTTATTTAAGGTCTGCAGACCAATTTATGCTGAATATAATGAAAACGGTCGTGTCTATCCTATATATGAAAGTTTTTTAAGTTGAATGTTAGAAGTACCGGCGTCTGTCAGCGCGCCTACCATGCATAGAAGTAGAATATGATAACGATGCAATATAAGTGTAATGATGTCAGAAGCGACTGTTTGAGCTCTTATCAGAAGAGATTTGTGATAGCTAATACTGATTCATCATACCAGTGAGATAAAGGTGTTTACGTTTTGGTAAACTAAATGGTGTTAAGCCGAGTTGTATTGTAGCTCTCATGTATGTGTTGCTTCGAAGCCCTCAAAAGCGAGGGTAATGACGAAATTACTGTCCATTGAAGGGACTCTCGATCTTAATCCAAAGCAGCGCTTTTATTTTAACAACGCCATTGTGGAACGGTCAAAAATCATAACGTTTGGGTTAGCTTCAACGCTAGAAGTGATATATGAAAAGCTCGTGATACGGCTATTAAAGAGATTCAGCTAACGCATTAGCAGCATTTAAAGTTTTTTCATATTCAGCCGACACGCAATATGAAGATAAAGTTTAGTCACTTGTATGCTTCATGCACTACATTTGTCGGGAAAATACATGGATAATTCTAAAGATAATCAATAAAATGTAATATAAGTTACAAGGTGGCGTAATGCGCACATCCCGTTGCCTGGAGTAGAAGCAACTTTACTTATAGGTTTATCGATTTTTTGGATACACGGTTCAGAGTTACTTTTTATGTGCATGTGATGAAACTATCTAATTAGCGTGACCATGCTATTCAAATCTACCGCAAAACTAGCAGCGACAATTAAGACTGTAATTATTTTATTATTGCAGAATGATTGGACGAGGGTCAATGGCTTGTTTTTTAGACAAACCCAAAGGGATTGTTTACCTTGCCATTCGGACTACCCCAGGCTGCCAGATAGGAGTACGCCACAGGAATACAACGATAGGGGATTCTCAAAAAGGAAAGTCTTCGTAGACCTTTAAACGGAAACTTCTTACGGGCAGGTCTTGAGTTACTTTGCTGCATGATAATTGCATTCGTCCGGAACCCTGATGCTGTTATCGGAACGAAACTGTAAAAACAAGACGTTTTATTTGAGGTGAAATTTTGGAAAGTAATGAAATATTAAGCGATGGTAGCACAATAAATGTTTAGACAAGCTGTAAACTTCCAAATATGGTAGTGTCTTCTTTCAAACACTTTTATTCGTCGATGTAAGTTATATTTTTAGTTGATATTAAAAATATAATTTCTAAGTGAAAACAGGCATGGTCAAACAAAATTACTGTAGGAGTATGTTTTTTTATGTGATAATTGAATCTGAATAATATGTGTACATGTGAGAAGAAAAGGTATATTGCTGCGTGACCTAGGAAATACATCAACAACTGTGCCAAACGATAAAAGGCTAAGCTATTCCCGCTGCTTATTTAACTGAACTATGCATACCCACTGCTCTAATAAAAATACCGAAGGTGTGATATTTTACAATCATTGCGTTGGTACGCGAATGTGGAACATCGGTAGTAATTGGGATCAACGACGTTTTTCTATCGGTGTGCTCTTAATCTGGGATAATTATCACGGGACATATATTCGTTGATATAATATATCGCTGGTATGTGGGAGCATAATCTATTAGTGTAACTATAAAGTCGGTGTTGTTATTATAGAAACGGTGTTGGAAATTTCACACATTTTTGTATTTGTAATACTAAATGGCATAAACTGGTGAGCCCTGGCTTTCCCACCAAGAGACATAATTATATCGATGGCGTCCGTGTTGGAGAGCTGCTTCCAAATAAGAGCCGTGTTATAGTTCTTTTCTGTCGGTATACTGACGATATGATAACTTATGGGCTGAGCAACATATGACTTGGATCCATTTTGCCCATCCAACATCGCCTATGTTCATTATTTGGTCCCTGAAAATCATTTATAGGAAACAACCGAATGGGAAAGATTGGAAAAACCAGTCAAATATATTGCTAAGTGCTTCGGCGACTGTAATGCGTAACGCTGTGCTATGAGTCGTATGACACAAAAAAAAAGGACATTTCGCTTAAAGCAGAAACCAGTTCCTGTAGGTGCTCAGTATCTTGACTTTCAGATGTTCCCGTAAGACCAGTATATTATTTTAGAAAGAGACTTAGATATACGTATCGACGATCACCAGAGAACTGCTATGGTAGGTAATTTCGGGGTCCATCGTGTAGGTTTCATAAGAGCCAGAAAGTGGCAGAATCCATATTCCGTTGATTTGTCATTTATTATTATACATCTTCGAGGAATCACTAAACTACCGACGGCCAAATATTATTCTACAAAGAACTAACCCCCTGTAACTTTTATGATAAATGAGATGATTAAAGGATACTCAATTTCACGGTATGCAACCAACTTGCTTTTTGTGAATAAGACTTCATACCGCAATTAGGTAGCAATCACGTTAACAAACTTGCATTAAAGTTGTCTTACGAAATTACCAGTAAAATGTTGCAGTCATAGTAGCCAATTTTTCTGCTATATTGAAATACTTATTGTTATATATTGAAATACGATATCATATTATATCAGGGATGCCTTCAGCTGACTGCTATCGTTTACGTGCAGGTCATCAGAGAAAGTTTTGCGCTGACGTATACGGCTCGAATATAAGTTTGACGGAGTGTTCAACTTTGCATGAAAAATGAGGCTATACTAGCAAACAGTTTTTTAGTAATATACAAAGTACTGTGGAAATAGACTAATGCAGGTTACTGCGGTGTTTCAAGAAGCATAAACAAAACAGATAAAATTATATAATTCGGAAACTGTTAATTTACAGTAGTTGACTGGCGCTTTTATCTGTTACTAAAAACCGCTTTATCGAGCTATAATACTATGAATGAAAATCAGTTGCACCGAAAGGACTAAGCACGATACGACAGCCGCAAAAGAAATAGCAGCAGCAGCATCTGTTGTCAAGGGATATTATAGTCATATTCGTGACGTGAAGGAATGTTGTAATTATAATTGTGAGTCAGTGTTGTTGATAAAAGTGCTTGTGGCAGACGCCGCCTACTCACCAATCATGCCACACTGTAACGTTTTCCTCTCACATTTTTGAATAATTTAATGGATCTAAAGAGCGTCTTCTGGCGTCAGTCAGCATGTCTAAGAGGATCTATGATCCAGGACTGTTCAATTGTTTGTATAGGTCCATATGTAAACTTCCGCCAAAATGTTATACTACCTAGATGGTCATTAAACGAGGGTAAAAGTCTATGGTGGTACAAGAAAGTTTAGGTGTCTATGGTAAAAAGGGTTTGGTGTTGAACAAACACATTGAACAAAGACAAACCTAAAGTTTGAATCTCATTTGCCAGACATTTTCTAACTTTTGCCATTTCCCGTGCGCGGCGGTGAAACCAGCATCAACTGTCTGTTTAATGTTAGAGAGCAAAATTTTCTGTAAATTGGCTATTAATTCGAGTTCTGCAAAATGCCCAATTTGCCTGTGTCGGAAATTTTGCTGATTTACCGAAACACCTTTCCACTTCGAAATAAGTGTGCGTAAGTGGAACATAACTTATTAACTGTAAAATTGGCCACTGGCGTTTTTCAGCCTTTACATATTGTTAAGAATCTATTAAGTTTTCTTTAAATTGTACTTACTAAAATTGCACTAATTTTTGACATACCAGTTAAAACATTCATGTCTGTGGTGAGGCTATATTCGCTGCTAATGGGTTAGAGAAATATGTCAATAGATCAATAAAGCTAATTCATAATTTCCTATCTTTTGGAAAAGAGCTGTGGTTTTTGTTGAAAATGTTCTCTTATAACGATTTAATGCTTATTTTATTAGGGCAAACATTATAATTTGCTTACTATAGCCCCCTATAAAGCTTTACTGGGCAGAAGGTTTTACATAGGCTAAAGACTGGCAATTTTTTTAAAGGGCTTCGTCAACTTCGTAGCGCCAATACTCCTGCAACGGTTGCAGCATTAATCGTAGCACAATCGGACCAGTGTGGTACAAGTAAGCAGTTGGTCAATTGTAACTGCACAGCAAGCGTCAACTGAGCACTCAAATAATTTGAGTAAATTACTGTCTTAGCTAAAATTTGAGGAAAGCTCATGGTTATTAGCGCAACCCCTACCCACCTGGCCAATAAACAGTCGAACACCATGACATTGCCTTTTACCCTGGTAGTGAGGGAAAAGTGTATATATTTTCTGCTCTCCGAAACCAACTTGATTAGACTGAAGCCTTTGTGCCTCTCTCTCTCTCTCTCTCTGCTCTCCACGGGTCTAGTATAACCAGTTGTCCATGGCTTATTATGAGCTGCGTTCTCGCTCACACGATTTCTTGAAATGTACAAATTTGTCGTTGATATTATTTAGTTTCGATAGTACATAATAACATCACGGTAGTACCATTTTTTTTTCGTACAGCTTTAGAAATATGAGACAGTAAATACAAAAAAAAAACGACTTTAACGAGTTTAATGTGTTCTGTGTATTCAGAGATATACATAAGCATTGGACTGACCTGTAGCTTAAGGTGAGGTAGATGTCTCAGTAGCTGTATCAAATTCTCTTTCCAATGTTCGAAAATACAATACGCCGTATAGTTTTTAAACTATTTATGTATTGATTTTTGCAACACTCAATTTGCTTTTAGCTTATTTTGAAAAACGTAACCCTGAGACACCTGAAGAAGTTGCTGAAGATAAACTGATCGTTCTTTACGGTCCTTTTTCTTTTACGCTTCGCTCACTCTCGTACAATAATAAATAGAATATATAGAACATAAAAGTATAAAGTAAAAACTGCTTGCCTAAAGTTTCGAACTTTAGTAAGTAAAATATACGGCAATTCAAATCGCACTGCAGTATCAGACCAGTACGAGTCTCAATAGTACTGCATTAATATTCATTACAGGAACAAACGTTTCTTTGTGCAAAAACAGCATTTACTGCCGCCAAACCGCCGTGGAGCGATATGTCCTAAAACCTAATGTGGATGCTGAATCAGATGCATCGAATACCGTATATATGGTATTATTAACCTTATTCAGTTTAAATGATCTAGATGGTATTGGATCGTGGCGTAAAAAATTCGAAAATTGCTTTAGCTACTATGTGAGTGACAGGGTGTTACTTGAATGTTTTTACATTTTATGCATACAGTCGTTGTGCAACAGCTAAGGCGAATTTACGTCTTCATAGCCAACATGATTACTAAAGGGCCATTATGATTCGTAGTTAAAGGATACTACATAGCATACTATACGTTTGTACTGTTCTCTAATAAGATAAGAAATTAAGTTGCTTTTTATTGCTATCCATATGTAACACTTGATATTGCTACTTATATACTACTATAGTACTAACCGATTTCATACGATCATCAATCGATATCGGTTCAAATGTACTTCATCTTCAGCTGGCGTTTTGATGTTCATTTTATTTATATTGCTCATCAGTGTTTCCGACTATCTATTCGACTGAAAAAGTCATTGGCGAGATAAGGATGATGTCTATCGTAGCTAATTGCTAACACGCAACCGCAGTTATACACCAGCTAGAAAATGAAGTTCGCTACAACATACTGAAGCTTGGTAATGAAGACGTCAGTTATTTTAGCATAGTTATCGTAAATGTGGGGTGTAAATTGTAATACCTTTGCTAACAAAGTAGCTAGTAATACGGGAATAAAACATCGCTGATTTTCCATTCTACTTAAAATGGCTGGAAACAGCGAAAGACAAGCATTTGCTGCAAGCTACTGAATAAGAGACTGAGCAGCTCCGGAGAGAACGCTCCACAGACACAGCGTATCTTGGATCGGCGTATATGGGATCTTGATGGCCGACGTCAAAAGAACGCTGCCACACCGCGCAATTTGGTATGCTCAGTGTTTATTCACTTAAACGCAGCCTTCGACTCGGCGCCCAGAGTCAAGTTTATGTCCACAGTGGCCAAGGAGGGTAACCCTACAAATGTACTCAACTTTCTCGTTGCAATAACGAAAAGCTGAACACACGCCCTTCGCACATATAACCAGCCTCGCACGAAGAGATAACCGAAACCCACTTTTATCCTCCATTTTGCTCAAGGACCATTTTGGTTCAATAAAAAGGCCCACGAAATCAGTCGGGGTCATTTTATACGCAGACGACTAGTGAAATACGGGTCGAACCGGTTCTCATCCCGTTCCACACGACAATGCACGACAACAAGACAGAGGTAATGAAGTTCGGAAGGGAAGGCAAAGGAGCGGCCACTGACATTTTGTATTTTTCGAAATCGCCTCCTGTCTTTTCGTACTTGAAGTTTTTAACCTCGTAAACGACAAAACTTTCACTGCATATATCGCTAACAGATGCAAAAAGGTCGTGTTGGTTGTATGGGCAATCAAATTGTCTCATCGTTTTTCCCTAGCACCCATTTTAACTTTAATAACTTGCTGTTCTTAATCGTTTTTTTCAATCTCAAAGTAGCTTCGATCACAACGTATAGCATACGAGTCATCTGGAAAGATCTTATCTTCGAACTTTTAATCGCTTCGCATATCCTCCACGCTGACTTGCCACTGCTGTTCAGACTTATTTTGTCAGTTTGAGCGTTCATTTAACGAAAGCCTCCAAGACGAACCTTAGGAACTTGGTGCCAAAATTCACGGAAATAGATAAAGATTTTTTTGCTTTAGGTACAATGAGGAATAACAAACGGGAACGGACGGACCGGCAAAATAGACATATGATCATCCTATTGCCGTGCACAGATTTCACCAGAGACTCTGCCGAAAACTAGGTTCCCACAAGGCTGCCGGTACATGGTGCCCTAGGCGATTTCCCTCAGTCGGGACAGATATGCCATGCAGCTCCATGCTTTCTTTTATTATTTGACGGATATTTGGAAAATCTTTCAAGCTAGTTATATAAACTCAACAAGATTCATATTACCCATATGGCGCAAACTATTTTTTGATGGTTCTATATACCCTCTCTGATATTGGAATATTCTGTTGTTTATTTGTATTTATGAAATTGTATATGAAGCTTTTGATTGTTTTTAACAGACGTGGATAAATAAAATTTGATTTGTTACTAATCCTTGTGATTTAAAAAGTTAACCGATGGATCATTTTTTTTCTGATCTGAGTATGTAAACAGAACTACGATTGGGTGAAATTTGACAAGATTTGCATAGATTTTACGTCTAGCTATCTCCTGTGATTTTTTATTGCTACTTCAATTGCATGCTCATATTCATTGCAATGTTATCAGTCGCTAAATGGTTGAAAATAACTGGCATATTAAAACTAATATCGTAAGTCCGTACGGAGCCACTACTTGCGATTTACCGATCTGGTATAATTCTACACTTTTAGTGATGATTTAAAAGATACGTTGCCTTATAGATAATGTGATTGATTTTATGAGTAAACATTATTTATTTACGACACGGATATGACAAAAAGCATTGTTTTTACCATGCCAATTCAACTTTATTTTTTTTACATTTTGTATTATCGCGATAAAGGTCGAAGCATCGAACCGGTAACATCATTACCGGCTTGAAACGCTTGTTAGCAGATCCTTGTCGATACATTTTTCCACCAATTGAACCGTCGGCAGCATATAAACACCTTATGCAACATGCACACACTGCTTTCACTTCTAGTAATTACTGACTTCGAACGTTTCAGAAAAACCCTTCGAGATTTCGAAAATATTGTCAGTCTGTTCTAAATAGTGCCATCGGGTTGTTGTTTACGCTATTTGCTAATGTCATCCTAATATCGTCGTTTACTCTGCTATTGTTATTGTTGCTACGGCTACCCACAGTCACCTGAAAGATGACCGCTGATACACGTGCTGACATAACGACTGAACTTGTTCACTGGCTGTTTATTGATAAAGGTGTTTTTAGGCGATGTGTTCACGCAGATGAGAAATAGTACGTTGTCATGATTTGTCTAAAATGCTTTTTGTCTATCTGCCTATTTCCATCCACCCAACCAACCCTTAACCAAACCTGTGAGACCAGCTCCCTGTTGAGTATCTTTCCTAGCCTCGATTTCGTCATCGAGATCCGGAAAGGCAACATGATTGAACGCCAGGTCGAAAAATAATGGTTTGCACGGCGCCGGTTCAAAGTCGGGCGGATAATTGACAAGTTGGATAGGGTTTTTCCCGCTGACAAGGTCATGGTCCTCTATGTACTCGTCCAAACGGTCGATGAGTGGACGCGGATCTCTATCTCGTTTCTCCTCGGTAATTTCATGAGCTGTAGCTTCTCCGCCAAGAATGCTCTGAGCATGCACAAAGTACATCTCTCCCTCTATCTGCTTTCGCATATCTTCATGAAGTTTACCAGCGTTGCTATCAGCAGGTGGCTTCGCTTTCGAAAAGTACTCTTGAGCACGAACAGCCATGGCTAGGGCCTCTGGATACTTTCCCAGAGCAGTGAGCGCTCTGGAAATGTAATATGCTCTGTAAGCACGCTGTAGCTGAATCTCATTTTCTACATCTTTGTAAAACTGTGAATCTGGTTCTACGCCAGGTAACTGCTGCATTTCCTGCAGACATTGAAGGATTACCTGTAACTCATCAGGATAATTAATGTGACTCAACTGCAATAGTGAAACCGCAAGTTAAAAATATATCTATTTAGTTCTGGTCTTGTCTTACATTTATGCTTTTATACATTGGAGAAATAAACGGCTAGCATATATAAATATACCAGATGCGTGCTTTACCGATGAAACTCCTGAAAAGTTGTTTTTTTCAGCTTTTCAAACAATTGTTGCTTATTGCATATCATGCTACTAATCAAGTCGGTCTTGTGTTTTGTATTTCATGCAGGAGAACTGGATCGCATAACCGAAGCTTTACCACTTCCTATATATTTTTACAGAATGTACAACCTTTTGTGTGGTATTGTACAATTTTTATACAAGAGTCGTGCAGAGAACCTCTTCACATATTTAATCCTACGCCGCCACTTAGTGTACTAATGGATATATCCTATCCTTTAAGGTGACTCTTTGTATTTGTTCTCTGTATTCTATATGCCGTGTAGTTTAAAGTTTAACATAAGTGCAGATGCTGTCTTTTCACTTAAGGACCAGGTCTAAAACAAGTGACTAATAGATTTGGCAAATGATTGTCTAGCAAATGACTAGGAAATGATTGGTAGTATGATAATAAGGGAGTCTAGATAGTGAAATAATCTGGCAAAGTTCACAACATCTCTTGTAGCGGGGCAAACAAGAGACCATTTCAACATGTCGACTCATCCAAATCTATACTGCAAGTAAACTGTAAAGATTGTAACGGTATTTAAATTACACCAGTTAATATGAAATTAGCAGAAAATTCAGTAGAACCTTGTGTGTCTTAAATTGTATAAAAACACAAAAAAGCTGGCCGTGTTAGCTAAGAACAAATTATCGGAAAAAATTGATAAATCGTGGAAAAGAAAACGGTCCATGTCAACATGGTGTACTCATGTGCTTAGAAAGGTTGACGCTCTGTGGACCGCTTTTAATTTCTTACCTCATAAGGTCGAACCATGTCACGAGGCTTGTTATTCTTGGCGCGCAGCATTTCAATCATAGCAGCGTTCCTGTCGACTGTTGCTCGCAACCTAAGATACATTACAAAAGAGCGAAGATATTGTAGGGTACTAAGACCTGTTGTTTCGACAATCTTATTAGCCTCTTGAGTCTTGACTTCCTCCTTGATGACTTGCAAGCAGTCCTTAAGCTCCATTAAGAACCGCTCGTATATAGCAACACGCTCATCAGCAAGCTTGCACTGCTTCAATTCCTGATCACATTCATCCCAAAATACTAAAAGTAAGCGCACTTTCTCGTGTCGAACTGGCAGAGATTTTCCCAGCCAAGTTACTTCTTGTAGCGTAACTGCCTGCTTCGATCGGGTCTGAGCAATTAGAGCATCCAGATTATCCATCCCGCCTTTTCCTTCACGTCGCAGTTTTTTAAGGTCACTGATAGCACTTTGGTCGCCAATGTTATAAGCGCAGTACCGTAAATTCGGAGTGATCTCTTCTACACGCTGTTGATAGAGCACGCGATCATCTTCGTTCAAAGCAGAGCCCAGTTTCTCGTAGATGGTTCTGTTAGATTAAAAATATACAAGAAAATACGGAAGACCAACCAAAGCAGACATAAAAACATAACAGGCTTATAATGGGCAAGTCTATATGGCATAGTACCCGCTTTAATTTAATGCTATTTCACGAAACTTGGTAAAACAACCAAACGCGTAACATGCAACTTTCTAGAGCATGATCAACTCCGAACGGCTAAGCATTTGGTTCGATTTTACGTTTTCTTATGGACCGTAACAAGCAGTGAATATAACAACGTAGATATGCCTCTGTCTTAATGTATGGGTTTGAACAGTGGCACTGGAGAATTTGCGAAGACCATCTCGATGTTTATGGTGGTTGATAAAAATTGTTAACTTACTGTGCTGTGTTGTACGCATCCATAGCTTCTTTCCATTGATCCTTTTCGAAAAGATAGGTTCCCCTCATGAAGGCCGCATAGGCCTGACATTCAAGCTTAGTTCGTGCATCGCACGCGGCAGAGGAACCGCAAAGGGTACTTAACTCATCGGCATACTGTAACGCTTTACGCAGCCTTCGTCGCATGTGGAACTTCTTGCGCGGCTCGTTCGTGCACTCCTGACGATCCTGCATCGCGTATCCCCAACATCGTTCGGCCTATGGTACAGAGAGGAAATTATTAATAATTTCAATTTGTAGTTTAGGTATTTACTGTAAGGCGTTCGAGCACTTCCATTTATTTCCTAACTACAAACTAAAAAGTATTACTATTAGTAAACATTATATTACTTATTGTAATACATATTAGTGTAAGTTATGCCAAACCAAGTACCTGCATAAGAACGATACAAGGATATCGAAGATCGCCCGTTTTTACGAGTAGCTCCTCTGAGACACATTTTGAGCTATAACGGTTCTTTGTTCCTTGCAGAAAGTGCAGGGCACAACGAAGCCGGCGTATACGCCTAGAACAATAGCCCCTATAACGTTGGAAGTCTCCGTGCCGTAAGCCGTGTTTTTGTTGAGCTTCTTTAATCAGACGAAGTACTGAAACAGAGTGAAAACATCAATACAACATAGCTACTTCATTCTCTGATCGTGAATAGCTCAACACGAATATGATTTCAACAGTCAAAAGTATGTTTGTAGTACCAGCTGTATAGCTTGAAATATCTATTTTAGATGGCCAGTAAAAGATTTTATGTCGGCGTTATGCGATTCTGGGTAAAATAGGCAATGCCATTTATTTTGACTATCAAGAAGTTTTACATTTATTAGTTCACATTTAATAGAGTTAATACATTTGTCGCTGTTAAAAAGGACGATTCTAACCAAAAAAAAAAATTAGTATAAACAAACGAGCGCGCAGTTGCTATTAGTAGATTTTATTTATCTTGATTATTTCGTATTTCTAGAGTAAATATTTCACATGAAAATAAACATGTAAAGCGTTTGTTTTATTAAAGGCAGCAGAAGTATTAAAAGTATGCGGCCTTTATTGATTACGCGGCTCAATTCTGAACATATTGGTTTAGATAGACAAATTAAAAAAAGAAGTGACGAAGTCGATAGATTGTAATGTATCTCTGAGATGTTTGTCTATAGTTGAAACAGTTACATTATAATCCTTAATAAGAAGAAGCCATATAGAGCTGAATTGGGTCGTGGTGTTCTCTACGATTATCAGCGGCACATGTCCTACTAAATATCATATGTTATCATACGAGTAAGTGTGATAAAGGCAGTTCAGTGTAGATTTTTCCGTAAGTTAGTTATTGAATATTACCTTTAAGTGTAATAATTTTCGGTTCATTTTGTACTGTTTCCTGATCGTCAGTCACTACTTTTTCATCCGACACCATTGTGATTGATCCAGTGGCTCACAAACACACTCGCGCACGAAGGTTAACAAAATTTCAGCAAAATACAAGCTGATTGTTTGTCGATTGGCCGCCGGATTAAACACGTTGCTATACCAGCTCGTGCTAATAAAATACCTAATGGTGATAGCACTTCGACAACCTTCCAACACAGCACATCGTCAAGCAGGCTTCCATATCGACACGGTAAGATAAAAGGATGGCTGTTCTGGTACAATGGGGAAGGACGATCAATTCATGAGAACAAACGGCGGCAATACTAGTTTGCGCAAAAGCCTTTACAATCGCTTCCTTTATTTTTTTAAGATCAGATTCAGTGTTTAATACGATATCGCCATTTAACGAAGAATCAAATAAAACCACACATAATTCAGTTATAAAGAAATACCGACGGTTATCATGTAGCTTAATAAAGCAGGTATTACATCACATCGGTCAAACTGAAGTGAGGTGTATCGTTTAAAACATGCTGGTATACAATGCTCGAACAGAATTCTATTGGTACAACTAAAAATATTGTAAAATGAAAAGCAATAAAAATTATTTTTGATAAAAATGGACGACTCAGCTGGTAGATCTCGACTATGCTTCAGCACGACTTAGTAAACGTATTGTTGTTTGATAGTCTATTTCCCCCACCCGCAAAGCAAAAATACCACAATGTACAGCAAATGCTACTTAGCTATTCTTATATTTAATTGCTTTTGCCTTTTTCAAACAGCCTGCGTTCGTAGAGCGTTGGTTGAAGCTAACGCATTAGGTCCAATCGAAAAGGTGGACTCGCAATAGCACCGCGCAAACCAAAATTATTCTGATTTAGTTGACTATTTTTTGCGAATAGCTGCTACTTTTAGTACTATTGGTAACGTGTTGGAAAAACTGAAAATTGTCAAAATGCATATCAGCACACTTCATATAAGATGTTTACCTTTTTGGTGTTCTTTAGGAGTGAAAAAAGGACTTAAAAGAAGGTAAAAAGCATTTAAGGGTTGTTTTCTTCTTTACTTAAATTTCTGAATTATTTAATTTGGTTCAGAAATACAAAACATAACGGTATTTTCACACTGTTTTCACACTGAACCGCCTTTTACTACCCACAGTCTGCGCACATCTTCGATATAGCTCAAGTTAAAAAAGAGTTATATATATATAATACATTCAAATAAAATGTGTCGTTTACGATGGTGACTGATTTCTGCAGCATCAATCAAGCAACACACCTCAGGGTCTTCATGACTGACGATGTCGCTCCTCTGACGATTGAATCGATAGAGTTTTCTCAGTTTGTGAAGTCTGGTCAGCGGTTTAGTCTCTTGCTATTAGTATGAAAATGAATGGTTATAGGCTTAGTTATATTTATTCTAACGGCCAAACAAAGCTAAATAAAATCAGGCCCAACTGGTTAAGCTCGGCTAACCTAAATTAATGAACATAAGTCCAATAGGATCAGCAACGACAGAAAGGTTATAAGCTTGATAGAAGAATGTTACGAAAATTATATTCTATTTATTTTTTGTTTTTTTGTGTTTAATTTACATCATGTATTTTATTTATTTCTATATTAAGTTTCCATACCATCATTGGACATTGTCAACCACCAAATATCACGTATTTTTAATGCAGATGCGGCAGCTTTACCTCGCTTCTAATAGATTTGAATTAATTCAAATCCACCTAATCCACCTAGACGAACAAGGAGTTCCCCTAGATCCTATCTGAATTGAAAGATGACCCGCCTTCTGGAAATAGACATCTTGGTTGGAACTACATATGGAGGTTAGAACAACTGTAGACTGTTGCTGTTAAATAGAAAAGAACCATTGTTTTGTGCAGGAACCTGATTAAACGAGACAAAATCGTTAAGGCAGAAAGGCTTGATATGCGAAAGGCAGATATGAATTTAGTTAGGGTGTCACTGCTACAGTATGCGTACCGTGGCTTTTAAGTGGTAGACAAAAACGTAATTTAATCACAAGATTGTTACTGGATATGAAATATTACCTGTTTTAATCATCCTGACTGTGCTGAGAGGTTTTTTTGACATCAGGGTTTCTTTGGACATTCTTTAGGACACACCACTTTAGACAAGAAAGTAAACAGTATACTCTACACATAGCAGTTTGATTTCTATTCGGACCGATATATGTTTCTGCAGCAAGTGGTATATTTTTTTAAGTCAAAGAACCGATCGATGTTTACAACACGCGCAGACAAAACAACATTGTTAAGAACTAAATTCCACAAGAATTCGGGTGATATTCGAATCGGTCAGATGGTGGTTCTTGAAACGGCCTCACTTGAATCCACATCAACTTAATTGTATTAAGTAAGTGACCAATGCGTCCTCATAGGTTGACTTGGGGTAATCGTTTTTAAAGCCAAAGTTTGAAAGCTATAGAAATAAATACATCCTGTATTATTCTACAAAAACGATTTCTGAATAAATACAGAAAATAACTACAGTTATGAGCAGTCTCCTGTTACTCATGCGCTTCATAATAGCGGTTCAGAAGGCCCCCGAGGTAAGAGACGCCCTTACCTTGTTAAATACGTTAAGTTACAATACTGGGCTAGATTATGGCTTTCGCGTCAGTCCGTTAGCAAGGTCTTTTGAGTTATGCGCAACTGTACAACGGAAACGCTATCATGAAGATCTGCTGCCTATCTCAAATGTATTCTATTATATTGACTATTATATGATCTTAAAACTTCTTTAACGCTTCGGGCCTTAGTTAATTTTCGCCTTGCTACACAAATGGTTTCCTTCTAAGAAAAAAAAAATACCCTTCAATTCTAATTCATTGGCAAATCAAAAAGTTCTTTGTCAGCTCCAGATGGTGTACTCGGTTAACCCAAAATAGCTCCTATCGTATCTATTCCCACTCAACATTTCTCCTCAAACCATCCGCTATTCGTTATGAAACATAGTAAATAATTGCTAGGAAATTTCTTTTCCATAGACCCACAACAGACCCCAACAATCATTCACTATAAGGATAGCGTGAAATAGCACTCCTAGCATTTGAAGCTTCTGATACATACATATACATATGTGGTACGCTTCCGTGCTTTTAAAACATAGTTATAAAATGCATGTAAATGATACCCATAGGTGGAAATTCATAGTTTAGAAAATGCGCTAAACTTACTACGTTGCCATTGTGTTTCTAACAGTATACTGCTTTTGTCATTTTAAAGGTAGAAATAAAGAGCAAGGTATGGTATGGTATGTTGTCGTAACATTTTTATATCAAGGAACGGTGCCGTCTGATGTTGAATTTCGGGTGGGTATCAAAAGCGAAAAATCTGACCTCGAAACATATCTCAGTTCGCGATTCTTCCAATGGAAAAACTGCCGTCAAATGTAACGTCAAAAAAAAAACCACTTAGCTGTCGTTTTTATTACTGGTAAAATATTGTCACTATTATTATTATTATTATTATTATCGAGTACGTTTAGTATTGCAGTGCAGTTAAATAGAAGTATTTGAATTCTTTCCGGCCATCTACCTACCTTCTTTTTTAAATGACAACACAGACCAGGATTTACATCGCCGTAATTGATTTATTTAATAGTTAATTATTATTGTGGTGGTGGTTGTAATAAATAGATCATACTTTACAGAGGGACATTTGTGAGTCAAAAGGGTAGCATGCACAGCTGTTCTTGATCGCCTGCCCTCTTATGATGGGTTGGTGGCTCTGATTAATGGCATCATATATTCCTCAAGGGGGGCTCGTGGTTTTTATCTCCGTAATCATCAAAATAATCTCTATCTAAGATTAATATCACCTTATATTTGCCGGGCTTGTTTCCCTTGCGCTTCTCCGCTACTTTCGAGTAGCTTAGACCTTTTCGACAATTCTGCCCCCCTCTCTCTCTATCCCTACCTCTCTTTGCCCTTCCACCTCCTCCTCCTCCTCCTCCTTCTGTGTGTATGTGAGGGTGGTTGTCGTAGTTTAGATTTCGCAAATTCGTTATCCGTTCCTTTAACCACGGTTCAATCGTAACAAACTATTTTCCGTCTAGTGTCTCACATTGTATTCAACTATCCTATTTTCAACTCCCCTTGTATTTACCTTGTATATAATAATGATTATTATTATTATTATCCCCTTTCACCGTTATGTCCCATTGAATCAATTTTAATATATTCTGCGTCTTGCTCTCTCTTTAACAGTCTAGTGTTAATTATTATATTGTTGTTGCTTTGACGTTTATTGTCATTACTAATATCATTATATATTTTTCTCATAATTGATAATATTATAATTTGTCACGCGATGGTATACTTTTTCTTTCTTGTCCCTACCCCTTCATATGTATATGGATACGGGTGGGGTTATCGCAATAATTACTTATTATTATTTACTTGCTGTTTGTTATATACAGTCGCTCCTGTTGATGTGGTTTTCTATTTTTGACACAGTTCTTCATTGTTTATCGGTCCGAATGCGAAAATGCTATCAATATAGTAGTAGTAGTAGTAGTAGTAGTATTTGTAACAGATGCACCTTTGTCCAGAAAATCCGAATTCAGCTTACCCGAATCGACAGTATTCCCGACAATTCTGCCCCCCCCTCTCTCTCTATCCCTACCTCTCTTTCCCCTTCCACCTCCTCCTCCTCCTCCTTCTGTGTGTATGTGAGGGTGGTTGTCGTAGTTTAGATTTCGCAAATTCGTTATCCGTTATTTTAACCACGGTTCAATCGTAACAAACTATGAAAAGCTGGATAAAATAATACATTTCAACGGAGCTGGCTCAATTCGATTTTATAACTTGCACCTTAGAGGTATAAAGTATTTCATCTTAAACAGTACAATCACAAAGAAGCGGGATTTGGTTTTTATCTTTTTCGCAATATCTCATTGCTGATGATCAGACCTTAAGGAAATACTCGCTTTGAAAGTTTTCGTCTGCCCGATATGATCGGACTGTGCAAATATTTAATACGTATATGTTCGCCACATAATTTTAGATCAGGTATTTTATTTGAAGTACTGTGTTTTTTCAGTATCTGCATTTGAGCTCTGCGTATTGCATTTATATATACTATTCGCTCCCTCGTCCCTTCCGGAAAACACCAAGCTGAATCTTACCATTCTGTTTCAGCTTGGCAAAACACCCATCTATATTGTTGTAGATGATTATTCTTCTGATAAATACTTCCGAACCCGTCTTTTTTCCTTTTTTGAAAATTTACGTATAGATGTTTACACATATGCTTAAGTAAATGTATTTGAATTCATTGTTTTGAGCCTTTCGACAGCTTCACAGACATGTCGTCTGCTAATAATTGTGTTGTATTCAATTTATTATCTCAGATAATCTAACTTTGGCACCGGTGTACATGCAATATTTATGTGCATTTATTGTAGAGTTCGACTATTTAGGTTTAGGGGGATAGTAGCAGTAATGACTAGCTCGATTTCAAATGGATGCAATCACTTTTGTAATCCACGTTTCGTGGACGGTCCCCTGTTTTACGTCGGCAGTTCGAGACAACACTCCGAACATTCAGTCATCCATCCATTCATGCATATGTTTCTCATTTTCATATAATACTTGTCGACGACGACACTAAATTGTGTTTCATCAAGCAATCTTTGTTACATATTTGATGGTGCAGAATGGCTGCTGGGTGGCTTAATGGTAGAGGGGAGTTAAATAGTGTACGGGAGAGCCCCTTACTGTTATTACCTACCCTACTAACTCGTGACCCAGTGTCCTGCATCCCTCAGGTCGTGCAAAAATTTCTGCAGCCGAGAGAACGTGCTGACTGCCTTTGAATATTTACAAATGCCCTACGTTACTTAGGCTACTTATTACTGAGTGTTTTTTTTTTTTGAATTAGCCGCTTTGATTTTATGATGATCATAATTATATGTATGGCAAACAGTTGTCTGTGAAGCCACGTAACTTAGGTAGATTCGACGTGGAAACCAACCTCACCGTGTTCACTCTCGCTGGTCACATAACTTCCCTCCTGTCAAACCGTATGTTACGGCCTCTGTGTCCACATATTATTAACCGTTGCATTTTTATTTCATTCAAGCTATCGTTGTTCATTGAGTATCGATTTGTCGTCTTCCTTTCGTTCACTCTTGGCGATTTTCTGTACTATAAATTTTCTTTAGAGCTTATTGCCTCCAGCTCTTCTGTATTTTTCTCCTTGTAATGCTACTTTATTTTCTGTCATACTGCCCTGCAATTATACTGACAAATGATGCCGTGCCTGACATACGAGCAAACCAGTTATCATTTTCCTACTGCTTCAACGTTTAATTTTGCATCATGTTGATGAATGTAGAAGCTTTTGTTACATCTAATTCTTGCTTAAATCTCACTGCGGTAGGCCAAAGTGTTTCTCGCTCGATAAGTTTGAGGTTAAGCCTACCAGGGATGTAACTATAGTCTTTCCATTTCAAGTTCTTGTCAGCAAAGCATCCAGGATACATTTTAGCCATATCCTCAGCACAAGTGGCTATTCCAACGACTTGTTCGGCCTAAATGGGTCTTAGTATGTCCTGGCGGGTCGACTGTTCTCCGTGCTGCACAATACCGATATTAGGGTGCACGACGTTTTTTATCGCAAGGTAAATTTCAACTGGTTTATTGGCTGTATAATAAACGTGGTCCATCGCATTATTTGAGTGTGATAAAGCTCAATTGTAGCGGAAACAAATGCAGTTACACTCGTTTTTCCTCCCCGTTCCCGTCGGTCCACACTATGGTTAAACTGTTGAGGGTAACAATAATAATCATGTGCCAAAGGTCAACAACCGTCCCTCGGCGTTAGTCCGCATCCTGTTTAATGAAGATGTAAGGCCGGCGTCTTTTAACCGGTCCCTGATGAGTTACGCTAAACGCAGGTTAGAAATCTTCTCGTTGAGTTTTCCCTGACATTTGAATTATGCATTACATTTATTTATTTATGAAAATAAATTGATATTAAATACAATTCGTCTCTAACATATACCTTTCCGTAAAGAAATTAAAATATTTTTTGTGTTAACACATGGGTTTTAGGTTCCGTCTAAAAAATTGGTCAACAGCACACCGCTTAAGTATGAATCGCCCAGGAAACAGAATTTTGCAACAGATGTGTTTGATTAATATCAATGCCTTTTTTCGGTGTTTCCAATGTGTTCGTGTCCTTTCATTATTACCTCCTTCTAAGCGTAAATTGCTAATTAGAACCGCTTTACGTTAGGGATCGACCAAAGGAACTCGGCCCCTCTCTATTATGAGCGTCGAAATGCCTATATAACAGCTACACAGTCGCAAACACCCACACACGCATATATACATGCAATCATTACATTACACCCCACTGGCTGCCGGTAGATATGCAGAATGTAAGTTAATTACCAGGTAGGAAAGGACGGTACGCTCTACGCAAATGAATATGCGTTTTGCATCAAACTTTTCCCGTACATACCTAGCAAAGCCTGCGTGCAACCGCCCTTCCATCAACGCCCCACTTCCCAAGAATTGTGACCCTAAGAGCCGACTTAACGAGGGTCGTTTAAGGGTATGCTTCACAAAAAATGAATGTCAGCTTCGTACGGTACTAACTAACGAGTAAGTTGCACGAAAACGGTCTGGTCTGGAGTATGTCGCGCGACCATGTTCTGGAGTATATGCCGTAGCTAAAACAAGAAATAAATTGCGCTTACACCGGAAATCGTAGTATTGACCATTGCTCTTATTGTGATAAAGGTGTATATGAGCTACAGTCGCTAGTTAGTGAGGATCCGCCAATTTCTTGAGATTGTAAGGTCGTTGCTATGGGCTGCGCCTGTCGTTGTTGCTGCTGTTGGCTCTATTTAGTACTGTTTGAATGATCCGCCACTCGATGATTCCCAACTTTGCTGACCTTGTCAGCATCCTTGCTTCCGGTGGTGTCCTTAGTGCAATCTTTGCTATGCTTGCTGGATTTTTCAACCCCTCGAGTCGTTGTGTTGTCATCCTGAATCCGAGACGCTGAAATCTCCGAGTTCTTCATACATATTGTACTCTCGCTGCCCATCGTCCCAGAGGAACGTCTAAATGAAAAGCCAGACCAAAGCATCAATAACTCCAGATTTTAAAGCTGTTAACATGTATACCCACCTTCGTAATTCCTATAGAATTTGATATTTGTGGGTGGGAAATAGAGAATTATTTGAAAGTCTAGTGCAAATTAAGTCTACTACGCACTTTTTTTATATTATCCTTAAATGCACGAGTTCTATTGATCTTTCTAATATAGGATTTGATCAGGTGTTGTGTGAAGATCCAAGTCATTAAATAAAACGATCGAAGCTCTATTTAGTTAAATGTATGCAACGAGAAGCCGACCTCTTATCCACTGCAAACCAGGTTCCTAGTTCTTCTAGGCAATCTGCTGCACGAATTTACCTGTATTTGGTACTGCTGATGAATTTTCTATATATATACCACTATATGTAGTATTAAAATAATTCGCTTTCGACAAAGAGATGCTGCTTTCCATTTAGGATATTTATTTCAAGAATTCATAGTAGGTTTGTCTAAATCACACGACCTAATCGATATTTTGGAACGTGTATGCAATAGTTGTGCTTTTTCGGCAAAATATAATTAAAAGTGCAGAAGATCAACTGCAATGCCTAAGTATTCTAATTATAGCTACCAACAGCATAGTTCAAATACCATTACAAATGTGTAAGCTAACTCCAGAAGGCTAGCTAGTTCGCACTTTTGTTGTATTGTGCCGCATCGTAGTATATCATAAGAAACATCCTACTTATTTTTTCGTCGAAATGGGAAGCATCCTTTGTATTCCTCCTGAGGCGGCCTGTCAAGCATTAGGTCTAGAGATGGACCTCCGTCCTCTCCCCATTGATTTAACTCCTTGTAGCACTCTGTTTCGATCATTTCCTCTTGCCACGGAATCGATACGGATCCAGAATTAAATTTACCATAGAAGTTCTCATCTGTCTCATCCAGATTAACGCCTACAGGACGGAAAAGTGTTAGCTTTGCTTATGATTCATTGCTTAGAGGAAACCCAGTGGTATCTTTACGTAAATTAACATTACCTAGCACCTGATTACAGTTGCTCTGAAGTAATGAATATGCTTCGTTTATAATAACTTGACTGCTACACCACTGTGAATTCTAAACGTAACGAGCGTGGGTAACTTTTATCTAGCAAACCATTGTATTTGCCTCAGCATATCATTGTTATACAAACCATAAGCTGAAGAGGGCTTCAGTTAAACCTCATCATTAAATTGTTCATCTAATCAAACGCCCAGATACAAATAAAAAAGCTGCTAGTTCTTTACCTGTCGATACTGTTTCAAAAATTCAAAGACTGCTTCAAATATAAAAATGAATATATAAGTTCGTAATGTACATGTCGAGGATTAAATCCGCAAGGTAATTTGTTATAATATGGACGTTATTTAAAAAATATAAAACAAACATAACTGAGAAACATCTACCCTAGCCATATGTAAGTCTAAAATGCTCCCTAGTCAATACTGAAATAACCACCCCTATATATATATACATGAAAGTAAGTAAATACGCGTAAATATTAGGGTGTATCTGGCAGTGGTTCTGGCACGCCTCATATTAATGAATATTATATTATTATTAATGTATTTTCATTGAGACTGGCATAAAATAGTATTACGTTTGGTGCGTTGCTTTACCTTTTACAGTAGAAAATTGCTCGATGTCTAAAACGTCTTTAGCGTAGACCGCGTGCGGATCTGGTACGAACGGGGGATCTAGCATTCCTTCCTGAAGACGCTTCCATGTTACGCTTTTAAAGAATGCATGACGACGGATTTCCGACGCTCCGTTGTTTGCACTACGACAGCCTACACAAATATCGAGACAGATCGCACTTCTAAGAAAGCTGCTTTTGTACAAGTAACTGGACCTCTTGTATTCACTCTTTCAGAATACTGACATGACGCTTGAGGCGTGGAGATGCTTATAATCCTTATGTTAACTTCGACTATATTATTGGCAACTTCGGTCTCAGATTGGACGAAGACGAACTAATTTCGAAAGTTAGAAAATATCTGTGCATAGAAAAAGCTACAATAATAAAAGCATCACATAGACGGATCAAACATTGACGTTAGGGCACAAAAACTGGAAGGCAACGCGGACGGCAATAGAGACGCTTATATAAAGTAAGAAATATTAATATGACGTTCCAGATCACGTATTCAGACGGATCTGATAGATCAGAAACGATCAAATGAAGCTCCTCAGACAAACTAAGTACGTACCTAAAAAAAAAAAACAGTGCTTATAGCCGAAACATAACATGTGTTTCATCAAACGACGGCTGATTAGCAATAGTACCATCTCATTTGTCCTAATAATGAATAGAACCAAATAATTATTTGAGAACCACCAGCGAACTATATTCAAGTGTTCGTGGGTGTTTCGCCTAGACATCGTGAATATGATTAGGGTATAGATTTTTCTTTGTTTAAAACATATGTTTGCCGCGGCACAGGCTTCTCCTTATGTTATGTATTTTAAATGTTGCTTATTCTTATCCCATCACATTTTATAAATCATTATCTTTTACCTTACGGAGCACCATTGTAAGAGAAGCCTTACCCAGGTAGCCGAACAGAGGGGTATTGTTCTGATAACGTAAGTGTTCCGTGACCAACAGGCTAACAAAGTCCTTTTTATTTACAAATGGATCAGTTAGACGCTTTGTGCTGCGGGTGGCAACGATAAAGCCATATGGAGATACTTTTTAGTTAATAACATTAACGAAAGATCTCAGTGTATTCGTTTATTCACTATTACCAAGTCGGGTGTTGGGTTGTTTGGCCAGCAAAGCTTGACAAATGGCCCGGGCATCTTCTCCGAATTTGCTCGAGTACCTCTCGCGTTCTTCACGGACCCGCCGTTCAACTTCTTCCCGTTTTACCTTTTCCTTACGAGCACGGAACGGAGCTTGACCCTCGATCATCTCAAATAATAGTACACCCAACGAAAACCAGTCTGGAGAAAATGTGTACCTTTAAAAACATCATAGACGTCACCAACAAAAGCAAGGTGAATGACTGTGTTTATACTATCTAGTACAACGACGATACAATCTTTACGGAATATGGCCGGAAGGAATTTTGTATAATAAGATTATTCGATATATGCCAAATGCTCGGTTGATTTAATGTTGATTAGAGATGTGTGTCCGTGAAGAAACATGTTTCATTGGTCCTATTCTAACGTGAATGAACGAGTTCGTTAGAGATAGGGCGTTTCGATTTCTACTAAGGTAAACTAATTAAGGCCCTACATATAACTATGAACGTACAACCGTTATAGTATCGGAAATATATATGCTCAAGTACATTACATCTTAATAATCTTTTCGCATCATTAAATCTCGCCTCTTTAAGGCTTCGACGATGTTGACCCTATTCCGGTTAGAGCTTATAAAATGCAATTTCTCGATGTAAATCTGAGCCATTCAGATCATCTGATTGTTATGTGATTAATTTAACTGTTGAAAAACGTTTGTAAATTGTTCATCTACTATAAGGTTACAATTAAAAACTAAAGTTACAATTACCTTTCATTGTCAACCACCTCCGGTGCCATGTATCCCACTGTACCAACCCTTCCTCTTACGCTTTCTCCCTCAGGAATCTCCACGGCAAGGCCAAGATCTGATATGCGGACATGACCTAATAAGTGAATAAAAGTTATTATCTGTCACCTACTCAAACAAGATCAACTTAATCGAGCCGGATGTCAATGACAAGACACTATAAACAAAAATCAACAATTCAAGTGGCTATGCTATTTAGTCTGTATTGTGTTTAACGCATACTTATCCCTAGCAGACGGATTCACGCTCGCAGCTACTTTTGCGAAGCATTTGTCTAGTTGGAATCGGCGATCGTGGTCGTCGTTCTACGACATGTCTTGTAGCCGTATTGAAGTTTTCTCGTTTCTTTCTTAATAATATGTTTGCGTGTCGCACGGATAGTTGACCGAACTCGCACTAAATTCGGTACAATCTCCGTCTTGTACCTGATCTATGGTAGAACGAGTTTGTATGACCCTTGTGTACGACAAGATGCTTTTCTCCTCTCTCTAATAGTCCCGGAGTAAACTACGTGCTAAAATGTGAGTGACTTATAATAAACTGCTTGCGGGGCTATGGAGAATGTTACGCTGCGTTTATATGTATTAACTTACTATGGCAGACGGGAAACAACATAAAGCTGCAACAAATGGATATGGTCTTTTCTTAAGCTCAACTGTGCATTGGGAAGATTTCGGCCTCGGTAAAGGGTTTTTTTTTTTTTTTTATAAAACACTAGAGGCTAGATGAATAGATAGTTCAGATTTTTTTGCCCGGTGCTGCCTTCACTACAGTGGTGAAAACATTCGGAAGTTTCTTAACGCGGACTAAATAGGGACACAGCGATCTGCGTCTGTACTCACACTACGTAACACTTATGGGGCTTAAAGAATATGGTGGAAATAAACAGTGAAAACGTAGAGGTCACCGGAAATATAATAATAGATAGAAAGGCATGTGGTCGTATGTGCGGTCAGAAGTACAACAAGAAGCTTTCGCCATGTGGTAATAACTTTATTCAACCGAGTATACACCATACCCAGTCAAAAATGTCATTGTGATCGTATATTTAAATCCATTTTAAACGAGATACGAGTATGAAACAATAATATAGATAGTACCATGGTATTTGCTTCCACAGGCTATTTGTAGCTACACGAATTGCTTATCTGCATGTGTATCAACTTCGCTATAAAGTTACGTACGCAATCTGTCAATTTTTCTGTACAGACAATGCTTTAATAGCCTTTAAAGCTTTTCCTATTTGCTATTTCAGTTTGAAAATTTATAAGAAACTGTTTTCTTTTTTAGGGTTATTATTTTTTAGGTCGATTATCATCACGTACTGTTTGCGCTTTTATCGTATACGCGGACAGGCTTTGTTTTCTACTAAAGATTCTGGCGTATAGTATTAGAGATATATAATGATTTAGGGTCACAGATAAATTTTTAGATTCCGACTACTCGCTCGTGCAGAGTTGTGGAACTTTTTTTTTTTTTTTTTTTTGAGAAAACCTTTTGAATGAGAAATGCTGCCATAAAAGCTCCAATCTATATCGTAAAGGCTTTAATGCTATATGTGAGAGGAGAGATTTCGTACATCTAGTACGGATGTTCAATCTATTTGTCGCGGTGATACTTGATATGCAATACAATTCTTGGCCTGTAAAGATACCTTTTCTCACTTATCCTAAGCACTGCATTATTCTATTCATGTAGCCCCTAAAGATTCTTAATGGGTAGAAAATACAGCAAAGGCTCGGTCAGAGAAAAAATGCATGACCCTCTTTGCCAAAAACTTCACTTTTGGCCATAGACACGACGCGTCGTAGTAAAATTTTGCGTGACGGGTTTCTGAATCCGCTTCAGGAACGAACGTTCATTTTTTTATATGTAAATACAGCTATGGTAACAGCAACATCGTACTCTGTCGTCGTTATTTTTTACCAGCCAGAGACAACAACGGATAAACAAGCAAGGACCTCTACGCCTTCAAATGGAATACCGCCGCTCAGGATCAAACTTGTGTTACCCCCGGGTTATTCCTTTATAAAGCCTTTAGCCACAATGTCAGTGACTGGCGGAGGATGTAGGCAACGCATGTATGGCAGCAAAGTTTCAAAAACCAGCTGGCGTGTTTTCAACAAAGGAGTGAAGCTGGTAAAGCCTTTGCTGGACTTCTGAATAACAATGGGCACTCCCGCTATACCTGTCATTTGCTGCACCTTATCGTACTATTGCATTTCCGATCAGTTCTCTCACCTAGTCAAAACATCGACGATCTGGCTCTGTACGTACCTCAGTCGCCCGAATCCCAATTGCGCCCCCTCATAGTTGCCCCCAGCCAGATCCAATGTGCATGTGCCACTTTTAACGGTCTTTAAAACGATTTGCGAACGCTATCGTAAACCTCAGCGTTTTAACGTTGTTTTTCTTGAATTTCCTAAATCGTACCAAAGCTCTTCCTTTTTTACGTGTTTTGGTAAAGTTGGAAACGTCACATAACGCTTGATTTAAATGCGGAACTTAAAGTAACATCGACACAGAATTTTTTCTGCAAGATACGCGAAACAAATAGCGGCGTGTAAACCGATGCATTGTTGTAGTTAACGGCTTGTGCTTTTAGAGTTGAAACCTATTTTGATGGACAGCATTATACAATTTTCTCAAGACATCTCAATAATTAGTGATAGAGCTATTAGACACAAATTTATATTGCACAATTTTCACAGGGGCGGAAAAAAGGCGAGAAAAGAGTTTTGGCTTTTAGCATGGACCTTGGGGCGATATGCAGAGAATTGCGTTTTTGTTTCCACGTCATGCCAGTACAGCCATGCTTCATTGTCTGATGTATCGGAACACTTCCAGGTTCTCATTGATTACGTTAACATCCTTCAGGGGTATTGTTAAAGGGGCCTGAATTTGCGTGAAATTCAGATCCTCTCGCACAAACCTTGCTGTGAGCCTTCGGGTCTTCGAATGATATTTCCAAGCTGTTCGAGGTGACTGATGTAACATGCCTTATTTTTTTTATGAGTTCCCTGGAAATTGGGCTCAAACATAAGTCGTTTTGCTTTTACGCCTGCACTCATTGTGACAGGGTTGTTCTCAAAGCACCTGGTCCGCTTTGCGAAACGTTTGTCATTGACTTATAGACTGGTCGCTAAATACCTTCTGTAGTGTTGCCACGATTTATGAGAAGTTAATCTCGTTCTTATTATAAAACAGAACGCACGTTCTTTAGTAGTACGTCTTGGTTTTCTAAAAAAAAAAAATGGAACATAGTCCAGAATTACTCATCTTAAAGAGCTTTCAAAATACAAAACCCGTGTTCAAATGATCTGAAATTGGCTCTGTGGGTAGTAGAGACGTAGGCGAATGTAATGCCGCATGCCTGGTTAGAGGTCGGCAGTAAGCTGGTGAAAGCCCTAGCACTGCACAGTTTCTAAAGTTCGTACCTTGGTAGGTTGAGCGTACCTTAATACTAGTTATTACTCGTCCAAAATATTCTTTGGCTAATTTTTGTAAGAAACGTAACATCGAATACTACTCTAGCTTACTACGATCAGTCGTCATCCTAAAGTTGTTTAGCAATAATCAAGTAGAGTGTATAAGGGTAACAGGAGGAGTGTCACAGTTGGATAAAATGTATATCTACGGGTGGACAGCATATATATAATAACTACTTTCTACCTTGGTTTAAATATACTAATACCTAAAATACTAGTTTAAAGTTGAAGCGGATGCTGCTCTAACGGTAGGGTTACTTTGCCTTTTTGTGCATCAAATACAATTTAGCGACATAACAATTAAAGTTTTGACTGAACCTCATTCTGAATGTGCTTTATAACCATGTGTTTGGAGGCCAACATGGTCATGCCACAAAGTGACCCCTACGTGGATGACTACAAGTAACATAAGCTAGCATGGACTATAATAGCCCGTAGTTCACCGGCTAACAACGTATAGTGCGTACTTTGACGTGAAAAAGTTCAAAAACATATATTCAGTACGACACGTTCGGTTTGTAAAATGCTTGGCTATAATTCCAATCGACAACGATATTAGTCCGCCCGATAGACTTCTACATAACGTGCGATGGGTTACCCCCACAAAAACTCTTGCACGTCTTTTAACGTGTTGCTCTTTTCCGCAGTTTCTTGAAGAACAATGCGTCAATAGACCTATTTTTGTTCGAAGTGTAGGAATTCAGTAATTGTTTGCGTTATGAAGGCCTTACGTGTACGGACATTAACTGGCGTCGGTCCTCTTTAGAGAACTTCGATGTCATACGAGATTATCGGTGCGCGCGAAACAGAAGAAAGAACGTGCGCGAAAGAGATCTTAGCAAGTCCATCTTGTTTGAAACGCTCCGCAAGTCGTTGAAGAGTCCAGGCATTTTAGTATGCGTAAGGCTGAGCGTTTTCCTTTTCTTTCGAAAACATCATATCGGTACTAGAGCATTATTGGTGTTAACATAATAATAATACCTTGTCGCAGCAGAAACACGCCTGGCCAATACGCCATTTTAGCAAAGCGTTCATACCTTATAATCAACGATTCAGTGATTTACGGTCCGTATATACTGCTAACTTAAAAACATTTGTCATTTGTAACTTTAAGTACGAACCTCGAATATAAATAGAGGATGTGACATGAGGAAGTACGATAACTGTCAGTAGGAAAAATGTATACCGGTCGAGTTGCGAGCCGGGTATAGTAGGATTAAATGAAATGTTGTTAAACAAATACACTGTTGATTTGCGTCTTTGAAGATTTCCGGTAAGATTTGTCGTTTCCTTTGTATCGCTGAACGCTAGACATAACATATGCAACTATACTGTTATAGTATTTATCTGAACTTACAATAATAATAAGTTCAGCTAGCCTAAGTGCTAATGGCACAATATTTCCTTCTGAGATGAAAAGATCCCCCTGAAGATGCTAGCGCAATTGGTACGCCCGTTAGTTTTCAAGTGAACATTAGCCCACACTCTATGAACAAATTCATTCGAAGGTATTAACTTGGGCTACTACTTTGAGTTTCATAATTCGACCCACAGGCCGCTATTTCGACGAAAGTAATAGAGAAGCTCGATTCTTTATGACGATGATCCTAATATTTTTATAGGATAATATCAGATATGTATCATCGTGAAACAAACAACTTTGAAGCAGCAAAAAATGGAATACTAATAAATTCTCGTATATGGAATTTACTGCTGTTTTTATAAAAAGAAAAAAAAAAACAAATAACTGAGTAAATGACAAAAGTGTGAAGAAGGAGAGTATATTGTTTACTAATTAAATTTTAATGGCAGGTCTGAGAATCCGACATGCTATCGTATGAGAGGACTGACTTAAGGAGCACAACGTTGATAGGGGTTGTGAAAAAACTATAGTAGAATAGTTTCTCACAAAAAAAAAAAAAAAAAAAAAAGTAATGTAAAATTTTCGTCAGCAAACAAGATGGCCGAGTTACTATATATTATTGCAGTGAAGTAATATTTTTACCCTGATGAAATATTATCAATAGAATTTTTTATTTCCATATTAAATATTGTATTTCGGCGAGAGCGCAAGCGGCATCGGTTTGGTTTATATTAACTGCTCAATGCGAAATTTTTGCATACGATATGCCCATCCGATAGGAAGCTCTACCTACAGTTTATCCGAAGGGTAATATAGGACATTTTTTTTTTTAATAGAGCTAAGTCAACACATCCGATCAACTCGACTAAACCGGGCTATGATTGTACAGTTATAGAGTGTACGTCAGTAATACTGAATTTTGAAATATAGAGATTCGGCAAGAAGATGCCGCTCGCATCATTTTTTCTTTCATGTTTTGCAAAGCGACCGATTCTCGGAGAATGACCAACGTCTCTTTCAAGATAACAAAAGTGAAGCATTTATGGCGCTTCCTTCGCCGTACTGGTAACAGCTTCTAACACGCGTGTGTGTATACACATATAAATTGGCTACGGGAAGCTTCAGCGTTAATGATTTTTCTGCACCGGCGAACTCTTTACTTATGTCTTTATAGCCCACGTATATCACGGTGTCTTGAATCGCTGTGGCTTCTGTCAACTCCACCCAATATGCTACGAAGTACTGTTTCTTAATGCCACACACCCGTTTTAGATGGATGAAGATGTTTTTCATTCAATTTAGTAAGCTTCCCATTTAGTGGCTAGTTATCTTAGATGAGTGGACCTGTACTAACTTTTGAACTTCCAAGATGTGCAGTGGAAGCTGGCATAATAACACTGAAAGCTTGTTGTCTACGCCTGTTTACACACTGGCGGTTACTACTGAAAGAATACGCACCATGATCGTCGAGTAGAATATTCTCCGGCTTGAGATCACGATAGACAATATTTTGAGCGTGCAGGTGGTCGAGACCTTCAGTCACTTCCGCGGCATAGAATCGCGCCCGCTCAATGTCAAAGCCCGGCTCCCCGCCCATATTGTAAATATGAAACTTGAGGTCGCCACCATTCATAATAGTTAAGACTAAACAGAGGGAGTCCTTCGTCTCGTACGCATAGGTTAAACTTACCTGTAAAATTCAACAGGACAGTACATGATACAATAAAAAAATGTCTGTATAGATATATGTACATTTGTGCAAATCATACTCTTTCTGGAACCGTCTATTGAAGCTGATAACCTTCTGATACTTCAGCGTATCTTTTACAAGCTTTCGCGCACGTCTCTTATTAACCTTGGGTCTGGCAGTATACATGTGTTAACGAATTAAGTGTGGTTGATACGAAGAGCGCGAGGAAGCCATTTAAGCCCCGCGGGAACCTTGAGGGCAGACTTTTGGAAATCTAACTTTAATTGAATAAGATTTCACACTGCAAATCATAAAACATCGGCACACCCATCCCTTACTGTAACTTCCCTTGGACTTGTTTCAGAATTGAAAAATGGGTTTCATAAGGCCGGCAGTGTATTTGACGGGCGATTGCATAAAGGCTACGCCATTCATTGTTCAAGTGCCAACTTGGAGATTCAAGTTTTCTAAATTCACGTCTTCCTTCTTTGTGTGGGATCGTAGCATCTCAGAAAAATTTGCTTTAGTACCAGTTCCCTTTAACTTGACCCTAAAAGATTTTTTCTATTCATTGCCTAGATATGAAAAATACTACAGTTACTTTTTTATTCTGTGGGGCCAAAAGCTCCCATATTTATCCATATACTGAAGATCCAAAAAGTCAACTCACACCTTACTGACAGCCGTAATAGGATTTTTTCCCTTTAATAGTGAAATAGAAAAATAAACTGTAGCCCGATTCTTCCCTTCGTAGTCCCAGTTCTAATGCCCGACTTACAAAATCTCGCTTTGGTAAATTTCCGGTTGCTATTGCCCATGGCAGTTTTGCCCCAACAAACCCGCTCGCTGGGAGAATTATGATTCATAAAAGTACTTCTAACCCTGATACGTTTTTGTTTATTTCGCGTCACGAGATAGCGGTCGTCAAATGGCCTTGTTCGCTCGTCAGATGCTGTTTATTAGCGTTTGCTTTAAATAAGCTCAGGGAGAGCGTGAAGAAAAAATATGAACGCAACCTTAAGAGAATCACCGTTGATTTTTGATATCGAGGCAACGTATACTCGCGGCCTGACACAGTCATCCAACAGGAAGCCTAGTTTAGTTCATTAATTTAACTTTACTCAGTTTTATTTACACGTTAGATTTGCGCAGAAGCTGGAACGTAGAATACCACGAACGAGGTCTCAATGAATCTGGCCGCTTTTGAGGTTACCAAATAACTGTGTGGATTCATGATTTCATGTTTAACGCAATTGCTTAGTTAGCTGAACAGCAATCGACCTTCCCAATAACCTAGTCACAATTACGCCTTAGTAATAATGCTTGTTACATCTCGTAGTCATTGAACTGAGCAGACTACTCGTACATATTGCATATTTTACTAGTCAATCGTTTCAATCCAGTAGAAGCTCCTGCTGCCAGAATAAAGATGACTCGATACCCTCATGATCGCAAAACGCCTGCAGGAATCAGTGATCTCGACCCGCCTCAAGATGATACAGCGCGGCTGTTTTTCATAAGTGAACGATGCCGATAGGCGATGGGGTTCATCAGAGAACGGAAGGGAATTGGAGAACCCATGTCATAACATCCCCGAACAGGAAACACACACGGCTAGCAAGCATACACACATACAGGGTATAGAAGAATGGCGTAGATAACAGGCTGTCGAGCACCAGAAGGTGGCAAAAATGTCCTGGCTGCCATTCCTTCGTCGCACTGATTTAGTGCCCGTCGCTCCATCTCTTCGTTTGACGCTGCGGTGGTAAACAACAACACACACTAACTCTGCCACCTAATAATCTTGGCGGCAAAAAAAACTCGATGGCTAGAAAATACGGATGTGTGTATACACACACGCGCACATAATTTATCTTGTTATATTTGCTATGTCGGATGGTTTTGCTTTTATAGAATAACCGTTCTAGTATTCCACCTCTGTCAAGAAGGGTTTCTGTTCTAAGGTTCGCTGAAGGTTTCTCACCATCCTACGTAAGTTTCGATACATAAGAACAGATCGTTTTTTCCCTTCTTGATACATGTAGAATAGGCTTGCTTTTAAACACTGATTAATGAAAAACTAGTTAGAAAACAATGTGGTTTTTTTTTTACGAAGCGAACTAACAACATATATTTTTCTAATGATCAGCCACGCTCCTTTGGCATCTATTAGTTAGCCATCCTCATCCAGCGAAGCTGCAGCCTGTGTCCTTGTATGCCGGTATGTGCTACTGCTGGCGTATATATATATATAACAATATGACTAACTAAACGTCGTTTTATCAGTAATACCTCGTCGCACGCAAACTATTGTTAGTATAAAGAAAACAACACCTTACCGATCATTATCTTACTAAAGGCTTATTGATCGCTGACTGGTGAGATACAATATAACCATCAATACGGGTAGGACGATAGTGATACTTGCTTGTCCATGAACCGTCTTAATCATACGAAGCAATGAGCTATAAATGTACGAACGACCTGAAGATACGTACGACAAATCTTGAATTGATCTTTTGCAGAATTTGCTTCTCTATGAGGACCATACTCTCGCCTTTCCGCTTCTTGATTCGTTTTTTCTCGAGTTTTTTGCAGGCGTACATCTTACCCGTTGCGCGTACTTGACAGGCACATACCTCGCCAAATCCACCCTTACCTGGAACGCAAAAAAAAAAAAAAGCGTCAGATTTAATCATGAAAGAGCTCGACGTTATTCTTCTGGGACAGACTTTAGATCTAAACTTCGTCTCTAATTCGTCTAATTAAGAATTTATAATAAACGTTCGAAATTGCGTCAAAGGCGGGACGTTTGGACCTGACAATACCATTTTGGTCGTCATTTACAATAACAAACTGTGAACATATAAGCGACTTGACAAAGCGACCCGGGTTCATGTTGATGATCGATGTAAAATTCAGTTTATGATTGCCATAAGGAACAGCTATCAAGGTGGAATCTCTTGTGGTTCTTGTTGATCTTGTCGTAATAATGGTTCTTCAACGTCGGCCAAATTGATAGTGACCAATAGTGTAGCCAGCTGGCATGCATTAACGGTGCTAACACTGTAGAATGCTCAACTCGCCAACGGCTTGGCCTTTTGCTGTTTTTTGTTTTTTTTAAAAATGTACGCATTTGACTGTTGCCACATCGCAGTTGTACTTTACGCCATCGACGTTTAATTACAAAAACATAACTTTTTTAAATATCAGTAGTTTTCCGACCGGGCAGAAAATTTAAATCTATAGAGAAAATACTTTGGGGCAGTATTTTCTTTTTTTGACAGTAAGCTTCTAGTCATCAAGCATTGACAGCGCCCAACATTATGACGTATACTTAGAAAACGACTAAAAAGATTAGAACTGCCACATCCCGTATCTTCTTTATTTACACAAGTTGTGCAGTAGCTATGTGTTGTAGGCGGGAGGACAGGAACCGTGATTTAGTTTTTAAGGTCATAGGTACTTAATTAAGAATGGTCAAATATTAACGAGTTGAGACGGAAACAGTCTGCTAGTCGAGCGGTTATAAACGTATATACAGCTCATTTGTAAATTGAAAGATATGAAATTTTGAATTGGGACATTAAAAATTCATGTGTAATTATGAAAATCGGAAATATATGGTACGTAAGAATAAATTAAATTCATTGAACATAACTTATTTTTGCTATATTCATACTTTTTTTTTTCCTAGTATTTTACTTTTAGTTCAGCTTTTACTAGTTTTCTTCTCACATAAAATCAGGCTTTTGTTATAAATAAAGCATTACCTTAATTAAAGAATGTCAGTGTCAAGGACACGATAGGTGTATTTTAATAGCGTAATATAATCTAGCATATTTGTTTCTATACGAAGACCAATTAGTAAGCGTTCATGGTACTTTTCTATAATCCTGTTTCTATAATCCAAAGTCCGCATGTTCAGACATGTTTAAACTTGGATTTGCTGTTATTCTGTCCCACTGAACCTTCGTATCAATCAAAACTTAATAATGGTCTCGGAGTAACTTTTAACGTGAATTAAGTATAAATTGTTGTTTATCGATATGCGACATAGTTCCGGGAGCATCTAGCTGTGACACTTTAAAATGTGGATTCTGATAAATACAGCTAAAAGTTGTTGGCTGACTGATGAGCGAACGTTGCTAAAAGAGCGCAACAACAGCAAACGTAATTAGGCTCGGATTACGGCAAAATTATATAATCTATTAAGTATTTAAAGACAGTTCTTTAGTTAGTTCTAGCCAAAATAGCGGAAAGAAAAATTAGTTTCATTAAAAAATCAAGGTACGATCGACCCGCCGGACCGTGTTTTGGCTGTAAGTATTGCTGCAGCATTTAGGCGTCATGGGAGGGTGCAGTTTTGTTAATTGTGTAGGTTATTCAATTGGACTGTTTTTGGTAATGATATAGTATAGTTTGTTCGATTTAAAGCTTTATAAGTTGCGGAAGGATTACCTTTTCTAGAGCGCTGAGTTTCTTCGGCTCTATGCGAATCTATTGGAGACAGAGCTGTTCTTTTTAAGATAAAAACTTTACCCTAATATTAAAATATGGTGTCAAGAATCATCATCTGAGAACGGTAGCATAATACTACGTTGAGCAAAAGCAAAAGGAGGCTTGCTAGCACAAAAGAAAGAAGTAATTGTTAACTGGAATAAGATGGAAGCTTATAAATTAGGTATCAGTTAAACGAAGGACTTAAACAATGTAACAGACGAACATAATACGGTAATGAGAGAACTGCAAAAAGTCAGGTAATATGACTATAAATAACTAACTTATAGTTTTCCGAGTTATGGTTAAGTTTGATTAAAAATATTAGCAATATAAGTTTACAGCTGCGCAGGTGGAGTAGGTAAAATAAAAAAAAAAAAAAAAGTAAGTAAAATCAGTTTAATGTGCGTGCAGGTAATAGGATTTAAAGTAGTTTTAGAATGGCTGACCGACAGGGACACTAGATCCCCACATTCGTTCATTTGAGCCTAACATACAAAAAACATTTTGTCTATCTAGGGACATCGTTAAATCTTTCGATTTGTAGGAATCACAAGTATTATATATTTCCTATATAGCAAACGAACAAAAATTGAGAATATTAGTCCTTGTTTCTAAATAGAAAACAACAAATATATATACGTGTATAATTTACAGCTCAGTTACTTGATTTTGAGAAACGTTGAGTTAATCGAATATTGCAAAGATACTGAAAGAAAATTAGATCAGTGTTTATATTTGTCCGTGCAAATCAACTGTTTTATCGAAATTATTTGCCGCCCAATAAAAAAAAAAACACGTTCAGACATTTTTACTCAGAAGATATCGCTAGTGTTTTCCATTTGGACAAAACGAGCCATATTTGCAATTCATCACCCCGTTCTTGCAGCCCGAGACACTGCCTTAATATTAAACAAAATCATTTGTGAAGCCAGAGCCTTATTTAGCTCAAGGCAGTAACTCGAACTGAACCTGTAAATAGCATACACAGTGTCCGAAATGGCAGTCCTGTTAATATCACAGGCAGAGCTTTAGGTATTGTCGCTATTATACATCCGCATTGCTAAGGTTACAAATAAAATATTTAATGTATATATGTATGTATTATCGTAACATACACGTTAATTTATATAATAACGAACGTAAATGTCGTACTAGTTCGTAGGGCCATAGAAAAATGTATTTCTAACAATTTCTAATCCGCTTGCGCTTTTTACCTAAAACGCGATACATGCGAAAAGTCTTCTGCGTGACAGGTTGACCTTCCAGCCATTTCCATTGAAGATATCGGTGGAAGTACATCGTCTCGACAAAGTCGTCGAAGGGTGTTCCTGAAAGATGCTCCTTCAACGCCCTGTAATAACATCAAAGAAAATGTATGTAATTTTAGCCAAAATACTAATACGATTTAAAACGAAAAATCATGCTTTTGAAAAAAGAAACCTGCATGCGTACCTTCTTACTGAACTTATTAACATTATAATATAATATCAAACTGTGGCTAACTATATCCAATTTAATAGTTTATTATCAGTTGAATAGTGTTAAATCAGCCAATGTCTTATCACGGCATACGCTAAGTAATGGCACTGTCTTTGGGGCGCAGTCAACGCTCACCACTGCTAAAGTGGAGGCGAAATCGGTGAATTTCGACAGCTTTTTCAATTGAATAATGTACAGCTGAGCTTTGACGGAATACGCTTAGTGGGAAACACAACAATAGATGACCACCTATGTCCATATTAATAAAAAAAGTACACTTCGGGTTATTTTCTCCTATAAATACTGGTGTCATTACGTTAAGGCATCACAGCCCACTTCTGCGAAATGCACATATATTCACTGTTTGCGACCTGTGCTAGCTCTTTTAACCTACTGCGTTTCTATTCTGTGCGCCGTTCTCAAGAGTATACGACCCGGCTGCCCTAGTGGAGGCATCTCTGCTTTCTACATTCATAAAATAAGTGATTTAACGCTCTGCCTAGCGGGAATAACGTGCCGACGACCAAGTCTCATACCAGCCTATATTCGGCCGGCCGATTCGAAATCGGTGGGAAAACTCGTCAGGGGACTGAAAACGCCGTTTTCTCATCCTACCTCTCCTCTAATTATTGCCGGAAATTTCAACGTGCGCCTGAACCGGCCGAACTTAGGCCGCACTACGGCTTTTCTAGACACGCTCGCAGACCATGGTTAATGAGTAGTCAATCCCACCTCAACACCGACTTTCCTTCGACATGCAGAAAGTTCGATCATCGACATGTTTGTAACAAGCGTAACCAGAGATAGGGTAAAGTTTCAAGGTGAAAGTCATTCAGTGCCAGAGGACGGAGGCATTCGTGCTCATTTACCGATAGCAATAAATCTTATTGTCCAAGTTACAGTCAAGCGTCAAGCTTCGTCACAATGTCTATGTATTGGAACGCACTTGCAAAGCTCTCCCTGTACCTGACATGATGAATGCCGAAACTTGGACGCAGCATTTGATCGAAATTCTGGTACAGTCCCTCCGTTCCCCTGGAGCTGTGGTTCAACTATACTTGCAGTCTTACTTGAAGGACGCAGATGGCCTTCAGGCTTATGGCCGAGATATAGTCTGAATTTTCGTTTTTAAAACAATTTCTCGAAAAACGTATAAGTCACGAAGGAAACAATACCTTTAACGGCTAGAGACTCGTCTGACCGCCACAGAACGTCAACCATACAAGTAATCAGCGCACGACAATAGCTCAGATGCTTGCCCAAGTAACTCCTCGGCACACATAAATGGTTTCTTAGAAATGTTTACGTCAAGAGATACGATACCACGCGCAGTGTCCGTTTTCGCCGCAGGAAAGCATACTACAGTCTGCTCCACACACCACGATATCTTTTAACAAGACTTCATAGTGCAGGAACTAACACGAAACCTTGGGAGTCTATGTAGCAAGGAGGCCGCCAGTCCAGATAGGATTTACAACAAATATCTCGAATATGCCGTCATTCTGGCACCATGCTGGACGCCACTATTTAATAAATGTTTACATCGTCGTACGCTCCCGGGCGAGTAGAGAGAGGCTACCCTGTTAGTAATCCCTAAAGGGAACCGCGCCGTCTCCATGGCGGTGTTCGTCTGCTTCAAGACAATCTTCAATTTGGCGCCCAAGGACAAGGTTATGATCGCGCTAGCCGAAATAGTATCCCTATGAATATGCTCAACCTTCTCGTTGCGATTTTTTAGTTGGACAGAATAACCGTCGACAACGGAGTGGCTGAACTCCCGCCCTTCACGCGGGCAACATATCTAACTCAAGGGAGCAACCTAAACCTATCTTATCTCCGTCGTGTTAAGGGCCTAATTGATCCAATAAGGGTCATAACTTGAAGTATCTCGTATGCAGGTCGGACAGGTTCTTGGTGCAGCAAACTTTTGGATTTGGAATTGAGCGTAAATCTGACCAAGGTGAAGGCGATGAAGTTTAGAAAGGTAGGCAAAACAGTCGCTACTAACATTCTGTACCTTACTTATGCAATCCTGTTTCTGTATTTGGAGTAGCTCTTCTCCGCGAGCGGCAAAGGTTTTACTGCCCACGTCTCCGAAACGTGCAGGAAGGCAGCGCTCACAGCACGGGCGATCAAATCGCCTCGCCGCTTATCCCTTGTAGCCGCCCTTAGCGTTTTCGACTTCAAGGTAACTCCGATTACAAAGTCTAAGATACGTGTTTATTGACGAGATCAAAGGGCCTTAAACAATCAAATTGCGTCGAAGCCTTTTTCCTTTAAAAGGAACCGGGTAATCGCTTCACGTATCTTTTAGCTTACTCCTCGTGCTGTCAAAAGACATGTGTCGTCCCTTTAAACTCCCAGCAACGGAAGTCTTTAAAAGCAACCTTGGGAACTACAAGCAACAATTCGCAAAGATCGATGAAGATTTATCCGCTTCGAGTACGACCAGAACAAGTTCCCCAATTATGTAGCGCCTTTCAGCGTGGGCAAACCAGTGCCTCACAATTTCGAAAGTACACACACCACGTACGGTCACGGAATAGTCCGAGATTTACTATTAGGAGAAAGTTCGTGTCCTTATTTTTTAGAAAATTTATAGAAAAGTGCACAACAACGATACAAATAGAAAGGTCGACAAATTAGAACATAATAAACGTAATGTTATCATATGATAGCATTTGAAGGTCATGGAAGGCGTTTGTGTATCGGCGTTCCCCCCGCTTGGTACGCCACCCAAGTATCAACGGATGAGTACCTTTGCGCGTGTATGCGCGTCTTTCTATTGCGCTGTAAGAGTTATTTGTGTGCCAATTGAAAGATTGCAACAACTGCTAGCTTGGCGTTCTCTTTTAGCCGAACGCGACGTTAGACAGAACAAAGAAACAGATCTCGATCTGAAATCCTAATGCAGTCGACATATGATATTTCGAAAGGAAGTTGATTACCTAATGTTATGTACAGTCTATGCCAATAGCAATTAAACGTCCTGTTTGTTCATGATAAATAGCCGCGCTCCCCCCAGAGATTATGTTACACACAGAATCGTGCCCAGTTACTAGACCCAATCCAATCGAAATTAGATAAAACTAATTAATGGAGTCGGTCAATCGTTAAGGCAAAAGCGTTTCCTCCGACCCGTCGACTATATGCGCTTATTGCTCTGTAATGGTAGCCTGCTAGAAGATAAATTAACAACCGGCCGCATTAACTCCGTTTTAACTGGTAATTGTTTAACACGACAACGACTTGGTTCATTAAGGCCAAGGTGCGTAATTATTCAGAGGCTTTTTTTTTTACTCTTCATAATGTTTCACAGAAATAATCAAAAGTGTTTCCTTCCATGCCCCTGGTTGCTGCAGATACGCTTCCTCTTAAACAGGCTTCGGACTCAAAAAGCCAATATTCGATATAGCAACAATGAAACGTGTTTGAAATTTTCGTTATCTCGGCAACTCCAAAGATCTATTTAGAAAGCTCGCCATAATATTTATCCTGTTTACGACAACAATTATAAAACAGAATACTGCTCGAAAGCGGCTTGCCAAATTTAAAAATGTCACCTTACATATAAAGGACGCATTCCGCGTCAGTTGATTTTCATACTGAGGCTGACTGTGAGACAGCTCTGGGTTTACGTGACAAGATGACCTGCAACAACGATTATCACGTATCTTTGCTTGACGCGATTTACTCGTGAACGCAGATCGCCAATTCTTCACTAGTAATAGTCCTCCTTCGCAAGGCCCTTTGGACCATTCTTAGATTCAAGAAACTAGACAGAGCAGGCGCATTCTTCTCGTCCGAAAAAGCCACTTATAATTTAACAAAAGAGTTTCGGATAATTCTGTTAGCTATCGAGTTCTCGTCGTACACGACATGAACCTCTTGATTTAGCAAAAAGCAAGTTAAAGTGGGTCAAATATGCTTTTTTCTTCTACCCCACACCTGGAGTATCCATTCTTTAAGCCTAATCTCTCGGTAAGAGAATGAAATCACAACAGATTCACGGGGGACGCAAGCTGTTTTCTAATATTATATAGCAGTTAGCCAGCAGTAGACTTATCTAAGAAAAAGCTGATTCGCAGTATTTTGTTTCCCTATCTGATAAAAATTGATAGAAACCAACAAGCATTTGGTAGTAAAATGTGTACGATTGTGCCGCGTTTCACAGCTACTAATGTCTCCCGAGTCCTAGTTGGTTACATTATTGTGAGCCTTCGTAGTAAATTTCATAGGACTCTGTCAAACGGCTCCTACCTTACGCTCGAGTTACTCGTGTATCTAGGGCCCCAAACAAACCTATTCGCTTCAATCTGAAACAACATCAAAAAGTACCGAAAAGGTGACTCTGGCGATACTACCCATGGCAACTGCTCAATGATAGAACAAAGCCAATACGAGTTTTATCAAGCGCCGGTCGACTTCCACTGCCAATATAAAACGCTGATCATTTTCCGTGACAAGGCCAGGCGACAGTCCAACTCATTGAATAATGCAGTTTTGCAGGCCCAAAGCCCGGGCAATCGCAAGCGCCTTCAAAAAGATGAAGTAATATCACTTTGTTTTGTAAAATAGCGCATACATTTATGATATCTGTCTGAGCGTGAAGACTCACCATGGAGACAGGTATCTTTAGGTAGGTTTGATAATTTTTAACGAAATTTTGTAACAACTAATTGTCAGCAATAGTATTCAAAAGGAATTAAAAAATAAATGGCTTTAAAGGAATTAAAAAAAAAAATGTAAATGGCTTATGCGTGCAGTTTTATTGTTACCGTGGAAAGCATAACACGGATTTATTAAATGTTATATGGGGTATTTCGAAACGAAAAGGTAATCCTTAAGGGGTGTTTGGGGTCGGTCAAAGAAGAATTTTTTCGATTAGGAGAAGAAACCCACTCTCAGTCCAAGATATTTACTGCTAGGCAAGTCCTCAGGCTTTATAGCCCCACACTGATGTTAATCTAAACCGTTGTTGTTCCATTTAGCCCGATCACAGTTTAGCCAGACGCAAATAGTTATCACATTGCTGTTATCTTAATACGCCTACCCGATAAATGTTTCTCGTGTATATGGATTGTTTTAATTATCTTGTTTCTTTACTGCCAGTATTAATAAACGTAAGTTGTGTTACGAACAAGCTACCACTTAACTGCAAACCACAATCCTTCTAGTTATGAGGTACCAGTTGTCCTGATAGCATCAATTCGGTTGTCCTACTTGATCCATTACAGTAGACAAATCCAGCCTATCTATTATCTTGACTTAATGACTCCGATACTCCAAGTGATCGGTTTGAAGAATCAACTTAACTTAGCGTTTTCACAGTTACCCTATTACCCTATTACCCGATTACCCTGCTACTACATCTGATGTAATGCCTGAGGGTTTCAGTAGCGGTCGTAAACCGCACGAAACGCTAGTCTATCGCTCTAATTCTGGTCTCACGATCGAACGCTGAATTAGTCTCCTTGTTTTTTCATCTGTGCTACTTCTCGCGATCTTCGTCCCCAAGCTACGATGAGTTTTTTATTATTCTGCGGACGTTAATCCATTACTTGAAGGCAGTATTAACATCTATCTCAAAATCGCCAGTATAAACCCGAACTACTATTATTCCAATTGCATGTACATGAAGCCCATGGCCTTCCGTGCCGCACCAGTCTGTCATCTGTTAAACCTGTCCAATCGAAAAATTTGAGGGGAGTTTGAAGTTGATTCGTCGAATTTTTAAGCAAAGACATCTATTTCCTTTTAGAGGTTCGTCAACGAATGCCATGGTAATGCAGTTCGAAGCATTTATGTGGCTTTGTCGTTGAGATCTTGCCTAACCCAAACATTCGTTCAGACGTGAATCTACTGGCGGGGCTGTTATCAACACTTCATTCTGTTACTATGTGCCCCGGTCCCCTGTAGAACATAAAAATCATTGTTATTTGACTGTTTACTTATCTGTGACCAATTAAAATAGAATAGGTATAAACAAAAGAACAAAGTCTTCTCTGTTCGTCAAGATATTCTCAATGTCGAAGCAATGGTCTTCCTGTTATTAAGTCCATTTCTTAATGACGCTAGTTCAACCACGTTTATACGTATTTCCACGTTTACTGAAAAACAGCTTGTCATCGAAAAAAACATTACCTCCTTTTAAAAGATCTACTAAGGCTTATATACGCATATGATGTTTGAGATTTTAGTGGACTTCATCATTAATCTCAGATACGCTCATACTCATCGTATACGTTGATTTGGCCCATCCAGGATCGTTTCTACATACAATTAAACCATGTCTAATGGCATATAGATTGATGTGCAATGTTTACTTGAAGTCTGTGATTTCGCATACAGGCTCCTCAGGTAGGTTGGAATTTTCGTTCGCGTTCTACCCGTTACAAGCTACACAGATAGTTTTGTGTTCTAAGAAGAATTGAAGTTTTATGCAACTGGAAAGTATACCTCATTCTGACTGATGGCCCGACGTTCCGAATCAAGCCCAAAATAATTCCTCTTGAGAGACATATGCTTCGCTCCAACCATGCTCAGAAAGTACGAAACTTAATTTAGCTCCTATAACCTAATCATTTTACCGTTTCCTCTGTTGGCGGCAGAGCTAGATAACTATAATGTTGCGCTCGAAGAAGCGCTTTTGCCAAAACAGAAGCTCGTTTCAGGCGACCGAGTTATGGGCGTTGCCGATGGTCGAGTTACCTATCATTTCTTGTTAAAATACACTAGTGCTAAATATTCTAGGTTACTAACCACTTACAAAGAGCATTCCTGCCTTAACAAAACCATCACATATATCAATTATGAAATGCCGCGCTATCTGGTTCAACGTTACAATATCCACTGTAAAACATACCCTGAACATGGTGCGAAGAGGTCTTTTAGTGGTCGCTCATTGTTCTCACTGTTTAACTGCGTTCGGATCTCGTTCTCTAACTCACAGTTGAAAATATCCGAGAATGCTGCCTGAAAAGAATAACATAATAATTTCCACAGTTAAGTTACAGTTAACAAATTCAGTTGCTAAATGTTCGCTTTTTATCTGTTTTTTTTTTTAATCTTACTCTGTTAAACGTACCTAACTGTGTTGTAGGCTGATATTAGTCTTTAAGAAGTTTAGTCGAAGAATTGCTACGATTCGATGAGAGATCAAATCTATGACCTTACGGGGTAGGACCGATCGCTTACGATAGGGACAACTAGTCGTTAACGTATTATAGCGTTACTTCTTTCAATTGTAGTAACCAATAATAGCAGCATTCATTGTTTCATTACTATTCCCTTCGGGAACTAAGGGTTGCATCTTCATGTTTCAGGCATCACGTTATTATGCGAGGTTCACTATACGTAGGGTAGCTCGCAGGCACATACGTCCTGCAATGGATGTCCCATTGGTCAGCGGAGTCGGCCAAATACATGGTGTGCTTCGTCTTGTACTTGTCAGTAGGTTGTCAAACATGAGAAGGAAGCTTGTCTGCCATTTGATAGACCACTGCCATAGAGATTCGTGACGTCGCGCGTTTTTTTTTTCTTAACACCATTCCAAAATCCAGGAGACATTATGGGTGTGGATATGTCTTTTAATGCTATGTTTTATGTTTTTCAGTGCGCCTTATGGATAATAGTGAAGCTTTGAATCGAGGGCTCTCTACTGAGATCCACAATGATGATGTTATCAAACGAAATAGCTCGACAACAGCCGCGACGTTCCTCGCTGTTCGTGCCTGCACAGGGCGTGTCTAGGTTTTTCGGCCGTATGTTAGTGTTTGACGAGTTGAAAGTCATGAAGGCCTCGTAACAATATATCGAAAAGGACACTCTGTTTCACACTAGCGGGTCTGTGTCGATAGTTAACTACTACCGTAGTATATCAGCTATTCGAGACGCACCGTGACGCGCCGTGTTCCGCCTGTTGACAATAGCGAATTGTCCGGAGGCCTATTCAAAAATACCGGCCGTGTTCTCTCAGAATAGTGAGAGTGTTTATAAAGGAGACCTGCTTCACACCGAAGCCAAACGTGCTGGTAAATGGCAACGACTCAAAGGCGGGCTGACTCACAGTTCGGAGCCACTCGAAACAGCCGATAACATGGGCTGCGGATAACACAAGTACATTTTCTGTGTTCCTAAATCTCGTCGTGTCAATGCAACAATAACCTAGATTTATAGTGATAGCGCTAGACATTCCACTGAGCTTGGTTGAAGTTTCCGTAACAAAACCTCGATCCGGCGATTGACGCAATCGCATTTTCTGCCATCCGCTTCGCATGCACAATGACCTAACGCATCTCAAAGGCTAGATAGTACAGCGGCAGCAGAAGCAATCGAATAAAATTGTCCGGCAACAACCAAAAGCAGTTCAACGACGGGTATTTCTGCAAGTGTGATTACAGCCTTTCGAAGCTCAGAATTTCCCAATAAATCCCAGTGTCCCATAAACCAGCCCTTATATCAAGAAATCGGAAGCCTTATCACGTCCACCGTTGAGGACGCATTCCTTACATTGAGTAATATGCCTGTTTCGAAACATACCCTGCACAGCAATATCTGTGAATAAAAACAGCTTTCAATAAACGACAGTTTATTAAGCCTTCAATACAGTATCAATACAATATCAAAGCTTCAACTCAAAAACTATGCAACAAGTATATAAATTATTCAAACCATTATCAAACGAAAAACAGACGGGTATGCTATGTGTGAAGCAACATCCGAAAGATCAATTCAATCCATCAATCCCAAAGTTCTTTTTGTCGTTTGCTGATATTTGAAGCTGGCTTTACAAACTAACCATTGGAAATCGGATATATTACTCTAAAAGTTTCTGAACAGCTAAAAGTTATTTCTTATTTGCAAGGATCGCAGTAGAGAGCGCCTGAACTGGCACCCTAACGCCTTTTGTAAGCTTTACTACAGGGTGTTCGAGTATTAGCCACTAACGCAATCTGCATTTTGGACCTAACGCCATGGTACCTTAACACCGTGTTATTATAGGAGTTATAGAAACGACATTAGGATGCCTCTTATAAACTGTGCTGCAATTTAACCCGCTCTTTATTGCAATTATTTGGGTACCGTTTACTACTTTGTCAGACTTTGAAATTGAAGACCTTCTAACTGTCCAGACTCCATTAGGTTATATACATACACGCAGCGAGGCTTAGAGCTTGAAACGCTGGGCAGTCGCGCAGCCTTTAGCTTACTCTGACGTCCATGTTCTTTCCTAAACAAGAAGCGAATCTGCACAAGTGATTAGGCATATTAGCGTTAACGAAAATGAAGCACGGAAGAGAAAAATGATAAAGAAGAAAGCCAGCTGTGCTTAAAGTAGGTGGTAAGACAGCCCTTTGATTTTTCATAGAGCCAATAGCTAAGCAATGGGGTGACAGAGAACACGTCCCCCATTTTCCATGCGAAATTCAAACTCAACCGTTGGCAGTTGCCATCTATTTCGCGACAGCCGCTTCGAAAAGCGGGTCCTTTCCTTACCACGACGACGATTGGTTTTCTGCAGCGCCCTTTCTCGCCACCGCAGAACACTGCACTATAACACTCAGCCGAGTAACGCTTCCGGCAACGAGCAACGGCAATGTTTATCGTACACAGACTGTTACTATTCCGCCCACCAACAAGAAAGTGTCGGGAATATTGATGCAGCTCTCTACTGGTGCTCTGTTTCTCTAAGAAATCTTTAATCCCGCTGACCCCAGTCCAATTTCTTTGGCGCCGCCGTCGCAATAAGTTATGCTAGCGTAATGTAAGGGTAGTGTTGGGCCTTCGGTCGTTTATTATGCCACTGCGGTATTCACAGTTACATCGGGCTTGACCGAGGCTATTTGTAGGCATTTGGCCACTTGCCGAATATCGATTAATCTGCACCGCCCCTTTTGGCCGATCCAAAAGAGCGTGTTGATAGTCAGAGGAAAAGAAATCAGCCGTACAGAGGGCAGAACTGCATGCTGGCTTTACCCAGCGTTGACAAAGTACTATTTGCAAAGCTTCTCCGTATATCGAGCCTGTATATAGAGGCAGCATATTATTAATCTGATATATGTTCACGCGTATCGATTTCAGGATCATTATACTCAGCGGCTTAGTACTACTCGATGCCTTTCTTAGCCGGTAACAACTGACCCAAAAGCTATAACTTCAGCGGCCTGAACTGGTCTATTATTCCGATGTTGCTGGTCATTATTCCGGCCAGCAACATCGGAGTTATGTCAGAGGGTACGGCTAGATTCTCACGAAATGATTTGTGGTGGCTTACGACCGGCACCCCGTCGTGCATATCTAAGCGAAAGCCTCTCGCACAGGTTACGATACGTAACTAACTTCATTATTGAAATCAGGCCCGGTCGTAGTTCCTACTTCAAAGGTCGCCACCGCAAGTTGCCATTGAAACAATTCATTCATAATCTGCCTCAGTCTATTCACAGCCAGTGGTCGAATATGAAGACGCTCGCCAGACGGGTGGTGCAGCTCGCTGCTCAATGGAAGTAGCCGTTAAAAACGATTATTTTACCCTCCCATAGAATATACGGTAAGTATCCAGCTCTCGTAAACAACGTTATCATATCACTATCTATTTGCCGACAGAATAATTTTGCATCAGTTGACTTAGAGACAAAACTGAATCAGTTTACAAGATCAGGCTGTATTTTGCTGAGCCTGTGAAATAGGCTAATTTGTAGCTCAGTAAACTAGTAGCATAAGCATTACGTACGTAATATAGAGGTGCACGTTTTTCTTACGGTTAACGCGGCCCAGAATTGCTTGAAGTGGCTGAGAGCGATTATCTCGCCGGACATTTCGCCCGAATTTCTCGCCGTTATCGGACGGGAAAGATCTAATTTCTGCCAAAATGCATTGTAATAATATTCGAACTATTTGCATCAAGCACATTTTTCTTCGTAGAAACCGATCGACGAAGGAAAAATATGCTAGATTTACAGGACCGAGGAGTTCAGAGCGTTGCCTTTTCTGAGTTTGTTACAAGACTATGTTAGGACGCGATATCAGGAACGCTTTTAGTGCCTTGAGCGATCGATACAAAACACTACAACGAAATACACTTTGTTGTGGTATTCGTAACGAATGTCTCGATAGTCAGTGGGGTCAAACATACTCCCCTCAATAATCGTTTTGCAATATGTACACTGTATATTCTTGTGGCTGCTCCCTTTCGAAAAGCATCCAAGTGTGAAGCGTAATGCACCTGGCTTTCACTGAGACTTCGCGTGCGTTCCGCTCTGTTCTGCTATTTCCGAGGGGTCTTCGTAGCGATCAGTGTCCGTAAGGTATCGTCTCGCTGCCTTGCCATAACGCACGCAGGCCAACTCCCCAACTATTGGTTCGGTCTCTTTTTCACTTTCAACATAGAATGGTGGTGCATCCTTTGTGGCAAGTTTCTTCGCTAATGGGACTTTTGCCCCGATGCTGCCCCCTTGTCATTTTGCTTTCTTCTATTATTATTATCACTGCTACTATTGCCTCTCTTCGCATATGTTCCTGCCATCCTTCTTTCTGCTGTTGGATCCGTTTTTTACAGTTCCTTCACATTGTGCATTGGGCAGTTGCTCGATCTCCATTACTGGCAGGCGAGTGGAACGGAAGCCCGACAGCAGAGTAAACGCTTTGTCACCACCATGATCGTCGCGTACTCACCATTAGTACGGAAATACCCACCTATAGTCGCCATTTTAAAAAGCTGCTCTCGTGCCAGGGCGACAGCATAAAGATAACGATGCCACAACGCCGTGGTATACGACCACCCCATCACTACCTCATGCCATCACTAAAACCATCATGTATGGCTACTGCGATTGCGGCCACTGGCCCCATATCCATTCACTGCGCTTCTCCCTTATTCTGCTTTAACAAGGTCGGGATAAAAAAAAGACAGCCAAGGAATAAAGATATTGTGGAACGACACATATGCGGAACAAAACGCGCTGCAGATGATGGCACCACTGGCGCAGTCGTTACGATCTGCCTTCACTATTCCTACCTGTGGATAGCGTAAAGGCCAAAGACAATTCTCTTTTGTAATGTTTGTTTGATTTTTCTCCTTCGACAAATTATCTTTAGCGGCTCGTTGCGAATACGCTAGTAACATACAATAATAGATCGCATACCACTACAATGTTATTATGTCAATTTGGTTAGGTACTTCATCGACGCTACAACGCAGGAACGTAATCGAGCGCTTCCCTTTCAGGCACCGTAGTGCTGCGTATCATCAATCATAGTCTTCACCGGATGTGTTCATACTACTGGAGTCGTAACAGCCTTAAGTCAACGATGAACCAAAAAAAAACGAGGTCTTCAATATCGCACAGATGGACTTCTTCTCGAGCTAAAATATAAGTTCATTGTTTACAAATCCTTTCTTGATGAGACTGAACTACAGTTTGCATTTAAATGCCAGGTAATTTGGTAGACTTAACGTTCAGAGCTGGTTAGTCAAATTCCTATGCAACCTATTGGTCTACTGTGTAGGGATGATACGTGGAAATAATATAGGAAACGCAATATAACAAGATCTAGAAAATTAGAAGACATGATGAGAACCCTAAGCACAGCTTTGATACGCAGCTTCGTGACGATAACTTGTTGAAAGTCTGGATTTCTCTAGCCGAGGATGCTCTTTGAAGAGTTTGGCTAGTTCTTATAATGAAAGCCTCATTCGGTAAGATATCCGATAAAGTAATACTGGAGCAAAGAAGAATTGCTTTAGGATGAAGATTCATGTACACTGTGACTGCAGCGACGAACATATAATTATCATCGATTGCACTGCGTCTTTTATTAAGAATCCTGTTCGGCTTTTTTCAATTATGGCGGAATACATGCGGATCTATTCTACTTTAGCAAACCCTCTCTTTCGAAGATGATCTAGACTAATACTTTTTCATTTTGATGCATACATTACCTATATCTTCCGCAGTTGCGACGCTAAAGCTTGCTAGTCCGATACATTTTACAAATACCCTCAGATCATCTGAAGATCCAAAGCTACACGTAAGAAATGAGCCTATTTTACGATAGTCTATACAGTTAATTAGGCCTAACAGATCGCCACAAGCGAGTCGTCCATGAAAGCACTATCGCATTGTTTAGATAAGCTTCACTTACTCGATTAAGACATATTAGCACATACATTGCTGGTAGCACTGTAGAACTCACCATAAAAAAACATGAACGTATCTACCCTGCAGAAGTACGGGTGAGGTGATTTAAGATCTCAAATCATTTGAAAACATCGCTGAACCTCAATTGAGCGGTTAAGGTACGATCTAAAACTTGTCAGTCCGATGACTTACCTACTAATATATCGACAAAAATAATAAGCATTTAAATCGTAGGTATCATAGGTATTTACCTGCATGATTACGGCTGTCACCAGTTTACCATAGTGAGCCGTCCATCGCCAAACGTAAGTAATAATAATAATAATAATAATGTGTATTTCGACATGTTAACATGAGCTCTTGTTAAAAGCCTGATAACTACAGCAGCCGGATAGCTACATATGACAATATGATGTCGGATATCACATTTTATTCCCTCCTATGCCACTTTCTGTATTGAGAACAACACAAACGGAGTGCAATCAATTGTTCTATGGTAGAATAATATATACATATATATATATATATATATATCGGGGTTAATTAGTGAAGGAAACTGGGTCGAAGCAGAAAGGGCAGGTGCCATTTTTGAAAAAAGTTTCGTCTTAATAGGTACCCATAACGTATATTTAAAGAAATGGGAAAATCAGAAAATTTATTGCGGAGCTGCGCATCCTATTTACTGTTGTGTTTCATATTTTTATTTGCGCGAAATCTTGACATAGATCTAAATCTATTCTCAACAACCGTTCTGTATAAGCGAAACAGTTGCTATCGTGACGCCGACTACCTTATTATCGTCCACCGCTAAATCATCGTTTGACAAGGTTGCTCGTTAGGCCACGCATGATGTAGGGACGGCAAGGGAGAAATAAACCACTATATGCTTAGGTCTCGTCGTTAATAATTAGATGTAGGAGTACGCAGACTCCGTACCGCCATCATCAATAAAAGCCCAACTGTAAGAAGATGGAACCAGAAACATGTATTAATTGCAATACAGGGAAGCTGTAAAGGTGCCATTGGATGTAGACATTTTGTGGTGCGCCCAGTGGGTAATAGCCGTCGATTCCTGCTGATGGGGTCGCACAGCGGGAGTCTAAATTGGACATACATACCATGTTCTTCCGACTTACAACGGTCTTTCCAAGAAGAAGGGCTTAGCGCCCCAGAACCGCTGATCTCATCCCGTCACATTGACTATTTGGTAAAGCTCAACGTTTTAATGTGAGTACACGCTGTCAGTGAAATATATTGGTAAAGAGCAACAGGTTGATTTTTTTGTCACATTCAAATAAATTAGACACTTGTAGTGAAATTTTCTGGCGTATGGAGAGGCCGTTTGAGAGAGAGGAAATATGTAATGTGGCTTCATTTGATATACGGTTCAATTTCCCTTTTATAGCTGAGAAAAATAGAAAGGAAACAAAGGAAAAATATGGGGAAGGGCATTTCCAGCATTGATTTATTGTGACATGTTTTACTTAAGGTCATTCTTGTGTTCACATCCAAAGTTGGTGGCAGCTTATTATTTTAGTGGATTTCTATTCCCATAAACATTGCTTTTAGTAACGAATTTTACCTTCTTCGGGTTTGCCTTCTTGATATTTAGTTTTTGCATCAACTCTCCATACTTTGGCGTTCACCATCTATTTTCCCACAGATATGTTGTTATTCAACGATTACATAGAAATCATGCAAACTAGGCAAATTATTTAATAAAGTAGCCTCAATCAATAAACCCTATAATCAAAAAAGATAATTTTCCGCGACACGTCAGGTAAAATTACTGATAACCCTTTTCGAAACACAGAAGATATCTGTTACATGGCAGTGGTAACAAAGCTATATATTTAAACGAAAAGTTATGGCTAGTTACAATATTTCCAGCTAATGTAGCTGGTTTACACGCGCTAATGGATTTCGTCTGACGGTAACATTTCAGCCCGATAACTTCATATGTGCTGCTTCCATAGAATCACATCAAATACCTTACTTAGACACAGGTAGCGGCTAATGAGGTACCATTTATGGGATTAATCGAGTCTATCGAGATTTTGCGCTATCTAAAATACAACAAGGTAGGTATATTAAGCTTAGTTAATTCCGCTGTCGATTCCGGATCGGCCATAGCATCCTTGCTTCATCCTTCACTGCTCATCTACCCTTGAAGGCCAAGCTGGCCTCAGACACTTCTACAGAATGTGTCGCATTTCTCCTCGAGCTACAGCAACTGACCTTTAGGCCCTATCAAAATTTTTAGAAAAATGGCAGGACAACAGAAAAACTGCATCATTTCATTAGGAGTTATATCATAATGCTAGTTTTGTGCAAACACAAACATTTTCGTATAAGAACAAGACACCCGTTCATAAGAATCATTGGCGTATAGTAGCATTAACTTCTCTGGTAGAACCACCACCGCCTTAAATAGAATTTGCCTCCTGATCTATACGAACAGCGTTCAACTATAAGGTCAGCAAAAAGTCTTTTAAATTAAAGAACATAGCCCAATTAAGCACAAGCCTTAAAATACAGGTATATCGACGTTTCTATAGCCTGCCAGGAGACTCTATACTCTCGTGATAAATACATCACTTATAGCTTGACTATGTGCTTTAACTGTTCAGAAGCAAACGTCATGGACATGTGGCGTGGATATTTGCCAATGCGTTATACTGTAAACTTCGAGACTCGGAATGAAGGTCAGCTCACATATAAGTCAGTTCTAGTAGGCGTCAAGTGTAACCTCACGACGGCCTAGAGGGCATTCAATATAATCTTATGTCCTCCTCTACTCCGTGACTGAACTGTAGATGGTACATGCGCGGTCCATCTGCAGCTACGCTCGAATAAGCTCACTTACTTCGGTCGGTCGGTAAGCTTTACCACATCATACAACAGCGAGCGGAATCAGGAGGGCTAAACAGAAGCGTCCCTGTTTGGTTGAGCTTTTCTACTACGTTGGTATCGACGTTCTGGACCTTTGAAGCACCTAAAAGGATCCCCTGCCTTCAAGCATGATAACACCATCCAGCACTTCTGCCAGCTGGCGCCGTTACCTCATCTCTGACCTGCTGTTCGAGTACTTACATTTTATGCATTATAATTTGTAATGGTAAGATTGTTCGCTACCAGGAAAGTTTAAACTTCTTTCGTTCAGGTTTTTCCAGTTTTTCGGTGAATACCTATTCAAAGGGTAAATTGGGGTAACCTAAATTGTCAGACTTCAGCTTTTGACCGAAAATAATGACTCGTAGTTCTTGAATTCTAGATATATACGAATGCGAAGTTTCACCGATGGCTAGATCTGTCTAAGAATATCTAGTGTCAGAGTTAGTTAAAAATAACTTAATAACAAGTAAGTGCCAGTAAACACCGTAGCTTTAGCTTGACGTTAATACACTGCACCTTTACTGACCGACTCACTGCTGAAATAATTGTTGAGGATTTCTTCGGCAGCTGAAAATCTTTTCTCTTCCACTTGGCACTCATAGCTCTCCTGAAATGCAAATTATGTTGTCATATTACAATGAGTTCTTTACCCGTGAACTTCGGTCGCATAGACAATCACAGTGGAAGAGCACGTGTTATTATTTCATTAAAATATTGTAATAAATATTTAAATTTAATGATTTTCACATTGTACAATGTTTGATCATCGCTTCGTAACTATGCGACGTATTTTGATCACTGTTTTTTTTTTTCTCAGGAAGGATGAGATTAAATCCGTCGGCCATTGGATTATGTTGTGTGATTACTCTTCTATAAAATCGCACCGTTACCGGTAGAGCAGACGAACACGCCTTTGATGTAAGCTATTACGGAAAATTTTGAACTTCTCTTGTAATTTCCCCGAACGATCCAACATTAAGCACATAATAGTATTTTCACTAAATCGAGATATATTATATATATGATTTACTATATTTATCAACCGCCTGGCCCACGACCTTTAGAGCTATCGTTACGCCCAAACAAAGCGTGTTGCGACTGTTCAAACGCGCCTGTTAACTGCTCTGTACTACCGTGTTGTTTTGGTCACACCATACGCCCACCGTAATTTCGGGATAGCTTTTTTGAACATCATTCTCCCAGATACTATATTTGTGTCATAATAGAAATCTGTCGACTTACTAAGTTTTACTACATACTACTTTATACATACAAAGGTTTGTGCAGTCATCTATTGTGCGCGTATTCGGGTAGTGGTTAAAGAGCGAAGCATGTTGCGCCTCTATCGTGTACGGCCATTTTAAATTTAACAAGTCAAAGTCACATGCTTTGCATAAGAGCCACGATCTATTATATTATATATACACATACAGTAGCTCAGTAGAATTTCTCAAGAAATTCTCAGCAGTTTCGCAATTACGGGGTACCGTAGTTGTGAAACGGACGGAATGAAAATATGACACACTTTTCTACAGATATACGTGGTAGGGCACCTGGTGGATCGGCATGAACGATCCGGCGATTCTTGGCAACAAACAATAATCAACAATTTCTATAAGAAAAAAAACGAGTCCGTGAGCAACGTTTGACGCTAGGACCATGTACAAGCGTGCGGGCTCTGCATTGTTAAATAGAATATCGTCTACATAACGGCTGCTTCGCATAATATAATCTAGTGAATCTTAATGATGCGGTATGAAGCATCGAACTAGCCCGCACAACCCAACCGCCTAGGAATCACGCCCGACGTGCAAGCATGTACGTACAAGACATGGCTCTTAACACAGGACAAACCTGCACCATTTTCCACTATCACGTGTTTCTGTTATCAAAAATTCTGAGTCTATATTTGCGTTTACTTTTCTTCTATTTTACTCAGCAAAACCGCTGCTGATTCCAGCAGTCCATTCCATTCCAGCCCGAGATCAGACATTAATAATAATTCTAATTAATAATAATAATAATAATTATTTTTTCGTATTGCTGCTGGAGACCTTTTAAAAACAGTTGAATAGCAGGATCGTTGTATATCGAAACTCGTCTCGCTCAAACACGACTTCTGCAGTGAATTAAAACCTGCGCCGTTGAACTATTTAATTTACAAATTTACTAAGGCCAAGGAGCTGCTTTTTTGTTATATGGCCTCCTATTCACTGCAGTGTGTTGATCTATGGTCCCATCACATTGTATAGGTTACTTCCTTTTGTATTTTTGGAGCCCGATGGTATCACGTCATTCTTACGAATTTATGTGACTCATACCAGAATCATATAAGGCCACATCAGAAAGCACTCGTCTGATTTTTACGGAATGATAGGTGCAGCCGAGGTCCTCCTGCACTGAACAGCATGACCGTCTATAAAAAATGGCCGTTAAATTCCAAATCGAAGTGATAGAGTCGTGAGATGTGGACTTTTGATGAGCTTCTGAGTCCTCTAACCCGTCTCCTGTATGGGAACCGTCGAGTGGCACACGAATATCATTTTCGGGTTCTTAAAAAATCCCACAGTCGCTGCCAAGGTGTAGACTGTCGTTTTCGGGTATCCAACAAAATTTATACATGCGATCACAACGTTTTTCCCTGCGTCGGTAATGCCCGACTTCTAATTATACTAGTCAGGATGTTAACGTTCACTGTTTCACCGTGACAACACTACTCTAGCATCGGCCATAAAACAGGCTCTTTCTAACGATCATTAACTAACTACCAAAGCATTTTTTACTGCTATTTTCCGTTCGAAAGTTCAGATTTATGCGACCTAACTTGGTGTCGAATGCATAAAATATGGCTCAATTTTTAAGATACCAGTGCTTTGATTTCGCACCACCGAACTTTAAATCTGAATACAAATTTTTTCTTTTTAATTAATTTTCGCAGCTACGATTATTCCGATTCTTGTTATTTTATTTGTACATCATGTAATAGTTAGACGAACATGTACAATCTGCACAGTTGCTCGCATTGAAAAACAACTTGTTAGTTCGTAAGTGGTCATAAGTTGCTGTTGTTATTATGTACAGCATAAAGTTTCGTGATTTTGCAGCCAAACAAGTTCTCCTAAGTGCCCGAATCAGTTATGTGTCGTTATTTTTACGTTTTCATTTGTTATCTGTCGCGGTCGTTTCCCGACATGTCCTACAGCTTGCCATCGTTAAGAGGCCATAGAGTACTAACAAATTATCCCAGTTACGACGCGACAGCCTGATAGGGGACCTGTATGGTAACAGATTCCTTGGACTACGTTAAATAATGGTACCATCAAAAAACAATGACCCGCCAGGCTCGATCGTCTACGAATCTCAATGAAATCAATATAGTCTAGTCATTGTAATCGACACATCACTTCCATCAAATCTGGAATTATATACATGATTGAATCAGTAAAAAAATATCGAAAGCTATTATCAGCAAAGCAAATACTTGTTTATTTAGTAAAAGGAAAAGGGTTGAAAATTCTTAGGTGGTTTTTCTCTTCTTGCTGGCTTAAATTTTTCTTACCGTTGAAATAAGCTCTTCCGACGATGGATCACAAGTAAAACTTAAATCATCTTACTTCATTGATATTATCATTCCACTGGTAAAATTTGTGCACCCATGAATGAAACATGCCATTCATTATAGCTTATGTTCTAATTCTGGATACGTAACTTCATTAAAGTAACGTATGATAATTTTTCTGCGTAACACGCAACGTTACGTTACCGATTCACAAATATAATTCTTAATTAGATTAAGCGGCAGTAGCAAAACAGAATCAATGGACGTATACCCATTTATTTCGAACGGCTGGATCGCTCTACAAGAGCGTTCGAAATTTATGTAGCTAAAAAATTACACAAGGAGAGGATATAAAATGTCCAAAGCGATGCTTATTCGCCAAGTACGGGAAATCAAGCTCAATTTTAAACATTCAGCATTTAACAACTCTTCCAGAAGAACCATATGATCCGAAATTGTTCAGAAACCTAGGACTTCATCGTCCGATCGGATAAGACTTTTTTCATATTAGCGAAACGTTAATAATATATATATATATATATATATATATATCCGGATGGCAAAACATAAGGCCGATTTTCACGTCAAAAACGAATATCGATGAGTGATGATGGTTTTCTCTTTAAGATTTATCTGAACAAGAAAGCCTACGATATTATATATATAGAAAATCAATATAGTAGCAATAGTGGTAAAAATGAATTGTTATGTGCTTTTTATAAATTAACACAACTATGTTAACAATAAACACGAATTAGTTTTCCCCAGTTTATGTATGTATGTATGTATGTCTGAGTGATGTCTACGTTATCTGTTACCCCGTAACTTCGACTCTTCAAGATCTATCTAGTGTTCTACCCCATCTATCCGTGCCCGCATGAGTGCCTTTCCATCTATATCGGATCTCCTTTATTTCACGAGAGCATCAGGTTTTGTCGTTCCTTACATGCACCAAATCAAGTTAGTTTTGACAGCGTATGCTGTAAGCGATGCTCACTACAGGGAAAAAACGGATCAAAGCTTCTGTAATAACTGCGCATGCGTCCATCATTCAATCCCATTTGTACCCATCGATGAACTAAAAATTGACAGGATTCAATGTACCCGCATGTTTACGCCGCCGCTTTCTCCAGCCTTTCCAATCGTTTTCGAAGTCAGTCGTAATGCCTTTTTTTTTTCGTTGTTTCCTAAGTTCTGGAGCAAATAAAAAGCACAGAAGGCTCGATCTGGTGATTGCGGAAATATAGAGAACACAGAAATTAGGTTCCTCTGTGAAAAATACGGCTGAATAGTAGCGTGTGGTAGGTGCATTGCCATGACGAAAAACCGATGACTCGTTCTTTCACGGGCCAGGCCTGTTTTAAAGGGCAATTGTGCAAAACCTTCTAAAAACTTTTTAATAACATTTATTAGTGATAGTAGAGTCACGTGCTATAAACTCACAATGCTCAGTTTTCGCATGGCTGAAAACGGCGGTAGGGAGACGGTTGCTTTTTGACCTGAGTCCTGCAGCTTTCTCCGACTCGCGTTTGAATTTGAAGCTATGATGCTTTCGTGTACGACAGCCACTGCTACTAACCATTGCCCGTAATGGTGCCTTAGAGCAACTCCGGCCTCTCTTCTAAGTAGTTTAGGATTATCAAGAAACGGTTGTTGACTATCTGTATTTTTTTGGAATTCTGCACAGTTCCTGCTGTGAGCCGTCGAGCTTCCAAAAGATCTCTCGAAATGATCCAACGTGACTGGTACGAGATGATTAATCTGTTTACGAATTTACTGGGGACAATTTGGATTTAGCATGACTTCTTTCCTTTTCCTAGCTTTGGCCCACATTCGCTGCAACCACTCGTCCAGAACGAGAGTTGTTTTCAAGACTCTCTCGTCCGTCGCTACACTCGGCAGGACTTACGGCCTGGTTCCCAAAAGCCTTCTGCAGCACTTGTACCAGTTTTAAGCCCCTGATTTCGCCGTCAAAACAAATACGCTACAAGATCTTGGGCACTTTTGTTTTCTAAAAAAGATAGCACGCCCAAAAGTCATTGACTTTTTTGAAAGAGTTAGCACATGTCTGAATGTTTTGAAATTTAATCTGCAAATAGTGGACAAGAAAAGGACACAAGCCCGACTGCAGGCCCGCCTATAACCGACAGAAGTCGAGGTTTTTGTTGGTACTTTTTTGAAACGGCAATGCAGCGTACGCGTGTACAAGCAAAATCGTATAACTAACTCTACGGGAAAAAATTTCACTGTGTTAGATGCTATAGATACGCGCTACAGAAGCGGCATTCGGACGGCTCTCGTTACGCCTAGAGGTACTTGTTAACTCTCAAATTAGGACAGCTTCGTAAGCAATTCAAACGTCGTTTCCATTTGACCGCTAGAAATACAGAAAATCATCCCGCTTGTGAATGGCATAATACTGAAGTTTTTCAAATAGTTTTTCGAATTCATTGCTCGTTTAACCAGTCGTAGCGGTCCCGAATAAGTAGTTGGAAGTACGCTTACTCAAGCTAAGTATCAAGCGTTTAGAACGCCATCGATATACCCATTATAACGCACCCCCTTTATCTAGCAACTAGCAGCTTATTCGATTTTTATTAAGGCCGTTTACGGCCCTGAACTTTAGATCACCGAATGACTGTAGAATGTGTGCCTTGTCGACATACGTTCCATTTGAATACTATATGAAAATTTCGCTTGGGATTAAAGGTTAGCTAGCCGGTAGTGGTAATAGTGCTTAGCATATTGCTGGTTTCTGCTTGTGTACATTACGCATGCGTTATACCAAAACTGACTGCTTTATCCGCAAGCCGATGCTTGTTTCTCGATTAAGATCAGCTAAGTTTTGTGATACGCCAGCGGGAGGGCAAAACAAACATCTAGATCCTCGTAGCCGATTGACCAAAATTGAGTCTTGCTCAGAAACGACTTGCGAAAATACCTCGAGACATCACATGTACTTACGATAGCATCAAGAAGCTCAATGCAGCGCTTTAGATGAGATTTCGTCGAACAAAATTCTCGAAAGAGCAGCTTTCCAATCGGCTGTCGTTCCACGATAAAAGAATAACGACAATCTGGAAAGATCGAGTGAAACGAACACAGACAGATAAATTGAAAAAAACACACGTTATTTACGAAATGAACTTGATCCGTAACTTCATTTTCTACTTATGACTACTTTTTGCTTATATTCGTACGGCTTAATACGTCGTAAAAGTAAGGCTGCTATGTCAGATGCCAAAATGTGCACGTCTATTTTCTTCCAGCCCCAAAGCTAATAAACAATAGTGTATTTCCGTTTGTTCCAGTAACAGTATAACGTAAAAGATATGACCACCTAGTCTTGACTAAAAATTCTAAGTGAATGACTCAGCTTCAAGTTGCACTGAATCGTATAGGAATCGTGCTTGTTCAATTGATAAATATATCGTATAGATTTATACAGCACGAGGGAGACAAACGCGCGAATATTATAGTAGTAATAAAAAAAAAACAAAAAAAAAAAACAACCGATTATTATCACTAGCAGTCAGGGAAGCGTAGAGACTGGTGTGAGTCATATCGGCAGATTTCTCCTTTGTATTCATCAAAATGTAAATACCAATTCAAATCTGTGTAACAGGCTGGAGTGTTGTCTCTTTAAGTAAAGGAAAATTATCATTGTCCGACTTGTGAAGAATGACTAAATTGGTGGTGTGGTATAAACACAATGAACTCTAGCGAGGCTGTGTAACGCATAGACGATTCGGCCATTGCTATGGACGGCACATCTTGATTTGGCGCAGGTTCTTGCAGCGGGTGATGGTGTTAAAAACTACGGAACCTGTTTGCCCCCAGCGTTCGTTAGGTTAACTAATGCGGCGGAAACCGTGCATAAAATCGATACCACTACTACGTACTAAGTTCGATGCTTCTCACTAATGTATTTACGGTATTGTCTTGCCAGCTTGCTTTATGTCTAGAGCACATGACGCTCAACAGCGTCCGCGAAATAAGCTAGTATTATGGCACTCTTTTTCGTCTGCTGCACGCACTGATTATGTTAGATATAGATGCTATGCGTAAAAGATAATTTAAATCGTGTTGTGATTATATTAATAATGTTGAAAGTGCCAATAAGGCTAGATTTGTATTGCATTCTGCCATGACCGGATAGACTCGAGTAGGGATTTGATCTTGAAGAAAGACATATTTTCAGATATTCAAATTGTCTGAAGACGAAAACGCATCTACGATAAAAAAAAGCTCATTGAAAAATCTTGAACAACTATAAAAATAATGTCATACAAGACTACGAAGTTTTACGATCCTTTCATACGTTTAGTATTTAAGACGTTTAATATTCCAGATAATTTTTAACGCAGTGCTAGAATCGTACGTGTGTAGATCACACTGTCACTGGGATAGTTCGTGTTTTTCCCGTTGAAGCAATTGGCCTATCTAATACCAAAATCAGACAGCATATGAGGAACTCTACGTTTCGAGTTTGACGTCCAGTAGGGCTGTTTGGCATAAGTTTCATCAGACGTCTTAGTCCTGCCCAGTCATCATGAAACGAAGCCTGCCTACAGCCTAGACCACAACATGTCCCTACGTTTAGCAAGCAAACACATTATCAAGCTATCACGGGGGCGCATATGAGGAACTAACCCCTCGATACTATAAAAGTAGGTAATGTGGACTTTCAGGTAGTACTAGGTCTTTCCCCTAATGGCGAAATTGCTTGTCCTCGTCATGTGTTGACAAAAAGTAAAAAGTTTTCTAAATGAACCGAAAACAATTGGGGATTGAAGAAGTGTGACCATGACATGTGAAAAATACGTTTCTATAGTCTGGCATTTTTTTTTAACTTTATTGTACTATTTCTTGCAGTTAACTTCTACTTTTCACTGTGCTCGAAAACCAAACATGTGCTGTGAGCGCTGACAGAAATCCCCTGTAATCAGTAAATCGGGTGTCTGGATTAAGTACAAATTACGAGGCTAGTTTATTGTGCGACCCTTTATATTGGAAATGCAGATACCTACTAAGCACAGGATGATATTGTCAAAACCTTGTTGCTATAACGTATCGAACAAAAGTAATCGAGAAGATACTTACTTAGATGTCATTTCAAAATCAGAACTGCTCACTGAACAGGCCTTTTGAAACCGCTCGAAGGGCTCAATACATATACACAGCAGTTTAACTATACCAACCATAATGATACAGCTTATAAGAATTTAACTGTATAACGTCTTATTGACAAGTAATGACCAAAACGAAAACTTGCGGTATGGCTTTATTCCAAACTGAACATTATATCTAGAACGTTGAAAATTTGACTCCAGGTCCGGAACTTCATAAGAATATATACGTGTTTAACACAAGAAAAACGGAATGGGGTGATGATGGTGAATAAGCGGCAGCATTCACTTATTATACCACATTGGGGTGATGCCAGTTCCATTACTACATTTAGTCGCCTTTGGTAATTACTTCATATACTTCGTTGGCACGCAGACCGGCATTAGGATATCAAGTCAAGATCACATATGGCGTCTGTATAAGAAAGAACAACGACGGCGAGCGTTGACTAGCCAAAGAACGCATGCCGAAGCAACCCGCCCCTTAAAGCGTTGATGACGTCCAGAAATTTACCTATGTTGGCGCCATTCGTTCTAAGGTATGGTGGTATCATCGTTTGTTGATTCTGTAGAACAGTATAACCGTGCGTGAAAGCACCTTTTGGTGACCGACTCCTTGAAAGCGGCTCCTTCAATCGACAAGAGGATTTTGCAAGCAAAACAAAAGGTCAAGGCTGTCCAAACACTTTTGAGAGGATGCCGTTGGCACAGACGTTCGTGGATGAAGCTGTGCCTATACAAAATATGCTCATATATAATAGCTATATTTACAAGAAAGCATCTATAAAAGTGCACCTATACAGTAGCAGGATACTTTTAGATTTTTATTCCAAGTAGATTTCGCTTGAGATTTTTTAATTAAAACAAGATTGCCGTTGACGAAGACTGATGCAAGCTTGGATATGTCTAAAAAAAAATAGTTCAACGGTACGTCTCCGATCCGACAGGATCAACAATTCGTCGGTGTGTGATAATCTGAATCTCTAATAATTTGCGAAGCTAAATTGAGCTACAGGTCAGATTGAAATGCTCTTTACCATCCCTAGTCTGGTCGGAACTCTTTAATATACTATTTGCCTGATCGAGATAGTAGCCCATGTCACAACAATATGATCTACCGTCGAGTGAATAAAGTCTGTGCATAAAACATCAAAAAAAAAAAAAAATATTTACTTTTGAACGTACCAGTTTTGAAACATGCCGTATTACCTTAACTTAAGAAGAATAACTTATGGTGAAATACAAGACCGGAACTTCAACTTAGCATATTTGAGTCGATATAGCACTTCGAGATGGTCAGTTCTATTTTCTCCAGGGATCTCGCCACCGCGTCACGTTCTATTTCAGTTCATTTCCTAGCCTATCCCATTTTGCACCGGCTTACTGTCTTTTTGACGGTGCAATAGAGGCGGACAATTGGTCACCTCATTCAGCACGATTGTTAACCCTTCGAGGAACCGCGTCTTTCTCGGTTGGGTAAGGCCAATATGATATAAGAATTCCTTTGGTCTCAACCACAAGAAGCTCTGTATAGTAAACGCATGGGAAGTATAGGCCTAGTGATGTCTATTATTATGATCCTTATTATGAGGATTATTTTAGTGAAGACATGCTGAATTACCCTCGATAAGTACAACTTTGGTGGCACTTATTGTTGCACTGCTGTCTAGGTTCTATTTAAAAGGTAGTTTATCAAATTAGTTTTTTTTTTTTTTTTTTTTTGTAGTTTTTCGAAGCATTCTAAGAGCCGCTGCGTCCTGTAAATCGCTTACTGGCATTAGCATAATCAGCTTCCTGGAAGCGCCGCATCTTGCCATAGCGTCGTGTTTTCTACAGTACAGCTACTGTATTGCACAGTATAGAATATAGCTAATTCAATCAACAAGCAAACAAAGGAAAATCGTACGAAAGGGCAAGCGACCCTAGTTACGAATTCGTCAAACATTAAAAGGACAACTGCAACAACACGTAAGGCGCAGATGATCTGCGTACAAATGAAGGAACCTTTTCAAATGTATACTAGGTCACGTTAAGCAGCATATTTAAGCACTTGTCCTAACTACATGTCATCAATCGCGATTTTTAATAAGCCCTATCCATCAAGAATATCACGGAGGTCATACAATTTTAAACCACCCGCATAGAATTTATAAACTATATCCTTGAAAATTACTTCTTTTATATGAAGAATAAATAGGAATAGATTCGATAAGGTCGACCAAGCACTGGATCTTCTATTCACTTTTACGCTAGAATGTTGCTCCGTAGGATAACCCTATATGCAGGCTTTGGTTTTGTTGTCCATCTTAAGATAAGGCGAAATGGGAAAAAGACTGTCAAATTACTTAGAAAGGTTAAAATATAAGCAATCGAAATTTCATTCTTCATTTTGATATGGTGCCCACAACTATGCAATCTGACCGGCTATAAATTTTTTTTGAAGATTTTCCATTCGATGCACCCTTGGTCCACGGGCCCGTAATTTTCGATATCTGAATTGTATGTATATACGGAAAGGTTGTTACATCGGACAGAACCCATACGGGCCACTTCGTTTTTCCTAACGAGGAAACGTGCGTTCCAAATTTGATTACTATTGAACTTCTAGAACATTTGGTATTTAGTGTTAAAACATGGAGTTTTATGGAAAATCGAAGTATTTTTTCCATTCATTTGATCAGCTTTTTGTTAAGTGATAGAAAGCAAATCGCCAGCTCATTTTTCAGCCATATTTATTTTTGCATATCCCGAAAAGTTGTATCTCCAAAGGCAAGAAAAAGTAAATGACGTTTCGTAAAAGAATTTGCATTGAGTTTTATTCCAGGGGGTTATATGGGTCAGGATGGGGTGGGGCCATACGCACCACTGAATTTCGAGCATATGCCAATCAACATGTGGTGTATGCTAATTTTGCACAGATATTAAAGGCACTAAATGGCATCAGAGCATAATATAGGTTAGTAGGAATACCTACGTATGTACATATGTCAAGTTAAACTGAGGTATCCTCGTGTTTCCACTCGTGCCGACAACGTGTCACTCATGGGCGTTTTTGACAATTTTGGTATAGCGCATCGGCCGAACAAAATAACACTATTGATATACCTATGTACGATTTGTGGATAGTAACGAGCATGGTCCAGCATTATTTATGCCAGAATCACACATGAGCACGACAATAATACCGGCGTTAATGCGGTTTTTGAGAGCAATAGCCGTATTGGGATAGTACCTTCTCACTTCTCAAACAAGACACAACTCGTGAATGTACGTGAATGTACTCGTGAATCTTGGACCATGTCAAACCTGTGAATCAGTACTTCATTTGGGCCTGAGGTAAACAAATGGTAACCTTTAACTCGCGTACTTTAAGGGAAAATGACCGCAAGAGCTTTTCTTCTCTAGGCATAATCACAGTTTTTTTTTCGAGCTTTTCTCTCAAAATTTGTTAAATGACTCACTTCTTTGTACGAAATCATCAATGACCCAAATAGCTCTCCTTTGACTCATAACTTAGCCTTATGGAGCTATATGAGCCAACAACAATATAGATGTCTTTAAATAACATCTCTTAGAAAACAAATACATTTTTTTGTAGAAAGAAAACAAATAAATTTAGACCACTTGATAGAAAAACATTTAATGAATATACGGTTTTTTTTTTCACTCGTGGCTCCGATGGTTTTCATTATTAAGCATACATTAGCATGCATTATTATATTAGGCATTATTATATTATTAATATATTATTATATTAGGCATTATTAGCATTAGGGGTACTAAGGGCCGCATAGTGCCACTGCGTTTTTCGCAAGTTTACCAGGAAAATATTTTCCATTTAAGTTAATTATTCTAAAACAACTAGTAATAACAAGTCAAATAATGACGAATTTGAATTGATTATTTGTTTTTATTGCACTTGGAGAACACTTGAAAGATACTGGAAAAGTCACATTGATTGTTTGTCCTTGACTGTCCTTTGGCCTAGAATGTTTTATAGCTTCCGTCTTACGAGTTTTTTTTTTTATTTCACTACTACAAGAAGCCGTGAGAGGTGCACGCTTAGGTCTGTAGCTGAACAAGTTTTGTGTGTGGTATTGTTGATGTATAATAGCTTTGTCCCTTATAGGAGACATCCTTTCTTCTAAAGTAGCCCTTTAACAGTATGATATTTCAAATCATGGCCGTCAATATCGCTCTGTGGATAGATACTTTTTCATGAAAAAGATTTCTGAGAAATTTTTTGCGGCTATGTCGAGGGTCAGACCCGCGCTTTAACACACCTAATCAAAGGACACGACGGCTCGAGTCTTCTCTCAGCCTCTAAGTCGATCGTAATGTGCCCTAGATTTAGGGAGGCCCGGCTTTGTAGCGCATCGTTGCTGAATCTTCTAGACTATCCATATTCATAAATAGCACTGCTTTACGCCTCCGACGTCGTCGGTGAAGCATTGCATGTACCTGCCTGCCACACGCAAGCAAAGGAAGGTTGGTGATCTTTTGTCGTGAAAATTGTTGAGCTGAACGCAGGGTTACGCGTACCTTCCGCGTCGGTGATCCAACACGCGTCTACCATCGTCTCCTTGCGTTGTTGCTTTATTTTCACCAGGACGCTTTCCGATTGCGTATATAAGGGTGGGGCATTCGAATTTGGACATAACTCCTGGTATCAAAACGATTTTTTACAACAGCATAGCAAACTCAGCATAGTGTAAAACAGTGCGTCGTTTTCTAGGTTTACGCCAGGATGACTTATCCAATGTATTCACGCAGGACGAATTTCCACTATGATGATAACTTGTTCGCCCGAAATAGCCGATCTACGTCATTTCCAGTTTCTATGTAACGTCTGAAAAGCCCAGAGGATGGGAAATAAAGCTTAGATTTAAAGAACTCGAAGATCATCAAAATGTTCAACAACCATTTCTGATGCGTCCGTATATTCACGGCTATTTGGAAGAACAGAATATGAACCGCCAGTCGGGTCGTCCAGCGGTTAATTTGAGATTTTTTGCGCCTTTTGTATGTATTCGTCAGTTCTAGTTTTTGCATTTCCGAGATATTTAGTCTGCTGACGGCCCCAGAAATTAAACTCCGCTGGAACTTTTTATCTGTAGAGTATTTGCCTTTTTACACGTTTTGTCCTCATTAGTCGTTTTTATTCCTTGCATTATTGAAATATTTGGATATTTCAAAACAAAACTTCATTCCATTAGAACGCTTTAGACAGCCTTTATTTATCAATATTGCTTGACTCACGGCCGCTATTAAAAGAGAAAATGACTAGTAAATAGTTTGAGCCCTAAATTACAGATCACGGTTAATAATGGTTATATTTAATAAATACGATCGTCAGGAATGATACTTGAACAAATTCCTGGATTTAGATGTCCGACTCTGTACATATATCTACTACAAGAGCCTAAACGTTTCTCTCAGAAAAATATGTTTTTTTTTTCTATGTCTGAATGGCCTCATAACAGGCACAAAATAACAGGTCATTGGCCATCTCAGGAAAAATTAGTTGTAGCCGCTTACGGTCGGAACGCCAAAGGGCGCTTGCCTTATTTTCTACCCTTCTCTTTTACACCTGTGACCAATGCTTCTTGATGACTTTCTAGCCAAACTCCTGAAATTGACATCTTTAGAGTAGTTAAAGGACAACGGGAAAACAAGTCGGTTAGTCGTCCGAACTGCATTTACGTCATTGAGCCGGACGATGCCACGAATGAATGAATGAAACGTAAGGCCTTTAACATGACTCTAACGTGTCGGTAAATACTATGCTGACATGTTTTCTCTTGTTGCAACTGTGCAAAATACATTTTTGCATTGAATCTTGGGCTTTCCCTGCACGAAATATCGAAGCCCCAGCCCAATTTAGAATGTCATATCACTTTTATCTGCAATATAAGGTAAGCGAAAAACGTCAATTTTACAGTCGACGTTAGTCAAAATCGCTAACTTCCTAAACTTCCATCTAGCATGCGCGGGACTTCCAGCATATATCGATTGGCTGTCATAAACTTGACGAATATCTCGTGACTTGTTTTTAGTAGCTGCAGAGGAACGGTTCTGGCAAACTGACCTTATTTGGGGAAAAGTTTTTACACAACTTTACCTTGAAGTACACTTTAAATCAACCATTAAAATAATTGATAATGATTTCTTCAATCACTCTAGTCAAAGCAAGCCTTGTAAGTATGGACATATTGGCAGCCATTTCGCTTCGAACAGTATTTTTTTATCGCAACACTGAGGTGTCCTCCCCTTTTCACCGGCTCTCACCGGGAGCGATTTGGTGGCAAGCAAGTAAAAGCCGTTCGAGTAAATGCTTCACGACTTCGTCTGTATTGCCTGTCAATAAAATGAACGGCAAGCACAACTGAGAGACGTCTCTCAAATACAGCATCTAAACTGAAACAAGATTTCGCGGGCTGCTTATCTATTCTTTGCACAGCAAACTCATCGCGGCGAACTTACTTTCCCGTCCGCCGTTTTCGGAACTTGAACAAAAATAAGATATTCTCTAATCTCTTCGTCGATATTATAAGCGTCTTTGGTTACCCTCGATCGATAGTGCACCGCTTCGCCAATAAATATACGGACGCAAAAGAAGCAGAAGAAACTTCCAGCACAGCAGAACGAAAAATCGGTGGACCCGGGACTTAAGAGATGTTGTCTAAAAGTGCATTTCCGACAACCTTTTGGGTTCGGACATTGGTGAAGGAATTTTACGTAAAGAGACGTAACAGGACATACGTTGTAAAGGTCAGACCGGCTTCATGAGGACAATAAAACCGATTTTCCAGTTTCATTTTTATGCTATTTATTGGGAAATTTTCTCAAGAATGAAACGGCAGGTAGCTTTCAACTTTCTCTAACGACACAATACTTATCAATGCAAGAATCAACCGCTAGCGTTATATCTGCGCCAGGATTTATATTTATCTATTATTTATATATGTAACGTTATGTTTGCGCGTGACCCAGGATATGCGTTTATTTAGGATAGAAGCAATGTTTCGACTAATGTTTATGCTTTGGGTGTGATCTTTAGGGAAAGAAACATTATGCCAATATACTTCTTTCAGAAAAAAAAGCGAATGTATGACGGAAGAAGCGTATCTGCATGTTCTCTAAACTGCTATGGAATAACTGAAGTGTTTAAAAGAGGGGCAGAAATAGATAGTGAGGCGACTCATACTAGTCGATTAGCGCTGCTTATACAAGCGTGTTCCGGAATAAGCAAATATGGCTGCCAAACAGGTTGAATTTACTACGTGTGGAGCGTTATTGAGACAGATCCCGATATACATTCTTGACCCGTTCACTCGTGCTGTCACATCTGCAAAAGAAGAATTTGAAACGAATTTCGGATCGGTTTAGGTCCTGAAATTATACTGTAATCGTGGCGGATCTCGCCTATGTTAAGCGTGTATGTGTTCCTGTAGATACACAGATTTAAGGAAAGCACATTAGAAACGTCCACAGTTCGATGCCTTATCATCTATGGCTGCCAATGGCCATATGGCTTCCAAAAAATCGGAAGGGAATTTTTACTATAATTAAATGAGACCAGAAGGGCAAAAAAGTTTTTAACACTTAGCAAATCAGTCAGGGTAATCTTAAGTCTCTAGAGCGAGTGTGATTACCTGGATCTCTGAGCGACCAGAGCATCTATTCTATGTCGAGTTATTGATTTATACTAATATACCTATTTTTTCCTGGATTTTTTCAACACTGTACATTTCAGTTTTTTTAGACTATTGAATATTTGAAACCTTTAACCAGCCAAAGCTTGAAGTTTCATTTGTAGAACATACATGTTGCCTAGCTGCCACTACGTTAAACGTGCCCAAATCGCGCTAGTCATAGCCGTTGGAAAATTTGACAAAAATACATTTGGAAACCTATTTTCACGTGTTGTCAATGAAAAGTTGCAAACGCTTTCGGAGTGAATGATAGTTAGAGGCAAACATTTTTCATGGATGTATGAATGTACCGACATGCTGTATTTTTTTAGCTTTTCTGAATAGCTCGACTGCAATAGCCTGAGTTGTACTTGATTTTGAACTTTCTTTTCGGTTAGAGGTACAATTATCTGAAGATTTTTAGTTTTTTTTCAATTTCTTATTTTTCATTAAGCTGTTAATTCAGTAAGTGATAGAAAGTGCCCCGTAATCGAAAATTAACAATGCGTTTAACTGTAAAAACAGGTGAGTAAAAAATAACACTGAGCCGAAGGAGTCTCGATAAGTAGTCATGTACTTCGCTGGTCACATATCGATAATGAACAATCAAGTATAGCCCCTTCCGAAATATTTATCTTAAGTTTCACTCGCTAAGTCTGTGTATACTTACAACAACGAAAGTCTCTTATCTAAACTTCACATCAGAACTTGTTTTCAGATCATTTCTCTAAACGAGGATTCTATTAAGATAGCCTAGGCATCTTTTTCCTATCCAGCTAAATCAGTTAATACATCTTGTTAAAATAAGCTAGTTCAACACATGAGATAGCTAATTGTACGTAGCTAAATATTTTTCACAAGCTTCAATATTTAGAACACACTGAGTAATTCTTTGCTCGGCTGTAGTGAATTAGTCTACCAAGGAGTTGCGTAAGGAAATCAATGAAGGACAAGACCACCTTCGACCCAGGCTGTCTGGGTCTATGCATGGTAGGATACCAGATGCGCTCACCAAGACATCGTAGTTCTATGAAAGATAGTCGACTTACAATGTACAGCAACCGAATATTTGTAGCCCAACGCAGCTAATCTATTTTAAGTTAAATAGTAAAGTATGCAGCTTTGAAGCACCGGTGTTTTGGCAAATCAATACCATTTTATGCCGGTCGTATTATAAATCTCCGGTGCTGTTAGCAACCAGACAAGATTTTAATAAGCTCATTGAGACTATGACTGAGGATCGTGCCATCTCTGCTAGGGACTGCCTTTGTAGTCAGAAAGTATTATGTTTTTTTGCGACCGAATGAATAGAACATCTCTCACATAGTCCAACACTTCTCTGTCGATAATTCTTCTCGTACAACTAAAGTACATTTCCTCTGTTATCTCTGTGGGCATTTGCATTGGAAAAATATGATTGATTCACCAAAGGGTATTGTTGTAATGTATGAAGCGCGCTTGAAGTAGAGTGTTCGAGTGACACCGACAAGTCAGATGTATGTTCTGCCCAATTAATCGCTAGTGCTCAGGCATAGATTCAGTAAAAACAAACCTAGACGGTTACCGAATTTACTCATTGAAGCTAGATTATCAATTTCATTGAGCATAAGTTAGTCATCCGTCATATAAGATCAAAAATCGACTATGGCTTAGACTTCAGGTGATAAGGATATTTTGTGGCGTATGGAGACGATGGCTTGGCCATCATAAATAGGAGCTTTTCAGAAAGCCAGAAAAAAACAAACGCTTGTTTGGTAGCTGTGCTCTATAATATAATATGAGAGGAAATTTCCATGCATTCGAGACTTCATTTTGTTTGCAGTGGGAAGATTACCACCAAGAGGTGTGTCTTATATACATTTTAAAGCTGTCTGCGACTTCATGCAGCAGATATACTTTTTAAAATGGACGGCCCGCTTATTGTTCGTCGAATATAACAAATTAACTTTATTCCTTCCTGCGATTACGGTCGCCGCATTCATTACGGTCACCATAATTGTTATCATAGTAGTCAGTATATGGCGCACCTCTCTTCTTTTCTATATATTCGCTTGTGAAATCACTATAGAGGTTATACCATGGAGCCTCATTTCCCTTTTTTTTTTTTATCCTGCCAGTCTCTCATTCAGACGTCGTGCATAGCCCAGCCACGGCTTTCCAGGACACACTGCACACAATTACATTGCATTGAATGCTACCAGCTTGCTATTACGCATTGCCCTTTCTCTTACGAGGTAAACTTTTCAGGTATAAAATTACGTTAGGTGCTTTATTCTGCTCCAGCTTAGAATTAATTCCCGTTTTTGAATGGATTCGCACAGGCCAAACGCAGTGCTTGCAGGTAGATCGAACATCCCTCTACATTTTCTAACATACCATGCTTTGAACTTTGTGAACTCATATCGTTGAATATTCTTAAGGTTATATGCGCAGCCAATAGCATTAGGTCCATTAGTAGGAAATGCGAGATAGCGACCTTTAGCTTTTCCTATACGGTTCTTTTTTTCCAATCGATATAGACCGCTGTAGACGAAAAGCAATGGTGACACAAAATTTATAGTATATAAATCGAATTCTTTCGACGAATAAACACCGCAGGTTCTTGCAAATGTATATATGGTTAAGGGAAGCGTCCGCCCACTCCCGATATATGACGGCCTGCGATTATCGCGAAGTGCCCACTCTCATCACAAACTATGAGTCACTGTTATAACCAGGAAAAGCAAGTGTCTACACAACTGATTTTTCGTACTGTCGCCCAAAAACATTCATTTGCCCAATTTTCGTATCCCTTTACATTGACGGAGGTAAATAAGTATGTTCCTATATGCACCAAAACACAAACTTTAGAATGAGTCGGCTTATGCCACAGCTTTAAACCTCGATTGTCAGATTAGCTTTTGAATTTTCTCCTTGGACTTTTTGAACGAACAACTTACGATGTCCTTAGTAGTAGATCCTTTACAGAATGCAAGCTTTATACTAGGATAGAACTCATATTTGTAAAACAGTATTTTCTGATTTCTCACAATTCACTGTATTTCGTCTGCTACAGGAATGGGTGGCTATAGCTGAGTCAAGTATCCCGAAGAATATCCTGATCCCGAAGAATTCAAGCCCATATTGCAACAAAAATATGACTTGGTGCCGTTTTAAAGTACGAAATTAGCGTAACCGGGATCTAAAAGACGCTGCCTGGCACTGGCCCACCACTTGAGTTTGATGGTGACCATCAAGCCGTTTAAATGGCCGTTTAAAGAAGGAAGACCGTCAAGCAACTCGGGATTTGGCCAAAAAGATGAACTACAGCCATACTGCAGTCGTTAACCGCCGCAAGTCTCAAATTGGAGTGTACATCGAAGGTTGGAGTTTGGGTATTTTATGGATTGTTTGGATCTGACATGAAATTATAGCTTAACGTTGCACCTTAGTATTTCGTCTGGTATCCAGTCTCACGCAGCTACGATCACCGATTTTGCATAAATTTGTCACCGGCGATAAGAAATGGTGCTTTTGGATCAACATGAGCCAGAAATAGGCATGAGCAGCGCTAGGAGAAAAGCTAAAGCCGAGGGTACAACCAAATCTTTATCCGAAAAGCGTTTGGTGAAACTGTAAGGGCATGATTTCGGCCCACAGCCGATTGGCACTCTTATTTGGCCTAGTTGCATCGGATCAGCTATGGTATTTAAGAAAGAAGTGAGCCAAACGACTTCAGTCCATCCTACTTTATAACATCACAAAGCCACAGACGGTAAACATCGTGAAAGCTGCCCTCCTGGACTTCGGGTGAAAGATTTTGTTGCCGTTCTGCATATTCTACGACTCTTGTGCCGATTCATTTTTACCTCTTCCATTTACTGAGTGTGGCCATGTTTGCGATACGGTTTAAAAGTTTAAAATGTGAATGGAAAACTTCTGCGAGATGAAACTCTTCTGGTGAGATGGCCTATATCGTCTAAGGAAAAGATCAGAAAGAGTCGTAAACAATAATTACGGAACTAAAATACATAACATAGCAACTTATTGTCACAAAGATAAAACATGCGATGTCTTCTATTCATGAGTCTTCCAACTTAATGCAATTTAATTAGGATGGATTATGATGATTGTGTACACTCCTAGCGTTAGCATAGTAAGGCACCTTCAGCCTTGGCCTATGACGTCGTTGGGATTTTAGAGCTGCCATTATTTGGGGCAATAATTCGTGTAGAAGTAGTAATCATAGCTACATGATATCTGTAATGTGTGTTTGAAGTCATGCGAATACAAATGACGCTACAATCTGTTGATCGTGTTTACCGTCATGCTATAATATAGGTTCTCCAAGCCTGGAAGGCGTAAAGGTACTTCTAAAGTACTCTAAAGCAAAATGAATAAAATAATGAAAATATTAAATAAAAAAGTAACATAGTAATAAAGTAGAAGTAATATAGATATTACGGCATATAGGTATCAATGTTTTTTCCTGTGAATAGCTACAGTATCAAGTAATCCTTCTAGTAAGAAATCATCATCGTCCTTATATAGGAAATTTTCCGCAGACATGTGGCTATAACATCAGTATTTCTCCATGTTACTATAGGTTGTCACCGGCACGATCTCGGTTTAACAGTCTGTCAAAGACCGACAAAGAGATATTCACCAAACGGTCTTTGATGGGGTTCTTTTGGTACGTGGCTGACGCCATTTCTGGTCCTCCTTTGTTATTTTCGGGGAGTTTATCCTATTGCTTTAATTATTTATAGAGCATTGTGAGGTATCATCATATCGTGTTTCGAACGGTGGTAAGTGATACTGGCAGGCTTTTTCTTTGGAGAACTATCTAATCTTATGTGAGCGATATCACTCATCAAATTGATGCTGTGTCATCCAAGGTTGCCAACGGGCTTGCTACAAACTGTTTATAGGTACATCAGTGATCCGAAGATATTCCTACTGCTGTTCATCCCGCTGGACTCTTATAGGAGATGATGGCCATTTGGCCGATTTAAACAATTTGATACCGTTTTAAGTACCATTTAGTACCAGTTGATATTTTCAACCAAACCTGAGTACGCGAAAGCATCTAAGCTGAGATAAAAGCTACATGCCTTTTAAAATTTTAAGTATATATCATTCGTCAATTATGTGTGCGAGTCTATGTTTCCGTCTATGCTCGACTAACAACTATCCTACCCAATAGTGATAGATATCCGAAGATAGCCTTCGATTAAAAGCAGTATTCTACGCTATTTTGTTTTTAGACTGTTTTTAAACAGCGACTAAATTAAAAAAAAAAACCCAACGGCTGCCGTAATGCTTTAACAGTTGAATGCCAAAATAAAAAGGTTTTTTGTTACTGTGTTATATAATGTGGTAGTAGGACGTCACGTATAGCCTCTTCGACGATCGCTATTTTTTGTATACGTTCAGTTTAGACGGTTGTTCTATCCGCTTGTTGAGCCCCCATTGCCGACGATGTAGCGGCAAAAGTTTACGGATGTTGATATGACCACTGTTAGCCGCCTACCCTATTGGTTCGTAGGAGTTTGAATGAAACTTATCTTACCCTTCATCCAGGATAGCTACTCCGTGCCTTCACGTGCCAGGACTGCCCACTAGTCTTGCTTGCTTAAGCCGTTTTCGTTCGCGAAAACAACTGTCATTTGTTTCTTTTCTCAGTTTTAGCGCAGCGTTTCCTCTCGTTTTCCATATCTATCACAGACACTTAGATTACCACTGCCATTGCATCCAGTGATCCTGAGGTTTTTCTGAGGCCGGGAAGAATGGCGTGGAAAATTGCCGAAGGCTCGAGGAATGCGCGGCAGAGTGAGGCAGTTGTTAGTTTCCTGCCTGCTTATTCCATATATTTCTTTCGGTTGTTTCTGCTGAGGTCAGATAGCTCATGTCGCCCAAACGCATTAGCCGCACCAAGTACGTCAGGATATCGACGCGCTTATCCTTCAAGCTCGCCTACATCTATTCTGTTCTTCGAAATCGGAGTCGCTGGTGCTCTATTTTATACTGCTTAGCGACATCCGGTCCGGGAAGCGTTCAGTTTACATTGCATTCGCTATTTAACGTTCCCTGTCTCGTTTGCACTCCTACTAAGCTGGTGTTATACTGTAGCGTGCCAGACCAAACAACCGTCTTGGACCCTACTTTCTCATTCGTTTGTATGGGCAACACACGATTTCCAGTTGCTGGAGCATGTTGATGCCAGCGTCGACCACCAGGAAGAGCAGGAGGAAAAGGCGATGGAAAATCGACCGAGATTCACGTTTATTGGAACGAAATAATTTTTCATACGATAACTATGAGCCTACCGCTTCATGACATTGCGATATAGGTCAAATCCGAGCGCAAAAACCTCTTATAAAGAGCTGTCAGTTCAAGGGGGAAAAAGAAGGATAGAGGGAGCACTATGCGACCCACTGTCACACGAAACGGTACACATATCATACGCAGTTCATTTTACAATACTTGACTTTTAAATGGTGTCATGTGTATTCTCATAGGACGATTCTATTAGACAGGTTCGATACTCACTTTTCCATATTGTGGTGAGCCATAACCCGTTAGCTTCTCTAGATATATTCTAACAATAATACGGTTCAATATCATTTAAAGTACTTTCATGCAAAGTGTAGTGAGGCCGATAAACACATTCCCGAGGTGGCGCAGCGGTACATGTTTTCCTACTAAATCCGTAGATACGTGGTGGTCTAGGCCCGAAATTGGGCATCGATTGGTACTGAGAATCGGACGGCTGACGCAACATTTGAAGTACTGAACGTTACAGTAAGATCGATGTCCGGATTCAGTAGAACGTTGAATCATCATTGCTAGAACATCTGCTAATAAAGCAAGGCTTAGTAGAAAAGTTTCTAATAAGAATATTTAATATTCGTTGCAAAAGAATAGCACGCTCTAATGTGTGACTAATATGCATTGTCTTGAGCGCATTTCGACGATGCCACATGCGGACATCGCCAATTCATGTTTTAGAATTGGCCAGTGATTGTTACCGCATATGGTTAGCACGCCGTCTCATAGGTCTAGTATACATAACGCGATAGTGATCTTTAGATAGTTACTATGAGCAAAAGTTCCACTTGTTAGCCTGTAGAACCTATTAGAGCGAAGTAATATCTGTCACACTCTTATCACCGAAAGCTGTTTTAGGTCGCTAACAAACGAACAGATATTCTGCTCAGTCGTGTTTATCCCTCAACACGCAAGAGCAGGCGCGACGCAAGCAAGTAGATGTAAAGGAAACCGGACGTCAGCATAGAATGCTGCGACAACAATGTCCGCGGCAGCTGACAAAAGGACTCAAGACAACATGAACATCGACGCCTACAAAAACAGTAACAACAGCAAAGGCCTATACACAAAGCACGTCACAATAACAACAAACAGCACAACTGCTTGGCAAGGAATACTTTACTGCTGCTGCTGCGATGATGACGATGGCCTTTTTTTCCCTATTTCCCTGTTGCATATCAAAGCAAACAATAATAACATCGTTCTAGAGATGTACTCGTCTAGCTGCATGTATGCAAGCGTGCGACGACGCAACACAGACGCCGCTTCTCTATCCGTCTGCTACAATCGGCGCGCGGCAAAAAAGCGACTGAGGATGCGTCGCCACCAGCGACAATGACAGTTACAACTACGGAGACAGACCTTATTGATTGAGGTAAACAAAACGCAGCCGAACGGCGAAACGTTATGCGAGAAGGTAAACACATAAACATTCGAATAAACACAGCGGCGGCCACGATTCGCGGTTCTGCCCACATGTGAACATGAGTGCATCTTCATCATGTGTATTAACAAACGCTATCGTCTATTTTAGTATGAACGATTCTCGGCCTTGCTGTACTGGTCCAAAGTGACGAAACGTTTTTGTTACCTCGTTATCGTCTTCAATACCCAAAACACAACAGACCTCCGCAACGAAACTAACTGTACAATGGAAAAATATTCATCTGTTGAAATAGACATACGAACAATGATTTAGAATCCCAAATGGGGATAAACCACATTCTGTCTCATACTATAAAGCAATGCCTTAACAGTTGAAACATTTTCATATCTGTAAAGGTTTGGTGGAGCACCGGTGGGTTTTATCAAAATCACTGCCATAAACCAATTACTTAATATTATACTAATTTGCACTTCGTGGAGACTGGATTGAATCAAAGTATCAATAAACAAAAGGACCATGGAACGAGAAGCACGAAGGTGAAGAAATGATTAATGTTAATAAAATTAGCCTGATCACTCGCTTGTGATTCTTTAATGATTTAAATAAAGTGAAGAAAGCCGAAATACGCGGAAGTGCCTAGCAAACTTTACTAAAACAGAATAATTAAACTGTATGTCTGGTTTTAAATAGTGGCGGGCGGAAAAGGGTCGAAATCTACTCTTTTGAACACACAGATCAGATTGTGTTTTGTAGTCATTTGATTGCCAACCCTGTTACTAAATGTTCTAGGGATGTAGGAAGGCCAGTCTCTGAAATAATGCCAAATGGTTTAACTACTGGACGTTATATATAAGAAATAGTAGACCAAGCTCATGAAAATATAGACATACTCTCGTTGCGTTTTTGCTATTTAACAACATTAAAAACGCTTCGCCCTTTCCAAAAAAAATTATCAGCCCTTGAAAAGCACGAGTTGATGCGGCATGATCTTTGTTTCCTTATTTAATCGCGACCGAGGGAGTCGAACATCGGCAAAAGCATACATACACTGAAAAACATGACCACATCGAGAGCTATAGAATGTGTGTGTTTCGTATAACTGAGCCTACATACAAACAATTTTCGACGGAAATAACAACTGTAACGTTAAGGGTAAAAATTGCCTGTATTAATTTACGTTAGATGAGTAAATATCAAAGGAGTTATTTACAAGGATATTTTGTCCTCTGATGTCGATATCTGAAGCTGTCGAGGCATGGAACGGCTAATAGAGTTTCCCGACCTTAAATGAATAATAGCTATTATCACCGATGCGTTTCCTTTCTTACGACGATAGCTTTTCAGGTACAGATTGGCGGACTCCAACTGAATCACTACTTTGTGTAAGTTCCCTTACACAATGTAGTGGCTCAGACGACAGGTAAGATGGTGTCTGCAGTTTGCCGACTCCATGGACACCATGCTAGCTTTCATGTGAATTTATTCCAATACACGCTCGTAAAAACGCAGGAGTGCTCAATAAATTTCCGATGCATGGTGCACTAATCCACCAGATACCTACTAATGAT